CCCCCGCCCTAGCGAGCAGCGCGCAACACGCAAACGCACCCATCCTCAAGCCTACAGCACCCCGTGGGCCCCTCGCCCTCCCCCTCCCCCTCCCCCTCCCCCTCGTCGTCGGAAGAAGAGAGCAGGAAGCACTTGTCGAGATGCACGTGTGCGTGCCAGACCCCACCAGGGAGGAGGAGGTGCGGCATCTCTTCCTCCTTCCTTGCGCGACGTGCGGGGCGGCAAGGGAGAGGGGAGGGGAGGGGGAGAGGGGAGAGAGCGCAGATGGCCAAGGGAGGAGGCGGGGCTGATGCGATGCGACGCTGGAGAGATGCTTATGGCTGGATGCGGAATGCGGATGCGGGATGCGAGGCAGGGTGTAAGGCCGCTGCTTGCTGCTGCTTGCTTGCTTGCGGTGCTGCTTGCCGCGCGTGTGCGTGATGTGGCGCGGTGGGTGGTGGTGGTGGTGGTGGGAGGCAGAGACGAGGAAAGCAAGCCGGCTCGAAGTTGGCGCAGCTCGCAGCGCGCAGCAAGGCAAGGCGCGGCTGACGCGACTTTCGAAAACCGCTGCTGCGGGGAAGAGCGATGTGGAGGTTGCGCCGCGCCTGCCTTCTGGCGCTGGCGCTGCCGCTGGCGCTCCCACACCGCCACGCCGCGCTGCGTAGTGCCACTCGACACGCTGCAAGCCGTTTAGTCATGACAGTAGTTCGTGGTATTGAGAGGCGAGGAGAGAGTACACTCTTGGGGCGCAGGGGGGAGGGAGGACGTCGAAGGCGCAGGGGGGCGGGGGGTAGTCACGCGCGCTCGCTCGCTCTTGTTGCCCTTTTGCTCTCCTTCTCGCGCCGCCCGTGCCTTGTGCTCTCCGCGCGCAATCGTCCCCGTTCTCGCCCCCCCCCCCCCCCCCCCCCCCCCCCCTCCCCGGCCTTCCCCCCTAACCCTAACCCTAACCCTAACCCTAACCCTAACCATCTTCCTCACAAGCGGCAGCATGCTGGCAGACCTGTATGCCTTCTCCAGCAGGCTTGACTGTAGATTTCAGTAGTTTGCTGTGCCAGTGCCCGACAAGACACAGCGGTGCACTGGCACGCGCGCTCTGCTGCTCTCCTCTGCTCTGCCCAGCTGCCCAGTGACATTCTGCTGCTGCCAGTGACTTTTCTTCCGCTGCTGCCAGTGTCATGCCACTGCTGCCGCTCCTGCTCCTATTGGTGGACGGAAGGAACGCTGCGTCCAGGCGCCTTCGCGCTCGACGGCGACGAGCTCGAGGAGGTGCGGATCTCGCGCGGCGTAAGCGGCGCCGCGGCGCGGTTCTGCGGCGCTGCGCCTGCTCTGCGCGCCTTGCCTCCCGCCAGCACCTCCCTCCACTTCTGCGCCGCACCGCCTCCTCGCCCTCGCTTCGCACCTCACCACCCTCACACCTTGGGCCCAGCATGTCCGGGCAGCGCCCCTCCGTCGGCCCGCCGCGCTCGACGCACGCCACGTACCACCCCGACGGCTACGGCGTGTCCGAGGGCCTCAAGCGCGCGCGGCGCCCGTTCCTGCTGCGCAACGCCGTCACGGGCGGCGCGATCCTCGGCTTCGTCGTGGGGTGAGTGCGCCGGCACGCCGAGCCCAGCCGCGCTGACACCGCACAGCGTCTACTACTACTCCATCTCCAAGGTCCGCCGCACAGCACACTGCGTCGTTGCCGCGCTGACGCCCCGCACAGGTCCAGCAGGACGAGTTCGCAGACGAGGCGCCGCGTGCGTCCGGCGTCGGTGCAGGCGGCGCAGCGGGCGCCGGCGGCTCGAGCGTGAGCCTGCGCCCGGCACCAAGTGCGAACACGCCGTCGCCAATCGCGGCACAGGCGACGCACTTCGGCAAGGCCGACGCGCCCATCACGGCAGAGGAGGAGCGGCGCGCCGCCATCCTGCGCGCGCAGGGCAGGCTGGTGTGAGGGATGGGCGAGGGCAATGCACGCTTCACCGCGCGACAGTGAGTAGAAGTGAGGTGAAATTAAAGAGAGTTAGGGCGAGACGCAGCCGCCGTGGTTGCCCCATCACATCAAAAGAAGGCTGGCAGCGGCTTGCGCGCGGCGGGCGACGTCGCTGGTCTTGCTGCCGATCGCGTCCCTGCAGGCGATGGCGCATGTCTCGCCGCTGCGGCAGGTGACGTTGCTGGCTCCGCCGCAGACTCTGCCGCAGATGTCGCGACTGGCGTTCCTGGCGCTGCTACGAGCGCCTCGCAGATGGCCTGCAGCTGCGGGCTCGGCCGCGCGTCCGGCTCGTCGGGCGGCAGCGTGGCAAAGCTCGTGCTCGGGCTGCCCAGCCGGCGCTGCTGCTCGGCCGGGTCGAGCATGAGAAAGTCCTCGTACTTGCCGACGTCGGCCAGGAGCGTGCGCCGGGCAGAGTAGTGCACGGGCGCGGAAGCCGCTTGCTCTGGCTCTGCTTGCGGCCAGATGCTGCTGGCCGGCACGCGCTGCGTGGCGCTGCTCCGGCGCCGCCAGGAGCTAGCGGAGCCGCCGCGCGTGCGATACGAGAGGCCGTCGTCGCAGGAAAAGTCAAGCACATCGGGCGCAGAGTCGCTGGCCTGGCGGCGGCGCCACGCCTCGAGCGCAGAGCGCGCGCCGAGCACACGCCGCTCGCCACCGTTCGGCGAGTACGGCGCGTCGGCCGAGGGGCGCAGCGGCGAGAGCGGGGCGTCGGGCTGGTCGAGCACCTGCGAGCGGCGCATGGAGCGAGACAGCGTGTCGGAGAGACGCCGGCCCATAGAGGGCCGCCGCGTCGCTGGCCGATCAGAAGGCAAGGCGGCGGTGGCAGAGCCGGCTCTGCGCATGCGGGGCTTGGTGGGCGCAGGCATGTCGGGCGGCGGTGCGCTGCGCGGAGGGCGCTGCGGGAGGTACGGCGACGCGTCGTAGCTGTGCGGCGCGAGGCTGTGCATGGGGAAGCTCGCAGGAGTGGCCTGCGGCGGATGCGGCGCCGGGCGCGAGGCGACGAGCGGCGACGACTTGGGCGTCCAGAACAAGTCGGCGCTGGGCGATGGCAAGCCGCGCGCCTCGCCGCGGTCGACCGACGAGGCGACGGATGCGAGCACCTCCATCGAGCTCGAGCTGTGCAGACCGAGCGCGCCACCGCTGGGCGCCTTGTGCGGCGAGCTCTGCGGCGGCCGGAGCTCGGCCTCGATGCTATGCATTGTGCTGGACGAGCCGTGGGTGCGCATCGGTAGCGGCGGGCGGCTCGCGTCCCAGCTCGGCGACTTGTGCGTCGAACCGAGGCGCTCATTGCTGGCCGAGCCGAGTGTCGTCTCGGTGCTGCCAAAGGGCTCGCGCGGCGAGGTCATGTAGTGCAGAGACGATGAAGAGCGCATCGGGCGGTGATACTGCAGCGTGCGCGGCAGCTCCGCAGGCAGACGCGGCGACGATGCCACCGTCGAGGCGCTGCCGAAGCCGTGCTCGCGCGGCGCGAAGCTCGGTTGCGAGCCGAGAGCACTGAGCGCCGCCGGGTCGTCGCGCAGCTGCTGCAGCACGGGCATGACGAGCGGCTTGGGCGCTGCCTTGGTGCTGCGGCGGCGGCTGCGGCGCTGCTCGGACGCCTCGTCGTTCCGCCGCTCGCGCTTGCGGACCAGGCAGCGGACGAGAGCAAAGATGCCGGTGCAGAGCACGAGGCCGGCAACCATGCCGCCGACGGCGGCGCCAGCAACGACGCCCGGGCCAAACGTCGGCGACGGCGGCGGCATGGCGAAGCTCGAGACGGGCGTGCCAAAGATGCTCGGCAGCGCGGGTGGCCGCGGGCGAGTCGTCGACGATGGCGCGGGCACGACGAGCTTTCCGGCTGCGACGGCAGACGCTGTATGCGGGTGAGCCAGAGGCCGACGAGCTTGGCGAGGCTGCTCACCGAGAGGAGGCGACCAGCGCCGCCCGTACACGTCGGAAGAAAGAGAGGCCCACTGGGGCAGGCTAGCCGTGACATTGGCGGGCAAGTCGCTGCCGGACGTGAGCAGCAATGCTGGGGCGCGCTCGGTCGTGCACTCACTTGGACGCCACTTGGCAGCTCGAGGAGAACGACTCGAGTGTCGGCCAGGTGATATTAGAGCTGCGCATCACGTATCAGCCGTGCTACGCCTTCCTCGTCGCGACAGGCCAGCTGGCGGCACTCACGGACGAACGATTCGCTGGCAGTAGCTGCAGGCCGACAGCAGGTTGTAGAGAGGCACGGAACAGGCGCACGCCGTGGCGCCGCCAACGTCGGCAGGCGAGGCGTACGAGGTGAGGTCGGCCGCTGCGAGCGACGGAACACTTGCATCGGTATTACACGTGGACAGCACGTCGAGGGCCACCGCGCTGCGGACAGACAGTGAGCCGCCGCCGAGCGAGCGTCCGGCGCACGACTCACCACGGGTCCTGCCCCTGCGCATTCCGCGTCCACTGTGCGCTGCTGCACTGGGCCGACGAGGCCATTGTGCGCGTCGATGTCGGGGAAGAATTAGCACGAAAGAGGTGTGAGCGCAGCCGTCGAGGCCGCGAGTTGGCAATTAGCGAGACGGGGTGGGGAGAAGACTGCCAGCAGCTTGAGAGAATCGGCAGACTCTCGGATGAAGATGCGACGAGGAAGTCAGTGAGTGTGTGGAATCCGGCGCGGCCGCATTCGTGGATGAGGGGGTCCGCAAGGAGGACCTCGTCGCGCAGCGGCTTCTTATGCAACTCCGCAGAAGGAGTGGGCTGATTGGCGATGCAGCGGCGCAGGAGGCCGCACTGATGTGTTGCCGACGCAGAATGAGGACGTCAGTCACAGCCACACGGCGGTGTCGCGAGACAGCTGACGGTGACTTGTCGGAGGCCCATGCGCGCGCGAGCGCGAGCCGGCGTGACGTTCCTGGCGCAGGGCTCGGGCCGCTGCTGCCATGCACGCGCGTCAGACGGCCGACGAGGCGACGACAGTAGTCTGCAAGAGTCGTACATTGCGAGAGGAGCACATCAGCGGATCGATCGGGCCGGAGCCGCGCGGTCCGGACCGCACGGCCGCAGCGTCGTGCGTGGACATCGCGCAGCGCCGCCTCAGGCAGAGAAGCCGAGCTTCTCCTCGCGCTGTCGGTCCTTGTCCAGGCGTGCCTCGAGCTTGGCGAACTCGTCCAGCGCAATAGCCTCTTCCTCGTCGAGGATCTGGAGTGGCAGAGTCAGCTCAAGCACCAATGACAGCCCGATCTCAGGTCAAGGTGCCACCTGTGCATGCGAAGTGCGCTTCCCATCAAGCCACGACTTGCATGCGCGCTGGTGACGCACATGCCATCGACGGCGATGCACGTCCCAAGGACATCAAGCGCCATCGTCTGTCGTGCGCAGCTCCGCCCGTCGCAGCAATGCGGCACACGCCAGACGCTGTCCCCGACCATGCCCACGCCGCCCTGGCCTCATCATTGCCCGTATGCGCACTTTGCGCCATTCAAGCCCTCGCGACGGCCCGGCACTCACCTGCTCGACGCCCTTCACCTCCGGAATGTAGTGCATCAGCATCCGCTCGATGCCGCTCTTGAGCGTCACCGTCGAGCTGCTGCAGCCGCGGCAGCTGCCCTTGAGCTTGAGCCGCACGATGCCGTCGCCCTCCTCCTCGAAGCCGCGGTACTCAATGTCGCCGCCGTCCTCCTGGATCGCGGGCCGCACGCGCGTGTCGAGCAGCTCCTTGATCATCGCCACCGTCTCCGAGTCCGTGTCGAGGATGAGCGTGTCGGAGCTGCCCTGAGACGACGCGGGGTCGAGAAAGAGGTCGCGCCCGGCGGTGAAGTGCTCCATGATGATGCTGTAGATCTCGGGCTTGAGCATCGACCACTGCGTGTCCGAGTCCTTGGACACGGTGACAAAGTCGGGCCCGTAGAAGACGGAGCGCACGCCGGTGAGGCCAAAGAGTGTCTTGGCCAGCGGCGAGGCCCTGCGCCGCGCGGGTCAGCACACGTCAGCCTGACAGGCTCGCGCAGACGCACATCGAGGCGCGCGTGTCGAGAAACTCGGCGGTGCCGCTCTCCATGACCTGCTGGCCCGGCAGGAACTTGAGCGAGTCCTCGTTGGGCGTCGACTCGGTCTGGATGAACATGGAGCGGGCTGTCGCGTGCACGCAGGTCAGCATGGCTGGATCGCGCAGGCGCTCAACACTGCCACGCACACTGCGGCAGCACGCCGGCGAGTGCCGAGCTCGACGCCACGGCTGCGCGCCACGACGCCGTCGAGGCGCCACTGCGCACGGCGGGAGCGGCGAGGGCGGCGCGCGGCGCCGCGCTCGAGGTGGCAAAGCTGCGCGCCGACGAGCGGGCGGCGCGCACTGCGGTGCGGGTGAGGCGCAGAGCGGTGCGGGGTGCGGCGCTCATGCTGGCGGTTTGGGCTGTGAGGCGGCGGTGGGAGATGGTGGTGTGGAAGGTGGAGGCGCCACAGCGCGAATCGTCTGTCGCGCACAAAGGCGCCGTTCGCCGGCAGCGCCGCGACGCCGTCTCGCGCCGGGTGCGCTTCCCTGCCGCGCGCGCCGCCCCCGCCTCTCCTCTCCCATCCTCTCCTCGCTGCACGCCGCACGCTCCTTGCCCCGCACTCTCGCTCCCGCCCCGACACCTGTTCCGCGTCCTGCTCATTCTACGACCGCCTTCCACACCGCCCGGCGCCGCGACCCATCGGCATCTGCCCGCGCACGCGACCCGCGACGTCGCCTCGCCCGCAGACGGCTCGTTGCTGCGTCTGACCTGCGCCGCCTGGCCGCCCGTGCAGGTGCGCCCCGGCTGCGGCTGCGCAGCGGGCTGCAGCGAGGCGTGGCGCTCTCATGGCGCAGCGGCGTCCGTCGCGCCTCGCCGAGCACGTCACGCCCGCCGAGACGTCCGGCGCCGCACACGGCCTGGCGCTGCGCTCCGATGACGGGCACGGCGGCATGCCGGCGGCGACGGCGGCGGCGGCAGGGCGCAGGCCGTTTGCCACGACGCTGTCTGATTTCCGCTTGACGGCTTCGCCGACGACGGCCGCCTCGCCGATCAACATTCCCGCGTCGCCGTCGCTGGCGCGTCCGGCGCCCGACCCCTCGTCGGAACATCCCAACCCCTTTGTGCGCCGCGCCGCAGCGGCGGCGGCGGGCACGCGCTCCGGCGGGCGTCTGCGGCGCAGCAGCATGCTGGGCAACGAGGTCATCGCGCCCGCCCACGAGCGCACAGCAGACGCCTCGCCCAGTCCGCCGCGCGCGGCAGTGTCTGCGGCGCCCGTCTGGCCCTCTGCCGCAGATGCAGACATGAGCGACGCCGCACCCGACGGCGACGACCGCCCAGGCTCCAGCGTGCTCGGCGCTGCAGGCCGGGCCTCGCACTCAGCGCAGGTCCGCGCTGGTGCCTCGAGCCCCTCGCCGGCGCTGACCGCGTTCCACCGGCGTCGCATGCCGCAGGCGCTGGCGGCGCACCGGCCGAGCCGCGGCACGCGGACACCCAACTCGGCCGGCTCGTCGTCGTCCTTCAGCTCGGCGCGCTCTGCCAGCGAAGGCGTCGAGGCGCCGCCGGTGCCGGAGAGCGCCGCGCGTGGCGCCGCCTCGGCGTGGAACGAGGCCCCACTCGTGCCGACCGTGGGCGACATGGACGGCATCGCCGGCTCACGCGTGTGGGAGGACGGCGGCGACGAGGACATGGCGTCTGGGAGCGACAGCAAGTCACCGCAGACTGCGTCGTCCCCCGGCGGACGCTGGTCGCGCGGCGCGACCGTGCCGCCGCGCACTCCGCCGCCGCACGCTGCCGACGAGGCCGACACGGCGGAGCGTGCCGAGCGCGACACTGCGCGCTTTGGCACCAGTGCCAGCTCCGTCGGCGGCAGCACGCCGGGCGGGTCTGCGACGCGAACTGGCGTGGTGCGCCGCGCGGTGCACCGCCGCGCCAACCTCTTGGTGAGTTCTGCAACGGAAGGAGCTTGAGCAGTCGGCTGACCGCGCGCGCAGCCCAAGGATCGCAGCATCGCGCGAGTCATCGCTACGCTACAGGACGAGTCGCGCCCCACAGACAGCGAGCTGGCTTCCGAAGCGAAGCTGGCGCGCCGCCTCGGCGGCGAAGACTCGCCGCTGCCGCCCAACCCGCGCTTTGCCCGCGCAACGTCGCCGTTCGTCGCGTTCGGCGGCGGCAGTCCCGGCCTCGGCTTTGGTTGGCGCGCAGGCTCGGCGTGGTCGCGCCACGAGGACGACTCGGCGCTTGAGGGTGTGGGCTTCGGCAGCGGCGACAACAGCTGCCCGAGTAGCGACGACGAGGCCATGTCCTCGTCGGCGCGCCGGCGCGCTGTCGAGAGCGACGAGGAGGTCATGTCGGATGGCAACCGCTCTGCGCGCAGCAGCGGCCTGGCCATGGCCGGCGACACGTCCAGTCCCGCGCCAGGCTCAATGGCCGCTCCGCCGCTCAGCTCCTCGGCCTCGGCGCGGCGCGGCACGCTCTGGATGGGCTTTCGAGACGGCCGCACACGCGCCAGCCCTGGCGCCGATCGCTTCCTGCGGCAGCGCACGCCTGGCTCGAGCTCGATGGACATCGAGATCGCAAACGCTGGTGCGGGCGGCTCGCCTGGGCTTTGGGGCCGCTCGGCGAAGCGCAAGATGGGCGCCGAAGAGCGCTACGACCCCTACGCTTCGAGCGCGTACAAGCGCCGCGCCGTCAGCCCGGCCACGCTGCTCACGAGCGGGCCTGGCCTCGTCAGCCCGAGCCTCGTCGCTTCTGCGGCCGGCTCGGGGTCGCTGCCCGTGCCGACGCCCCTCTCCATTCCCTCGCCGACGATCAGCTTCTCGGCTGCCATGAGCAGCGCGGCCGCGTCTCGCGGCGGCGGGCCTTCGTACTTCACGCACGCGCGCCAGCCTGGCAGCGGCGCCCGCGGCCACTCGCGCAGCGGCAGTCCGGCAACGCGGCCATCCACCCCTACGGGTGGGCCTGCGCCGGGCTTCGCAGGCTTTGGCGGCGCCGGCCCCTCGCCGTCGCTGCTGAGCACGTCGGCAGGCAGCGCGGCACAGGCATCCGGCTCGGGCCCAGGCTACGGGAGCGGCGCGCTCGGGCTGAGCATCGGCGGCAACTCGGCCGTCGCGAGCGGCAAGGTGCGCCTGTACCGCGACGAGGAGGACGGCGAGGAGATGGACGAGGGCGTCAACGCCATGACCCTGGACCCGGACTAGCGAGTCTGACGCAGCAGCACGCTCGATGCCTCGACCCTCGTGCCCCTGCAACCCCACGCCCCACTGCATTCCTGGCCGCCTGCGCTTCTCTGTCACCCTCGGTACCCATGTGATCGCGTACTGCATCGTAATACACTCATCGCCATGCTCTGCCTGGCGGCACCGCACGCGCGCGCGCGCTGCGGGCTATCGTGAGAAGCCGCTGCTGCCGAAGCGGTCCTTGAGCCCGGCCGCGTCGCGGATCATGCTGGCGCGCTTGGCATCGTCGAGCATCTTGCCGCCGACGCCGAGCACCGCGTCGCGGTCCCAGATCATGGTCTTGGCGCCGCCCTTGCCGGCCTCCTCCTCCTTGTCGCGCTTCTCCTTCTTGCGCTCGGCGCGGCGCGCCTCCTTCTCTTTGCGCGCCTTGCGCTCCGCACGCTTCTCCTCTTTGCGCTGGCGCCGTCGTTTCCGCCGCGCATCGTCTTCCGAGTCTGACGCCGACACGGAGCGGTCGCGCCGCTTCGACGAGGAAGACGCCTGATGCCGGCCGGGCGACCGACTGCGGCTGCGCTCTCGGGCTCGCCGGCGCCGCCGGCCATCCGACTCGTCCGACGACGACTCGGAGTCTGACTCGTCTCGGCGCGACTTGCGGCTGCGCTCCCTGCTGTGCGATCGGCTGCGGTCGCGCCGTCCGTCGGCGTCTCTGCGCGACCGCTCCTTGCCCGAGCGCCGTTCGCCGCGGTCGGAGTCGCCGCTCTTGTGCTCGCTGACTCGCTTCTTGCGGTGCAAGTCGAGCAGCGAGACTGTGCGCGATGGGTCCTGGAGGCGATGAGAGATGAGCGTGGCGCAAGAAGGGACGCACGCTCCAGTCCTGCTCACATGCTCGCGGATCTTGCGCCGTGTCTCTTCCTCGGCCTCGCGCTTCTTGCGCTGGCGCTCCAGATCCTCAGGCTTGACCTTCTTCTCCTCGCCGAGCACTTTGCGGCCACGGATGCCCATCTCCTCCTCGCGGATGCGCTGCTCGCGCTCGGCAGGCGTCTCGGTCCACAGACTGCCGTCGTCTTCGCCCGCGCCGGCACCAGCGCCGCGCTGAATGCGCCCGCCCTGGCTGAAGCCGCGCGACTTGAGCGCCATCGACGGGTCCAGCACCATGGCTTGGGAAAGCGACTTGGGCGACGGCGGCTTGAGCATCCAGTCTGGCCGCTTGGCCGGGGCCGGTGCCTGCACACTCCGCCAGGTCAGCTGCTGCCGCGTCGTTGCTGGCGAGCAACGGTCGCACTCACCGTGCCGCCCTCGCGGATGCGCTTCTCGCGCTCGAGGAAGCGCCGCGCGCCCTCGCTCAGCTCCGGCTCTGCCTTGTGTGCCGCACGAGCGGCCGGGCGAGCCTCGAAGCCGTCGTCGTCGTGGATTGCAATCGTCGGCTCGTCGTCGAGCTCTGCCGAAGGAGCGCGCGGAGCCGGCGGTGCGGCGGCCGCGGGCAGGGCAAAGCCGATGCCGCCGCCCGACGCAGCCGCCGCTGCGGCTGCCGCAGCTGCCGCCGCAGCGGACGATGCCGAGCCGGACGCCGAGGCTGCAGCGCGGACGGGCGACGGCGAGCGGGTGCGCCGCGCCAGGTGCGGCGGCATCGACGGGCCGATCGGTGCCATCTGACACGGTGGAGTGCGCGTGAGGCGGGAGGTGGAGGTGAGAGGCGAAGGCGCTGCTGCGGGCCGCGGCCGGGCGAGGTGAAGCGCCGCCACGCGCGTCGAAGCACAGAGGTGCGCGCACCCCTCCCCGGCACACATGTCGCTCTCACCACTCTGCTGCCGCTGCACAGCCTCCGATGGATGCTCCTGTCGTGCACCTTCACACACACGCCGCGTCTCACTAGGAAGCTTTCGTCATTGTCTAGTCGTACAGGCCCGCGTCGTCGTCCAGCAGCGCCGCCGCCGCCATGCGCCCGGCCACGAGCGCAGCATGCATGTCGCCCTCGCTCTGCCCCCCGTCGCCGTCGCCGCCCTCGTGGTCGTAGATGCCGAGGCCGTGCCCAGACACGCCTGCTCGTGCCCGCGCCGATACATCCGCCGCGCCGTCGGCGTCGTTCTCGAGCGCCTCGAGCGCACTGACGCCGCGCCCAGACGAGGCGTCGAGGCCGGGCACCGCGGGCCCGACGTACGCCCGCTTGCGCATCGCATGCTCCAGCAGCGCCGCCCAGTGCTCGTCGCGTGCAAGCGTCGGCGCATGACCCAGCACGATGAGCACGTCCTGGCAGCGCGTGATGGCCACGCACATCCTGGGGGCAGGTCGCGTCAGCATCGCCGGCCCGCTCTGCCGCGCCCCGGCACTCACCTCTTGCGCTCGTGAATCAGCCCCATGGAGCGCTTCGCGTCGGCCTCGAGGAACTGCGCACGTGCCCGTACGGTGCTGATGATAGTCACGCTGTGCTCGGCGCCCTGCACGACCTCCACGTTGCCGACCGAGACGCTCGAGAGGCTGGCGTGCGCGGCTCGCAGCGCGATGCGGATCCGCCAGACCTGTCAGAGAGGTTCAGCATGCGCGCTGCCGCAGCATGGCCAGTCGCACTGACCTGCTCGCGGAACGGCGTGATGACGCTGATCTCCGACGCCTTGACCACGCGCCCGGCCACATTGGGCCCGGCATTGCCGCACGGCAGGCCGGTCAACGATCGGCACAGCGCCACGACGCGCTCCTCCTCGCTCTTGTTGTACCACGACGCGCCTTCGTCCACCCTGCGAGCGAGGCGTCAGACGAGCACGGCATCCGAGGCCGCTGCCAGCTCACCACTCATCGGGTCCATCGACGTGCTCCACCAGCAGAGGCACCCCAGGATTCGGCAGGCCCTCCCAGACGGGCAGCGGACCAGCGGGGCGGGGCGCCGCGCACGGCAGCAGACAGTCGTCGTAGAATGCGCTCGACGGCGTGGCGAGAAGCACCGGGTCGCGCTGCCGGTAGTTGCGTACCAGCTGCGCGCAGTTCTCGGGCTTCGGGGTGACTGGTGGGCCCACGGCCTTGGGCAGCAGCGTTGCAGGCTGTTCCGAGCTGCCGCGCCGGAAGCGCCCCGACACGAGCAGGTCGCGCGCCGCGCGGCGGAGACGCAGCAGCTCCGTGCGATACACCTCGCGCTGCGTGAGCCGCTCGAGGAAGCTGATGTCCAGGCCGTATGAGCGAGCAGTGGCGGATTGTACTTGCGGGCCGAGCTGCGCAACATCGCCGCACAAGACCACCGTCGGCGAGTCGGCCGTCGTGTGACGCGAGGGCAGCACACAGAGCAGCGCGGCAAGAGAATCCGCCTCCGTGCCTTGCGAGGCCTCGTCGATCATTAGGTGCGTGAAGTGCAGCGGGACGCTCTGCGGCTGGCGCGGTCGCAAGCCTGGCAAGATTGCCGCCTGTGGGTCCGACACAAGATCAGCGTGTGGCCACGCAGCGGCTGAGCGCGGCTCACATCCAGGCGGCCGATGTCTGCATTGCTCGCGCCGCGACAGCGGAGCAGCAGGGGCACATCATGGGTGGCGGCTGTGTGTCGTGGCTGTCAGCGAACGGCGCTGCGACCGCTCCGGCGACACTCACCGACGACGACCCTGGCGGCCATGAGCTTCTTCCACGGCGGCAGGCCGAAGCTTGACCCTCCGTCGCCAGCCTCCTGCACGTGGCAGAAGGGTCCGAGCGCCTCAGGCAGCTCTGCAAACGTGCGTCCGGGATCGTTGATGCGCAGCATCTGGCCGGGCCGCAGCGCTGCTGTGAGGCGCAGCGCGAGTGTGTCCGCGGCTGTGTTGGAGGGCGCGCAGAGCAGGATCGAGGCAAACGACTGGCAGTGCAGCGTGGCCATCACGGCGGCGGTCAGCGTCCGCGTCTTGCCAGTGCCGGGCGGGCCAGCAATGAGAAACGGGATGCGGTGGCGGCGCCTCGCGATCGCGTTTGCGGCAGCCTGCAAGCGAGGTGTCAGCTCATGCAGCGCCAGTGCTGAGCACCCAGAGCCGACTGACCTTTTGCTCGTCGTTGAGCGTGTCGTCAAAGACGGGAAAGGCAGGATCCTCGCCACCGCGGATGCCAGCGTCGAGCGCCTGCACCTGGGCGTCTGCCTTGACGGGAAACAGCCAACGCCGCAGGGTCGCCGCAGGGCGATCGCCATTGGCAAGGATCTTGTACACTCGGCCGAGCACTGCCAGCGACTCGAGCGACTCGCGATGGCTCAGCGTAAAGATGACGCAGAAGCGCACGTCGGCGATGCTCGGATAGTAGGCTGCCAGGCGCGGCTGCAGCGAGGGACAGCGCAGCAGCACCTTGCCCTCGATGCGCCTCAGCGCCCACACGCGCGCCTCGAACTCGAGGTGCAGCCAGCCGTCGGCCGTGAGCGGACGCAGGCGGACAAGGCCGCCGGGCTGCAGCGGCGGGTACTCTTCGCGGATTCCTGGCACATCCATCGAGAACAGCCCGTCCAGGCCAGCAGCTTTAGCGAGCCGGCCCTTGTGGACATAGGGCTGCAGTGCAACTGCAAACATCGTCTGCTGCGCGAGCTGCTGCGCCTTCTCGTTGACTTCGATTCGCAGCAGGGTCGAGAGACGCGCCGCGTAGGTGCTCGGCTCGAAGGCTGGGACTGCGAGCGTCGCAGAGGCGCTCGTCGCCGGCTTGCTGCTGGGACTCGCAGCAGGCCAGTCGCTGGCTTCATCTTGTGCGGCGGCGGGAGAGCCCTTCTCCTCGGCGTCTGGCGCGTCAAGCGGCTCATCTGGCGCAGCGGCATCCGTCTCGGTGACGTCTTGCGTTGGCGGCGAAGGCGTCCGGCAGGGATCGAACGTCATGAGTGACTCGACACCGTCCTGCTTCCAGCTGGCCGACGGCGAGCGCGTCGCTTTTGGCGAGAGGAGGGACAGGCTGGAGCTCGGCGAGTTGCTGAGCGACTCGAGCGCCCCGCCAAGCACAAAGTCGTCGCCGCGCCCGACCCACGCGTCGCCTGCTCTGCGCAGCTTCTCGCCCTCCTCTGTGCGTTCGAGCGGCTCCTCAAACGGCTCGCCGGCCGCGTCGTGCTCCTCGTCGAGCACGTCCGGCGGCAAGAATGAGGCTGCGTACGCCGACCAGTCGATGCTCGCAGGCTCGGGCAGCCGGATGACCTCGAGCGCCGCCGCGCTGGCGACCTCTTGCAGCGAGGCGGGCACGAAGGGTGCCGCGTACTTGCTGACGCGCGCCCCCGCAGGCAGCGTGGCGATGGGCGCAGGCTTCATCGTGGCGGTCGCCGCGGAACCTGCGTCGACTGCGGGCGACGACACCGCCGTGGACGACAGCACCGTGCTGGGCGCGAGCCTTGCGGTACTCGCCGTCGCTGGAGACGACAGAATGCTCGTGCTGCGCGTGTCACTCGACGAGATGCTGGGCGTGCGCCGCGAGACGGCCGTGGGCGACTTCGAAGGAGCCTCGCTGGGCGCGGCAGAGGCGCCAGCACTCTGCCTCTGCTGCGCCGCACCCAGACCTTGAGCAGCGCTGAGATGCACCTGCGGCAGCTGCGGGATGCCGGGCGGCCCGCCGTGGGCCGAGCGTGCCGGCTGCAGGGCGTTGTGCTGGCCGGCGCGCGGGTAAATGGGCGGACTCATGCTGAACGGCGCGTATGGCGCGCCGCCGCCCTGTGGCATGAAGTACGCTGGATGCTGAGGCGCATGAGCGAGCAGGGGCATCGACGCTCCGCCGTGCGGCGCGAACATGGGCCCGTAGAGGGGCGCCGGCGGCTGCCAGTGCTGCGGCTGCTGTCCCGGCAGCTGCATCGGCATCGGCATCGCCATGTGCTGGCTCATCTGCTGCGCGAGGTGTGGCGGCATCTGCTGCAGCATCTGGAGCGGCATGTGCTGCGGCACCGCTGCGAAGAGGCCCGGCGGGTGCTGCGGCACCAGGCCCGGCGGCGAGGTGGAGGACGGCCCGGCCTGCGGCGCCGGCGCAGGCTTGCTGGCCGGGACCGAGTAGCGCACGGCGCCGCGCGGATGCCGGCCAGCCGCAGCTCCTGAAGGGGCCGGCGAGGCGCTGCTGTTGGCCAGCGCGGCGCGGCGTGCGTTTCCACCAGGGACCTGCACTGCTGCGCCCGGCGGCCGGCTGCCGGGCTTGGGCGGAGCGCCGGGCGCGCCGAGCGGCGGCCACTCGGCCTCGTCGTTCATCGCACGGCGGCGGGCCTGGCAGCGGCGCAGGCTGGCCGAGCAGGCGGCGGCGTGGTCGCGGTCCGCAGCGTTGCGGGTGCCGGGCAGGTGGTGGCCGGGAGGATGGAGGCGGCCTGAGCGGCGCGCGCTCCTGATGGCACAAGGCAAGGTGCGCCTGCATCTGCCAGTGCGCGGCGGCCGGCCGCGGCGCGGACAAAGCTTTGCTGTCGCGCGCCAAATCCGAATCCCAGGGACCTGGACAAGCCGCCGCCGCCGCGCCCGCCTCGCGAGCGTGCCCGATGCGCAGCAGGCGCTTCCCACAGGCGGTGAGGCGTGCAAGGGTTGCGCTCAAAATCTGCACCAGCGCTTCTTCTCCTCTTGTGTGTTGTTTTCGCGCTGCCCGAGCGCCGCAAAGCGAAGAACAGGGCACCGGCCGCGGGGCGCGGGCGGCGTCAGCAGCGACGCGCGCGAGCTGCGCCGCCGCTGGCTTTGTTGCTCGGGCACACGGCAGAATCTCGCAGCTTCTGAAGGCGCTTGCACAGCTCTTTGCAGCCACCTTCAAGTCGTTGCCGCCAGTTCAGGCGGTGCCAGCATCAGCAACGCCGCACGCCGCATCAGCACCAGTTGCGGTGCAGCAAATGGCAGCGAGCGCCTGGCCGTCGCAGCCTGCGCGCTGCCATGGCACGCTAGCCGTGGACCCTGCATGCGGCCGCGCGCGCGTGTCCCGCGGATGAGCAGATGATCGCCGCCGCCGCCGTCGATCCTGCTTCTGCCGGCTGTGTCCGGCGTCCGGCGACGTGGCACTCGCGGCCGCAGCTTGTGATGAATCAGAGTGCACTGCGAAGCGGCCTGGCGAGCCTGCGCTGCTGCCTCGACCGAGAGAGCCCCCAGCAGGCCGGCTGCGAGTGCGCCTGCGTGCTGTGGCCTCCAGACGGCGCGCCTTATCGCGGCCCGCGAGAGGCACCGGCACCAGCACGCCAAAACGCCAGTCAAAGGCAGCCGCAGCATACACCACGCCCAGCACAGTAGCGAATCTCAGTCGGGCGAGCGCAGCATCACAAGCAAAAGCGCTTGCTCTGTCGAGAGAGGAGCTGTCAGGCAGCCCAGCATGCTGCCTCTCAGCCGTCCTCTCCACGACCAGCGCGATGCAGCGCCTGCCGCCTGCAAGCTGCTGCACGCGAGGCGCATCGTGCAGCACACGCATGACGCGCGGAGAGGCGCAGCTTGCGGCATGGCCCCTGCGCCCCTGAGGCGCGCGTCGCGGTCACGCGAGGAGGCGGCGCGACCCCGCAGTCGGCCTCGCCTTATCGGCGCCCGGGCCGGACGTGCCCCCCTCACCCTTACACCACCACCACCACCACCGCCAGCCAGCCACCATGGGAGCATCGCCCTCACGCCCCGCCGCCAGCGCGCCGCCTGCGCTCTCCGAGAAGCAGGCGCCTGCCGCCGCCGCCGCCGCTGCGCCCGCCGCACCTGCGCCCACCAAGCCCGCACACACGCACGCCCACCACAGCTCGGACCGGGCACTGCGCATCGCCGCCGAGGCCGCGCAGGCGCCGCACGCCGCCAGCGCCGCCACGCCGTCGCTGCACCCCGCCGCACTCAAGCAGTGGCGCGACGAGGCCATGGCGCAGCCCGAGACGCGCCTCGCCGCCCTCGTGCTGCACAATGCCGACCTGGCGCTCAGCGTGCGCTCACGCAGCGCCGAGCAGAGCGTGCAGCACGTATTCTCGCACACCGTTAAGCGTGAGTGTACCCCTGAGAGCGATGCCGCGCCCGTGCTGATTCCCTCGCCTCAGTCGAGGGCACGCCCGTGACCAACCAGCGGTGCGCAGCTCGCTCCCGCCCGGCACGTCCTGCGCTGACATGCCCCACAGCAACTCCGGGCGCTGCTGGCTCTTCGCGCAGTGCAACGTGATCCGCACGCAGATCATGGCTCAGTACGACCTCGACAAGTTCGAGCTCTCCCAGAGCTACCGTGAGTCTCGGGCGTGGCACTCTGCGTCCGTCCAGGCCTGACGCTCGCGCGGCAGTCCATTTTTACGACAAGCTTGAGAAGGCAAATACATTCCTGCTGAACACCATCGAGCTGCACGAGTCAGCGCTAGACGACCGCGTGTACGGTTTCCTCAAGGGCGAGCCCGTCAACGACGGCGGGCAGTACGACATGGTCGTCAACCTGCTGCTGCGCTACGGCATCGTGCCCAAGCAGACGTTCCCCGAGTCCTTCTCGTCGAGCGCGTCGAGCCGCCTCAACTGGCTCGTGACGGTCAAGCTGCGAGAGCATGCCCTGGAGCTGCGTGCGCTCCTGCACTCGACCAAGGCGCGCCTCGCCAGCCTGCCGCAGGAGCAGCGCGACAAGGCGGCCCTCGCCGCGGCGCTCCAGCGCAAGGAGGCGCAGATGAAGGAGATCTATAAGATTCTGCTTATTGCGCTTGGCGAGCCGCTCGGCCCTGACGACGAGTTCACTTGGGAGTAGTGAGTGTGACGTGGCCCAGAGCTGTGCAATCTGAGCTAGCCCTCGCGTTCTGACACCTCCGATACAGCCACGACAAGGCGGGCAAGTTCCACCGCCGGCGCTTCACGCCGCTCAGCTTCCTGAAGAGCGTCAAGACCTTCGAGCCTCTCGCCGCGTGCTCGCTCGTCAACGACCCTCGCCGCGGCTACAACAAGCTCATGTCCGTCGACCGCCTGCAGAACGTGTGGGGCGCCCGCCCGGTGTCGTACGTAAATACGACCAGCCAGACGCTCAAGGGTATGTGCCAGCGGGGCGGCTTCGCAGCTCCGCGTTCTCACTGCCTCTGCTCCAGATTGCGTGGTGAAGAGCATCAAGGCGGGCTACGCGGTCTTCTTCGGCTGCGACGTGGGCAAATTTTCGCACTCCGCCTCCGGCCTGATGTCCACGGAGCTGTTCGACTACGAGGCCGCTTTTGGCACGAAGCTCGGCCTTTCCAAGGCGGAGCGGCTCGACATGGGCGAGTCGATGATGACACACGCAATGGTAATTACCGGCGTGTCTCTCGACGACGCAGGCAAGGTGCAGCGCTACCGAGTCGAGAACAGTTGGGGCGAAGACATCGGCGACCGGGGCTACATGGTGATGAGCGACGCCTGGTTTGACCAGTATACATATCAGTGAGCAGCGCAACAGGCTTCTTCCGAGCCCGAGTGCTGATCGGCCCCTGCCGCAGAGTCGTCGTTCGCCGCGAGTTCATGCCAGCCAACCTCTGGGACATCTTCGCTGCGGGTGTCAACAAGGACACCGACGTGCTCCCGCCGTACGACCGTGAGCCTGCGACGCCGCGTGCGCTGCAGGCCGGCATGCTGACCCGCTGCCCACAGCGTTCGCCACGCTGGCTTAGACCGCTGCTTGGCTCTAGATTGTCCTGCTGGGGCGCTAATACATTATACACACGGCGACGTCCGAGCTGAGAGCGTGCTGCAGGCCGCCCACACGCGACTCGTGATTCTGCTGCCGCGAGACCAGCCCTCCAGGCAGCGCGATCTGCTTCGGCGAGCAGCTTTTGCAGGCGCTGCCCTGCGCAGTTGTGTACCCTGCTCGAATGTCGAGCAGGCTGTGCAGACGGCGACATGCTCGCGTGAGCAAGGCTCGGATGCAGCGCCAGGAGCAGCGGGCGATGTGATAGCGAGAGCAGCTCATCGGCACTGCGCACGGCCCGCCGCACGCTCGCCCGATGTACCACAGGCTGGCGCAGCGCGCATTCCGCGGCGCAACCTGTGGACGCCGCGGCGCGCGCGGCGTCCCCCCTTGCGCTTCCCTCCCACCCCCGCCCCTTCCCTCCCGCCCTCAACAGTGTCTGTCTCGCCTGCCCTCGGCCCCATCGCACCCTCTCGGAACCTCATTGCCTTGCGAGCCGCACGCCATCGCCACGCCCGCATCGCCGCCTCTGCCTGCTGCCTCGCCGCACGCCCGCAGCGCTGCGCGCTCGCGGTCTCTCGACGTGCGCCGGCCTCGGGGCGTAGCGCACGCTCTCCCGCATGTCGCCAATGGGCTCGCCGCACGTGTCCGCTGCGGACGCCGACGACGCCAGTAGCGGCAGCGGCGCCAGCGACCTCTTCTCCGACGCCAAGGACGCCGCGCCCGCTGGCGCTCCGCAGGGCTCGCCGGCGCCGGGCGAGAGCATCGGCTTGTCAGATGCCTCGCAGCCGCCCGCCGCTACTCCTGTCGCTGCGCCTGAAGCACCTTCGACTGCGGCGCATGAGGCGTCAGGCGCGGCCAGCAGCCAGCGTGATGTGCCGGCGCCTGACACTGCCCCAGCGGCGGCGTCAGCAGACGCCCCGAACGTGCCGGCCGCTGCTCGTCCGAAGGGCACTGGCGTCGCGGCGCTTCTGAAGCGCTTCCAGCCCGGCGGCGGAACGTCAGGCAGTAGCAGTGATGCCAGCACCACGCCCGAAGGGAATGCGTCTTCGTCTGCACACGCCGCTGCACGCAGCTCGGGCCTCGTCGCGGCAAGCGACAAAGCGCCAGCAGCCGACGAGCGGCCGCTCTCTGGCGTCGTCGAGGTGGCCAGCCTCGACACGCTGCCGCCTTCCAAAGGTGCCCACTCGCTGCTCGACCCCGAAGAGACGATTGCGAATCCATTCGCCTCGCAGAGCCACTCGCGTGCCGCCACGCCGCAGCCCTCCTCAGCGACAGACCTAGATGTCGCCACGCCGTCTGCGGCAAGCGAGTCGGAGCGAGACCCTGCGCGCTTCTCCACAGCCTCGGACGCCGCGTTGGCCGACTCTTCGGCCTGGCGGGCAAGCACATCATCTGCAGCTCCGTCCGACAACTTTGATCCGGCATCGGCCGTGGCAAATCGCTTCAGCATGATCAGCCTCGGGTCCGCCCGTCCCTCGCGCTCGTCTGGCGACGGCTGGGGCAGCAACAAGAGGGATACCTTGCAGCCGGCGGACGTGGAGCAGAGCGAGGGGCAGGAGGGTGCGGGCCTGCTGGCGCGCCAGGCTGCGCGCATCAGCAGAGACAGCAAGGCACGCCAGAGCATCGACCCGGCGCGTCTGAAGGAGCACTTTGAGCGACTACAGGCTGGACGGCGGTCCAGTCAGGGCGCTGTGCCTGCTGCGACAAGCGAGGAGCAAGTCGAACAAGTGACAAGCAGCACATCGCCTGCAGATGCCGAGCACGCCGAGCCTGCGAGCGCGCCCGACGGCGCATCAGAGGAGGCGCAGGAGGACGTCGTCGACTGGGACTTCTGGGGAGAGGTCATGGCCAGTGAGTGCATAGACTCGCGCTCGAACGCGCTGCAGTGCTCAGCCTCCTGCCAGACTATCAGGAAGTCGCGCACACTCGGCCACAGGAGCTCAGCCAGGCGATCCAGGCAGGCATCCCGGCCGCCCTGCGCGGCATGATGTGGCAGCTGATGAGCAGCAGCAAGGACGAGGAGCAGGAGCTCATCTACGCCTTCTATCTCAAGCAGACGACGCCGCACGAGAAGGCCATCCGCAAGGACCTCGCGCGCACCTTCCCCGAGCTCTCGTATTTCAAGGACAAGACGACGGGCAGCGAGAACATGTTCAACGTCGTCAAGGCCTACTCGCTGTACGACGAGCCCGTCGGCTACTGCCAGGGCATGGCGTTCGTCGTGGGCCCGCTGCTGCTGAACATGCCCGACGAGGAGGCCTTCTCGACGCTGGTGCGCCTGATGAAGAGCTACGACCTGCGCGGGCACTTCATCGTCGGCATGCCGGGCCTGCAGCTGCGCCTGTTCCAGTTCGACCGGCTGCTTGAGGAGCTGCTGCCGCTCCTGCACCGCCACCTCGTCCGCCAGGGCATCAAGAGCAGCATGTATGCGAGCTCCTGGTTCATGACACGTGAGTGGCGCAATGCACCCTGCGCGGCCGAGCGCTGACACGCTTCAATGTCCCGTCTGCTCCTCAGTCTTGTAAGTACGCCACTGGCGCCCCTGCAGCCTTGCATGGCTGATCGCGCCGGACCTAGCGCCTACCGCACGCCGCTCGACATCATCTACCGCGTTCTGGACGCCGTTTTTGCCGAGGGCATTGAGGCGCTCTTCCGCTTTGCCCTCGCTCTTATGAAGAAGAACGAGGAGCACCTGCTGACGCTGGGCTTTGACGAGGCGGTGCCGATCTTGGCGACGCGGATCTTCGACGTGTACCTCGTGCGTGCACTGCTCGCCCCGCGGGATGGCAGCGCTGACGTCGCGCCCACACCACAGCACGCGCCCGACGGCGACAGCCCCGCTCGATACCGCGTCAACGAGTTTGTCCGGTGAGAGCGAGAGGCATCGGCCGGCCCACGCGAAAGCTGATGCAGCCTGCTTGCCGGACAGCGACGCTTTCCAGATGCGAATCACGCCCTTCCAGCTCGACGCCTATGCGGGAGAGTTCGAGGAGCAGGTCAAGGCTGCGAACGCGCACCGGCGTGAGGTCGAGGCGCTGCGTCTGGTCAACCGCAATCTGGCGGCGCGGGTCAAGTCGCTCGAGGATGAGCTGACAAGCATCAATGCGGAGCACGTCGAGTTGGTCAAAGTGAGTCCGCTCGCTCTGGCAGCACCTGACCAGTGCCGTGTTGACCCTCCGCCTCGGCCTGCAGACTGTCGTCATGGCAAAGGTAGGCGAACAGCATGCGCGAGCTGAGTCCGACACAGCTGACGGCGTGCCGCACACCCATAGCTCGCAAAGGAGGAGATGGCGGAAGAGGTGGGTCCAGCTCCAAGCCACCGTTAGCACATCTGCTCACAGAAGCTCTACCCTCAGCTCGTTCGCTACAAGATGATGTGCGTGCTCTCACGCGATGTCGCCGCCTGCGGTGCCTCGAAGCCTCTCTCCGTTGTGGCGCTGACGGTCGCTGCGCCACACAGGTACGCCGAAGCGGCTCTGCTCGCGGACCAGCAGGGCGAGGGCGCGGGCCGAGGCCACCACTTCGATCGCTCACCTTCGTCGAGCTCGCTCTCCCAGCGGTAGCAGCAATATATCATCCGCAAGCTCCGTCGTCTGCCGTTGGGCTGATGTTTTCGGGATCAGCGCGCACTCGCCCTCGCCATCCAGTATCGGCCTGCCGCGCATGGGGCTGCAGACCTCGAGCCGCAAGTGGAGCAGCTCGAGCGCCCGTGGCTCACTAAGAGCTGCGCCGAGATGCTCGAAGGCCAGCGATCTGCTACCTGCTGCCGCGTCGACGCCTTCCACGCCGCGCTCCACGGCAGGGTTGCCCGCTTGTAGGAAGGGCGCACTCCGAGGGTCCGCCGGTCGCCGACGGCAACAGCGCAGGACGAGATGGCGTGAGTCGCGACGCCGGCGCTTTATTTGCCGCCAGGTGGGAGCACCCCTGTCCGGCGACCATCAGCGCCGGGCGCACATTGGATTGCACACTCGGCGGCATCGCCAGACGCAGGGCAACCCGCCGCCACGTGTTGCCGAGACGGGCGGCGCCGTCGAGCATCGCCTCCCTGATGCTGCGCGACGCACCTGCACTGCCCGGCGCTGTGGCCGTCGCAAGCGCTCCTCGTCCGAGCCCGTCTTCACAGGTATTAGCGCTCGGCTGGCGTAGCGATCTCTCCGTAGCGGTGCCTCCGCAGAAGTCACAGGGGCTAGGGCGCACCGCCTGGGGACACTCGCCGCCCTGAGGACCTGGAGTGCCCGCGTATGGTGCCTGTTTTGGAGCGGGCTGTATCTGATTGCGCTCTACGCACGCCATAACTGAACGCAACACACAGTGCACTCCCGTCCGCGTATGGCAGCCCCCTGATGCACCCTACGCAGCGCAGCGCGCAGGCTCCCGCAGCCGCACCTGGCGAGCCCGTGGCGGCAAGGCCCCTGAGGCACGGCCCTCGCAGCAGAGTGATCCATCTCGCCGGCGACTAACTGCAAGTGCCCTCTCACTGCGTCGCTGCACTCCGTGCACTTCCGCGCTGACGAGGCAGAGTGAATGCAAGAATAGCGCAGCCGGTGCTGCTGCCCTCTGCTATCGTTGACGCCGTCTCATCACCACATCCAGCGGTCTGCGGGCTCGCCGTCCCACATCCACCCCCCACAGCCCACATGAACGACACCCAGCCACTGATGCCTGCTACTCCGCACACACCTGGCTCGCCAGCCGACGCGCTTGCCGCCCAGCAGCAGGAGCAGCTGCAGCCTGAGAGCAGCCGTGTGGGCGCCAAGAGACAGCTCAGGCGCGCCTCTGCGCCGAGTTCAGCGCACGGACGGAAGCAGCAGGAGAAGGTGAGCTGCGGCGCGGCTCCGTCGTCGAGGCGCCGACACCTGACATGTGCTGCCTGACAGAGGAAGCGAGCTGCGTCGTCCACGTGAGTCTCGACGTCGCAGCGTCCCTGCTCATCTGAGAACCGAGGCGCCGCCGCCACGCGCGGCTGAAGAGCATCGGGCCGCCATCTCTGATAGCGCACCTCTGCAGCTGGCCCGAGGGCCGTCAGAGGGAGTCCGCCTGCTCAGCACCAGCGGCAAGCAGGGCCTACGTCGAGGCAGGCAAACAAGCGCGGCCGCGATCGACATTTTCAGCCTCGCATGGGCCCAGCGTCGAAAAGGGAGAGACAGCAGCTGCAGCGGCGCCAAATGTCGACCTCTGCTCAGCTCTGCCGGCGGACAGGGCTGCGATTTCCATCGCAGACCAGCCGACGCCGTGCCAGGGAGCGTCGGTCGATGGCGGGATTCCGTCCACTCAGACGGTCGATCCGCGTCAGCTCTTCCTTGCTGACAGCGACGCTGGGCCCAGCGCAGGTGCTGCAAGCTCGGGAGCTTTCGAGGAGTCCACGTGGCCAGACCTCTTCGGCCCAGACGGGAGGCTCAAGCGACCGCCCAACCGCTACGTCCTGTGGCAGCGCTCTCTGTCAGCTGCTCAGCGCAAAGAGCTGTCCGACCAGGTCCGTGCCGATCCCGACAGCACCTCCCACAAGCACATGGTGAAGGCATGGAACGATCTGGCTCCCGACAAGAGACAGCGCATCGATGCGCAATACGATGCGCTCGCGCGACGCTTCCGCGACACGGTCAGCAGTCTCACGGCGAGCGGCCAGGAGCACCGTCTGCCGAAGGCGCCTGTGCGAAACAAGGAGGCCACCCGCAAAGACTCGTCCGGCCCGTCCGGCACTCCAAAGAAGAAGACGTCGCGAGACACTGCCAGTGTCGCCCCTTCTCCTCGACAGCTCAGCGCATCGCTTGACAGTGCGGGACTATGCACGTCGCCGCAAGACTGTGGCATGGCCGAGCAGTCGGTCGCAAGCTCGTCTGGCGCGGGCGGCGACGGACAAGAGGCTACTGGAGCTGTCCGTGACTCGCGAATCGCAAGGCTGTCTGTCTTTGACTCCGAGCTCGTCCGTCACGGCCCGCTCGTCAAGCGGACCTCGTGGGAGCTCCCGGCGTGGGTGCACGGTCCATCACGGGTGCCCGATGCCGAGCGGCCTCCTTCTCCACGAGCCCGCTTCGACAACGCAGCTCCACTCCACGCCACGCATCTCGTCAGCAGCGCTGTGACGCGACATCGGGCGTCTTCACTTCGCTTTTCGCTGCCTGACGAGGAGCACTCCGGCGGGGCATCCAGCCTGCTTTCCGAGCAAGCCATCTTCGCGCCGCCACACGAACTGCCGCAACAGCAGCTACAGCAGCAGGAGAGTCCGGACGAGTGGCTGATGCGCGAAGCAGCCGACTTGTCCGCCGCATCGGACATGCCGGCTGCGGACGTTGCGGTAGGTGTGCTTGGCACGAGTCTCGGCCCTTCACAAGCCCATCGCGCCTTGACTCACACGCCGCCTCTTCCTGCGCAGAGCCTCTCGAGAGCGAATGTGTCTGCACAGATCCTCCAGCACGACGTTCCTGAGGTCAGCGCTGCGCTGACGCCAGCAGAGATGTCCCTCGCCGATCGGCTCGAGCGACAGGCCGCGATGCTGCACGACTGGCACATGCGAGGCATGATCATGGACGAGCCCGACTACGTTCCGCGTGTGACTTCACAGCGACTGGCCTTGGTGAGCCGTGCAGAGACAGCCTCGCGGCACTCGTCGACTGACCTAGCCGACCCCGAGCTCGCTCAGCCGACGCAAGCGGCCAACACAAGCTTCGTAGGTGGCCGAGGAGCGCAGTCTGGCCGCTGGTCTGAGTCGATGCCTCGCCCACAGGCAGCATTCATGGACGACTGTGGACGCGATGCGCCATCGAGGCCAGAAGGTGTGCCCCACCCGACCCACCGCAGAGCAGAGGGATGTACAAGCTGACAGTTTACGGTCTCAGCCAGCCAACACGCCTCGCAGAGCCACTCGCTCGTCGGCGATTCTGGCTGCTGGGACGACGAGGAGCAGCACGACTGCTAAGGACAGGCCACACTCAGAACAAGCGCGGCACAGACCGACGATGGCGAGGCCGCTGTGCCAATCTTACGATTAGGTCTATTGCTCGGGAAGGGCCGCAGTGCTGGCCTCGCTGGCGAAGTGATCGAGCGCAGCGTGAAGGCGCTCCCTGGCGAGAGCCGGGCCCATGAGCACCAAGACGGTGCCAATGCTCGGGCCGCGCTATGAGACGGCATGAACGTCAGCGATCCGTGCGCTGCGTGGGCACGGGCGGACTCACAGATCTCGCAGTGAGGGCGTGCCGGATCTGACGCATCACGCGCTGTTTGCCCTGTCCCGCCTGCCAGCCGTTGGCAGCCTCCAGCCGCAGGGCAAAGTCCTCGAGAGCGGTTGTAAGCCAGAGCTCGTCGCGGGCCTGCGCTTCGCTGGCCACCTCGACGAGGTCGAGCGCCGTGTGGAGAACGGGAGCTAAGGCCGCACTTCAGATCAGCACCCACGCCCATGTCTCCCGTGTCCCTACTCACTGTATGTCTCTGGATCGCCCCGAAGCTTCGCAGCTTCTGACGTGCTCCAGTCCGGCGCCTCAAAGAGAAACGAGGCCGTGTCGGCGATCTCGTTCACGGTGTCGGGGCGACCCTGAGAGATGGCTCAGCAAATGCTGCGGCAGGCCATAGGTGCTGCTCACCATGACTGCGCGCACGATCTGCTCCACGCGCGACTGAGTCATGAGCTCCTTGGCTTCGGGCCAGCGGCCTGCAAGCGCCTGGCGAGCTCGGCTGAGCAACTCGGCGGCGGCTTCACCGCCCCTCTCGAGCTTTCGGGCCATGTGCTGGCGATTGAGGAAGCGAAGCTTGTCCAGATGCAGCTTTGCACGTGCATGAGAGACGTTGGCAATGGAAAACTGTTGAGGAGGCACTGTCAGCAGCCCGCGTCCGTCCAAGAACACAGCGAAACGCACGCCGTCGACCATCTCCGAGAGCGACATGACCTCATTGTCGCCTTCGCGGCCGTGCCAGTTGCAGCCCATCAGCGCGACAAAGTTCAGCAGCGCCTCCGGCTCGTAGCCCTCCGCGAGATAGTCCTGTGCGTTGACGTGTCCGCCTGAGCGCTTGGACAGCTTCGAGCCATCCTTGTTCATGAGGAGCGGCAGATGCGCAAACGCGGGCGGCGGACACCGAAGTGCCTCGTAGAGCGCCAGGTGCAGAGGCAGGGAAGGCAGCCACTCCTGAGCGGCAGTGTAAGAGGTTTCCCGACAGAGGCGCAGAAGCGCAACTCGCCTCTCCTCGCAGCACGTGCGTTATCCGCATGGCGTGGTCATCCACGACATTGGCCAGGTGGTAGGTCGGCCAGCCGTCCGACTTGACAAGGACTGGGTCGTCGGCATGCGACTTGGGCATGGTGATCGATCCATAGACCATGTCTTGTATCGTCGTGGGCTTGCGCGGCACCTGTGAGCTGCTTCAGCAGCAGGCTTCGCTGTCTTTCTCCGCAACAAGCTGACCCTGAACCGCACGACGAACGGCCGCCCCTCGGCAATCAAGCGCTGTGCCTCCTCCTCGTCGGGCACGATGGCGTCCCGGTTGGGCCGTGGCGTCTTCTTCTTCGTTTTGCGTTCTGCCTCCTTCTCTGCGAGGGTTGCGGCCTCAGGCTGGAAGTCGCGATATGCGTGTCCGTCCTGGTCACGGGCTTCAGCATGCTTCCCAGCGCTGACCAAAGCGCAGCCACGTACTCGGATCAGTTGTTCGCACGCCGCCGCGTACAGGCTCAGCCGCTCGGACTGCACGTAGGGCCCGCAGTCGCCGGGCGCCGAAGGGCTCTCGTCTGGTGTGAGGCCGCACAGGGCGAGAACGCGCAGCAGGCTCTCCTGCGAGCCCTCGACGAGCCGACTCTGCAGCCAGAAGGGCCGTCAGCCTCTGCCGAGCGCACATCCACGTCTCCTCCGCACCCTGTCCGTGTCCTCGATGCGCAGTAGCCAGCGCCCGCCGCTCTGGCGCGCAAAGAGGTAGTTGAAGAGCGCAGTGCGCAGGCCGCCGAGGTGGAGCGCACCCGTCGGCGACGGAGCAAAGCGCACTCGGGGCGTCTGGCCAGCACGGGCGTCCGCACTGTCGTGCATGCAGCGGCGTGCCGAGGCGCCAGGACATCTCCCAGTGCTGGGGCCTGCGACGCCCTGGCGCAGACAGCGGCGAGCCAGCGCAGCCCCGAAGGTGAGCATGACGCGCCTCAGCAGCGAGCGCACAGCGCGGCGGAAACCAGGCTGCTACAGCGTGCGGTCCGCTTCGAGACAGCGTCCAGCGCGCGAGTCAGTCTGCCGTGCGCAGTGCGAGCGGCGTGCTGCTTGCTGAGGCGATGAACGGCGAGAGAAGGGGCGGCGGGCGGCTTCGTGGTGCAGACGAGAGCAGCGCGGCCGCGCGCGGCGGCCGTGCGAGAGCATCACGCTTCGGCCGCGGCCCCGAATGCCGCGCGGCGCCAGCCGCCGGCTCGCCTCGCGTCGTGTGACAGCGCCGCCTTCCTTCCCTCCCGCCCTCCACCCCGCATCCCGTACCCCGCACCCGCCGCCGGTGCCAGTCTGCCAAGCTGCTGCCTCTCCTCTCCTCGCTCCTGCTCCGCACGCCGGCAACGCCTGCCCACGCGCTGCGCAGCCCGCACCGCTCTGCCGCCGCCATGGCCTCGTCCGCTGCCGCTGCCGCTGCCGCCGTGGCCGGCGCGCCGCCAGCCGAGCTCGCCGCAGCCCGCCGCTTCCTGCAGTACGTCGACGCCTCGCCCACGCCCTTCCACGCCACCGCCACGACGGCGGCGGCGCTCGAGGCGGCCGGCTTCGAGCGCCTGCAGGAGCAGCAGCTGTGGGACGGCAAGGTGCGCAAGGGCGGCAAGTACTTCTTCACGCGCAACCAGTCGGCCATCGTGGCGTTTGCCGTGGGGCACAACTTCGTGCCCGGCAACGGCGTGCACATCGTCGGCGCGCACACGGACTCGCCCAACTTCCAGATCAAGCCCGTCAGCAAGAAGACGAAGGAGAACTTCCTGCAGTGCGGCGTCGAGACGTACGGCGGCGGCATCTGGGCCAGCTGGTTCGACCGCGACCTCTCGCTCGCGGGCCGTGTCATCGTGTCCGACAGCACGAAGCACGAGAGCTTCACGGCGCGCCTCGTGCACATCAAGCGTCCGATCCTGCGCATCCCCACGCTCGCCATCCACCTCGACCGCACGGTCAACGACGCGTTCAAGTTCAACGCCGAGACCAACACGCTGCCCATCCTCGGCCTGGCGTCGTCGGCGCTCAACGCGCCGGCAGCGCCCGATGTGGGCGAGCAGGCCGTCTCGACGCCGGCGATGACGGAGAAGCACCACTCGGTGCTCCTCGATCTGCTCGCCGCCGAGCTGCAGGTCTCCGTGTCGCAGATCCAGGACTTTGAGCTCAGCCTGTACGACACGCAGCCGGCGTCCATCGGCGGCATCAACTACGAGTTCATCAACTCGCCGCGTCTGGACAACCAGATGTCGTGCTTCTGCGCGACCGAGGCGCTTATTAAGAGCGTGGCAGACGAGAAGAGCCTGCAGGGCTCGGGCGCTATCCGCGCAATCGCACTCTTCGACAACGAGGAGGTGGGCAGCGTCTCGAGCCACGGCGCCGAGTCGAACATGCTCGCTGCGCTCATCCGGCGACTGGCATCGATGCGCATCGCAGGCATCGAGCTCAGCGACAACGAGCACCAGCACGCCACGGCCTTTGAGCGCAGCATCGCCCGCTCGTTCCTGCTGAGCTCCGACATGGCGCACGGCTTCCACCCCAACTACGCCTCGTACTACGAGGAGAACCACCGCCCGCTGCTCAACGGCGGCCCGGTGATCAAGACGAACGTCAAGCAGCGCTACGCCTCGACGGGCCCGACGACGTTCCTGGTGCGGCGCATCGCCAAGCTCGCCAACGTCCCGCTGCAGTCGTTCGTCGTCAAGAACGACATGCCGTGCGGCAGCACCATCGGCCCGATGCTCAGCAAGCTCGGCATCCGCACCGTCGACCTCGGCAACCCGCAGCTGAGCATGCACAGCATCCGCGAGACGTGCGGCACGCGCGACGTCGACTACAAGATCAAGCTCTTCGAGACGTTCTTCGAGCGCTTCGAGGCGGTGGACCGCGAGCTGACGGTGGACTGAGGAGAGCAATACAGCGCATGTTGGCGGCGCCCTCGTGTGTGCAGCTTTCCGGTCCTGAGTGATGCATGGGGTGGGCGGCTGTGGGGAGCGGCGAGCCGTGCGTAGCTCGCGGCCGTGCACGCGTGGAGCGGCGGCATGCGGCGGCTGAGGGCTGCAGCAGCGCGGCGCGGCGCCCCACACAGCGCACGCCGCCGCGCGCCCCGTGCGCGTCTCACGCTTGTCAGTGTGACTCGGCCGCCGCGTGCTCTCCATCTTGCCTCTCAACCACAACAACCGCAGCTGCTGCCGTCCAGCATGGGCAAGTTCTACGACACCATCCCGACGTCGCTCATCCCGTGGCTGGCCGCCCAGCCGCTCTTCTTCGTCGCCACTGCGCCGCTCGCAGGCGGCAACGTCAACTGCAGCCCAAAGGCCACCGAGGAGAATGGCCGCGTGCTTCTGCATGTCCTCGACGAGCGCCGTGTGCGCTATCTGGACCTCACAGGCAGCGGCAACGAGACGCTGAGCCACCTGCGCGAGGAGGGCAACGGCCGCATCACCGTCATGTGGCTCAACCTCGTCGAGGGCGCGCCGCGCATCGTGCGCATCTTCGGCAAGGGTCCGTGTTGGGGCCTCCGGCGCTCTCGGCGTGTTGCTCACGCTATCCCCATGCACGACAGGCACCGTACACGAGCGTATGGATCCGCAGTCGGCATTCAGCCGTCTTGCGCCGCCAGAGGCCCAGCTGCCCGTCGGCGTCCGGGCGCTGATCGACATCGAGCTGCACATGTGCTCCACGTCGTGCGGCTACACGATCCCCATCTACGCGCCCGTGCGCGCCCGCCGGGCACTCGAGGAGTTCGCGCACAGGCAGGTCGGCAGTCCACCAGCGCCGGAGCACGAGGGCGTAGTCCACAACGGGCTTGGCTCGTACTGGATCAAGAACAACACGCTAAGCGTCGACGGGCTGCCAGGCCTCGCATCGTTTCAGATCCATGCAAGCGAGAGCGAGCAGGTCCGCCTGCTCGAGCGGAGACAGCTCTGGGACCGCAAGGCGCCGCCAGCCATCGAGCCAGGGGCTGTCTCGGACCCTCCGTGGCCTGCCGCCAAGGCTCCCCCACCTGCCGTAGCATCTCAGCGCCGCCCGTCTCTGCTGAGCGCCTGTCTGCTCGCGCTCGTCATCGGCCTGGCCTCTGATCTCCCTAGCGAGGCCACCTTCCTGGTGCGGTCGTGCATCCGTGCCGCTGTGGCTCTGGCGGTGATGCAGCTCATGTCGCGAGCGTGACGGTGCAATGTAGCTACTTCTGTGCATGACTGCTGCCCTCTGACGGCCGTTCGTCAATCCGCCGTCTTGTTCGCCGCTCAACCTGTAGACTCGTGCCCCAGTGCCAGTCTGCTTCACGCTCGCGGCCGCACAACACGTGGGTAGTGGCTAACGGCCTCTGCACCTCTGTATCGTCACTGCAAGCTGCTGGATGTCCAAAGACTCCCTGCACATGGTGAGCAGGGGCTTGAAACGTTCCTTCGCCGCGCAGCCTCGATCGCAGGTGAACGGAGGCAGCAGCATTGCCTGTTACTGCGAGCGTCGCGAGTAGGCAAGCGCGACAATGAGAACTCTTGCGCAAGAGGCGTCGTTCAGGCTGAAAATGATGCGCGAAGATGCGCATCTGCGCGCTTCCATTATCTGCCGCGGATTGCACGCCGGCGGACCGCACGCAATACTCTGCCTACGCCCGTCGCGCGGTGCCGACGTCTTGTAGCTCTGCCGACCGTTGACTGCGCGCTGACCGAGGCCATCTGGACGCGAGAGATGCGCTCACGCCGAACGCCAGTACAAAAACGGCGAACAGGCCAGGCAATTAGCCCGCTGCTGCCGTTGCGCGGCAGACAGTGCTGTGTACGGAGCGGCGTGCGCGTATGGAGGCCCATAGTGCGGTGCAGCGGCCTGAAGTCTGCACAACCGAGCCTCGACACGCGCAAATCACGCTGTCGGCGGCGACCAACAGCACACCGCACGCCTCACGCAGAGTCAGGCCAAGCAGGGATTGTGTGTGTGCGTGTGTGTGCGACGGCAGCCTTCATTCCTGCGCGCGAGCCCAGAGTACATGGAAGAGGAGCGCAGAGAGGGCGCCGACGCTGAGCAGATCACGTCCAGCGCACGCCAGCACGGCCGATCTCCTCGTCCCGGTTCACGTCCCACGTCGTGCGGATGCCGGCGCTGGCAAAGGGGATGCGCTTCACACCTTCCTTGGCGCGGTCGAGCTTCTGCTGGGCGCCAGCCTTCTCGAGCACTGCGTCGCGACGCGCATCGCCGCCCGCGGCGCGGTAGGCACGCGCGGCGATCCAGCGCGACACGCCACGCGGCATGAACTTGGCGAGGAAGCCGAGCGGACTGAGCGCAAGCAGCGCCGTGCTGAGCGCGAGGGAGAGGGTGCGCACGACGAGCTCGATGGGCAGCGTCGGAGGCAGCACCGTGCTGCCGCGCGGGCAGGCGGAGGAGAGGGAGAGCGAGTACAGGCGGAACACCGGGCTGGGGATGGTCGAGCCGCCGCCCTTGACGACGAGGCGGAAGTAGCCGTCACCGGCGCTGGCCGGCAGGCGCACGGAGAACGTCGTGTGCTTCTCGGAGCGCTGCGAGGCCGCGAGATCCTTGATGCGCGAGACCTGTGCGCGCGACAGAGCCGTGCGCGCCGGCGCTCCCTCGGCCAGCGGCTCCTGCGCACGGCTGAAGCTGCGCGTCGTCACCGGTGACACGTCGAGCTCGCCGCCGCGGGCGCCGAGGTAGCGGGCCGCGTCCCAGCCGACGAGTCCGGCGCGCCAGCCGCGGCGCTGCAGCGCGACCTGGGCGTCGCTGGCCAGCGCCTGCGGGCCGGAGACGGTGACGTGCACCACGGTCCACGGGCCGCGGTAGAGGACGAGGGGCGTCGAGTGGAGTTGCAGCGTGTATGCGCCCGTGGTGAGCGAGGACGGGTGGATGAGCGAGGTGAAGAGGTAGGCAATGTACTGCAGCAGGCCCAGGAGCGGGCGCAGCGGTGCCGGCACGGCCATGGCGAGGCGGCAGAGGCGGGTGGTGCGCGGAAGTGTTGACGAGAGGGCGGGCTGGTTGCAGAGAGGCAGCGGGTGTGGGCTTGCTGTGCGCTGCTGGTCAGGGTGCTGGTGGTCAGGAAGAAAGGCAGGCCCAAACGCGCCGCAACGGGAAGACGCAGCGTGCAGGGCCTTCGGGCCTCGCTCCGCGTGTTTCTCCACATGACCTCAGCTCCGCCGGCAGCGCGCGGCGGTGCGTGCGTCACGCTGCAGCGCCGAGTGCGCGCGCCGCGCTGCGGACGGATGCGTACCTTGCGCGGTTGCGCCCCCCCGCGCTCCTTCAGACCACCACACCACATCTGCAAGACGCAGCCGCACAAGGACTAGCAAGCACAGCGCTGCGCCGGCGCATAGAGCTCGCATCTCGGTCCCAAGCACCCTCTGCTAGCTCGGCTCGCCTTCCCGTCTCTTCCGTCAGAGGGCCCTGGCCAGCATGGCGCGTCCCCGCATTTTGCTCGTCAACGACGACGGCCCACCATCGCCGTCGTCGCCGCACATCCTGGGCCTGTACACGCGCTTGCGTGCGGCAGGCTACCCGGTGCGCGTCGTCGTGCCCAGCAGTCGTGCGTACGGCACTGGCACGCCGCAAAGCTCGCGAAGCCAGCTCACGCTCCCGCTCTCCGCCAGAGAAGTCGTGGGGCGGCATGGCGGGCTCGCTGGCGCCCATCGGCGTGTGGTAGTGAGGCGTTGCTCGGACGTGCAAGCTTTCTCGCTGCCGCTGATGCCGTTGCCGTCCGCAGCTACTATCCGCGCGCAGACGACACGCGCGGCGAACACAGCCAGAGCAGCTGGAGCGCTGAGCGGCGCGCGGTCGCCGAGGGAGAGGAGGGCGAGTGGCTCGCGGTCGATGCCGTGAGTGGTGCGCAGAGCATGGCAGTTTCGCAGGGCTGACGCGGTCCGGCAGTCACCGACTGCGGCGACGAACATCGGGCTGTTCAACGCACGTCGCTTCTTCCCCAGCGACAGCGCTGCGGCAAGCGCGGACAGCGCGGAGCTCGACATTGACCTCGTGCTGAGCGGGCCGAACTTCGGTCGCAACACTGGCACGGCATTCGCCCTGGCGTGAGGCAGTTATACAGCTCGCGTCTCTGGATCCAGCCCTGACGCAGCGACGCCACAGCTCCGGCACCGTCGGCGCGGCCCTCGCCGCGGCTCTTGCAGGCGTGCGCTCGATCGCCCTCTCGTACGGGCACTTCTCGTCTCTGCCGCCCGCCTTGGCAGCGGCTTCGAGTGCTGCAGAGCCGGCCTCGCTGGCCGCTGATGCATCGAGCCAGGTGCAGGCGTTGGCTCTGGACGCGACGGTGCGGCTCGTGGAGCGGCTTTGGACAGAGTGGGAGGCTGGAGTCGGCACGTACGCAGTCAACGTGCCGCTCGGCTGGACTCTGCGCTCGCCCGAGATCGTGTGGACCCGCATGTGGCAGTCGCAGTACGGACAGGTGAGCAACGCCCAAGTGCTGCTGCTCACTCCGAGACTAACAATGCGCAGCTCTACCGCCCTCTCCGGCGGCCCGACGCCGCTACTCAGCCACAGGAGAGCGCGTCTGACCTGCCGCCTGCAAAGGTCGATCACCCGTACCTGCCTGCGACGGCGCCGCCGCCTGCACAGCACCTGCACTTTGCGCCCGTGATGCCGCGCCTGCTTGCGCCGGCGCTGGAGGACTGCCCGGAGGGCACAGATGTCTGTGAGCATGCGCCTCTTCTGCCAACAGCGCTGTGCCACCGCCTGACGCCTTCGCTCAGGGGCCCTGATGAACGGCATGGTCTCGATCACGCGCCTTGCCCCGGCCTTCAGCGAGCCGCTGCTGCGCACAGACGGCGGCGCACCCGCCGCAGAGCAGGAGCGGCCTGGCTCAGCGGGCTTCACACCCCAGACGTGGCGCCTGTAGCTCATGACACAGGTGAACGCTTGCGGCAGAGATCAGACTGCATTGCGGCGTGATACACAGCGAGCGGAGCGAGCGGCGGCCCTACTTTGGCTTCTTCCACCACTTGTCATCGTCGGCCCCGGGCTGCGCATCGGGCACCCGCTCGCCGATGCCGGCGCCCTCGCCCTCGCCCTCGTCACTTTCGATCTCCAGTGTCTCGCCGTTGTCGCGCAGGGAGCCGCGGCGTACGCGGCCGCCGTGCGCCGCGACGATGCCCTCGACCGTGCGCGCCTCGTCGGAGTCCTTGAACCACCCGAGGTGATCGGCGATGAGGTGTCTGGGCAGTGCTGTGTTAGCGACGCTGCCGACGGCGGCAATGCGCGGCGCACGCACCTACTCTTGCACTTCGGGCACTGCACAATTACGATGCCCTTCTCGTAGCTCTTCGCGCTGAATTCGTGCGCCGATCTGTGTCCGCATGGGACCTCGCCGGCAGTGCACGTGAAGGAGAGGCTGAGGCGGCGGTCGATGGCGCCGAGCTGCTGCCGCGAGTCGCGCAGCGCCGCAGAGGAGTGCCACCCGCGAGACGACGGCGGCGGCACCGCAGACAGGGCACTGCGCCGGGGCGATCGGCCCATGCACGCCGGCACCGGGTGCGGGTCGCTGCGGCGCGCAAAGCCGGCCAGGCGGAGGAAGGTTGCGCGCAGGCCAGCCCACAGCTGGAAGGGTGCGAGGGAGAGGTCAGCTCAAGTTCCGTCTCACGCAGGATGCGCGACCTCAATCGGGTGCACCGCGCGCTTATGAACGCTCCAGCAGAGGCTTGATGCCACCGGGTCAACGCACCTTGCCGCCGAGCTCTGGCTCAACGCGCTCGATCTGATGCACACAGATGTCGCCATTGAGACTGATCTTGTACTTCGAGCGGATTCGGAACGTCTCGTGCGTTCCCAGTACGCGCAGGGTTCCCTCAAAGCGCATGCGCACGATGTACGCGTGGCGCTGATTGCTGGACAGCGCCGTCGAGTTGGCGTTCGTCGGCCGGTTGCTGGAGTGATCTACGAGGTAGATGCGCTCGAGCACCAGGCTCGGGTTGGCGAAGAGGGCAAGCAGCGTCAGGCGCAGCAGCTGTGCCGAGGCCATGTACAGCGTGCGCCCGTGCAGGGCAAAGTGCGGCATCGCAAACGCAGCGTCCTCCTCCTCGGGCGTGGGCTTGCGGCGGTTGGCAGCCGCATGCGCCTGCCGCCGCAGCTCGCGGTTGGACACGCGCGGCGGCGGCGTGAGGAAGGCGAACCTCATCTCCGAGAAGTACGCCGGCCGCTGTTTGTCGCCCGGAAAGAACTCGGCCGCCGCGCCCAGGTCGTAGTCGACGACGCCCAGGCGCAGGAACTCGGGCAGCGTGGTGCTCAGGAGGTTCTTGCAGCGTGTCAAGCGGTCGAGATACTCCTGCCGGCCGAGCTGCTGCTCTCTCTTCGACGAGCCTGGCATGGACGCATCGCCCTCCGACGCAGCGGAGCGCGCGAGGGGCGGCGACAGCAGCGAGGGCGGCAGCAGCGCGAGCTGCTGCGCCGCTGGCGAGAGCGGCGGGTGGAGGCGCGACGAGGAGGCAATGTGCCGGCTGAGAGACGCCGGGGCGGCGCGCCGGGCCAGCGCAGCAGCGCCGAACATGCTGGAGCGGCGAGCGCAGTGCAGTGTCTGTCTGCTGGGAGGAGCTTGCGACGACCGGCGGGGCGTGTGGGTATCGAGGTCAGGTGGAGAGGCGGGGCGCGGAAGGCCCAGAGGACGGGTCCACTGCGCTTTTGTGGCTTACGTCAGCGGGCCGCGGCCCCACCGCCGATGTCGGGATCGTGGCGCAGCAGGCGACGCTCGTGAAGCCTTGCCTCTGCCATCGCTGTGTTTAGGCTACAATACTGCTGAGCCTCGCACAGCAACGAGCACGTTGCAGATGCGACCTTTGGCGAGGCGGAGCGATGAGGAGCGTGGTGCTGGCTGGAGGCGCACGCTGCACGCGCGCAGCACGCAGGTGCAGGTGCATCGAGTGACGTCAGGCGCACGCAGCCTCGCCTGTCACGCGCGCCGTGAGGCTCGCTTGCGCCTCACTGGGGCGGTCAGTGCGCCGCGCTTGCCCGCATCTGGCTCTGGGGGCTCGAGTCGGCACGCCCCCTCGCGCGGCCTCGCACCTTTCCACGCACCCACATCCTCCTCATCTCGTCTCCAGCCCTGCGCCGCACCATGGCTCCGCCTGCTGCCAGCCACGGCGCCGCGAAGGAGCGGCCGCCGCGCCGCCTCAGCCGCCTCTTCGGACACCTGCCGCTGCCGCTGCCGGCGTCGCAGAAGCGCGACTCGGACAGCGCCGTCGCCAGCCCGACGGGCAGCAGCTCGGCCCTCGCGCCGCCCGCCGCCCGGGCCCACCACGCACGCCCGCGGCGCCGCTCGTCGACGTGGTCGCTGCTGCCGCTCGGCTCGCCGCTGCCGACGCCGCCGCTGCCGCCGCTGCTCGCCGAGCAGTTCTCAAACCCCGACGACGTGGCGGCCTTTGCCGAGGCGCTGCAGGACGATGCCGGCCAGCAGGATGTGCAGGCTGCCGATGCGGGCGCCAAGACGGCCGACCAGCTCGGCGCCGAGGCCGGCGACGCTGGCGAGCCCGAGGCGACGCCCGCCGCACTCGTCAAGGCACCCAAGGTCGGGCGCATCGCGGCCGCGTCCGACTTTGCGCCCGTGCGCGAACGCCGCATCCGCAAGCCGCGTGCCGGCGCCGAGACGGGCGTGGCGCGCGAGGGCGCTGTATACGTGCTTCTGCGCTTTCCGCTGCTGCTCTGCGTCTGGGCGACGATTGTGCTGCAGTTCCTCGCCTACGTTCTCGTCCGGCAGAGCGTCAATGCCCTGGAATGGGTGATGGCGTGGCGCGGCCAGCGCGGCCGCCTGCGCCGGCGTCTGCGCCAGGCGGCCTCCTGGACGGAGTGGCGCGCAACCGCGCACGAGATGGATGCATTCATGGGCTACGACGCGTGGAAGAACGTGCGCGAGAGCGGCCTGTACGACTGGAGACTTGTGGCCAAGGTGCACAAAAGCCTCAAAGGTGCGTCCCGGAGCGCTCGCAGCCCTGGGCACAACCGGCGAATAGCACGTCCACGCTCTGTTGGGCTGCAGGACTGACATGTATTGGCGCCTGTAGCATTCCGAGAGCAAGATGATGCTGAGAATCTTCTCGACGTGCTCGACTTGTGCATTCGGAACAACTTCGCGGGCATCGAGAGCTTCCGCCTTTACTCGGAGACCTTCTGGGGCACCAAAGTGAGTCCTCCGCGGCGCTTCGTCGCTGTGTACGCGCGCTGAGACGACCCGCTTTGCGCAGGTCGCGATTGAGTCGTATCTGGATGAGGCAGAGCGTGCTTTGCGCTACATCCAAGAGACAGACAAGGTGCGTGTGTTCGCATCACGCTGCTTGCGCTCTGTCCTGATGCACTGCTCCCCGGCAGATCCCTCTCGAGCGCAAGCGTCACTTCTGGCGCACGCTGTCCAAGAACCTCGGCAAGACTGCGCTCTGCCTCTCTGGCGGCGGCTCTTTCGGCTACTGTGAGTGTCAGCGCTGGGCTACGCCAGGGCGATGCTAAGACTGCAGCCGCCAGACCACATTGGCCTTGTCCGGGCGCTTCTCGACGCCAACTTGCTTCCAAACATCGTGACGGGCACGTCTGCGGGCGGGCTGATCGCGGCGCTCGCGTGCACGCGCCACGACGAGGAGCTCCGGGAGATTCTCGTGCCAGAGCTGGCCGACCGCATCACCGCGTGTTGGGAGCCCATTTCGATCTGGGGCCCGCGCGTGTGGCGCACCGGAGCGCGCTTTGACACCGTCCAGTGGGCAGAGAAGGCGCAGTTCTTCACGCGCGGCAGCATGACGTTCCTCGAGGCGCACCGGCGCACTGGCAAGATTCTCAACGTCTCGGTCATTCCGGCCGACCGCCACTCGCCCGTGAAGCTACTCAACTACATCACCGCGCCGAACTGCATCATCTGGTCCGCCCTACTCGCCAGCGCAGCTGTCCCCGGTATCGTGAGTCGGCTGAGCATTGTACACGCCGCGCCAGACGACTGACTCGGCTCTGACGCGTGTTCGCCTCGCTCCAGATGAATCGTGCGTCCGCATTTCTGTGCCGTCCTCTCGCGATCATCACACTGACTCGACTCTCCTGCAGCCGTCTGTCTCATGCAGAAGCATCCCAAGACGGGCAAGGCGGAGACGATGTCGTATGGGCACCGCTACAAAGACGGCTCGCTGCGAGTGGATATCCCGCTGTCCGATCTGCGTGAGTGCCCCACGCTGCGCCTCTGGACCCTCACGTGCTGACGGCCGCCATGCAGACGCCCTGTACAACGTCAACTAGTGCGTCCGGATCCGCTGATGTCAGTGTGCCGCTACTCATCCCTCTATCCCGCAGCCCGATCGTCAGCCAGGTCAACCCACACGTGTAGGTGTACTCGCTGCGTGCCAGCGATGCCATCGCTGATCGCCTCGGCCCGCAGTCACCTCTTCTTCTTCGCGCCGAAAGGCATGCCAGGACGTCCCGTGGCCCATCGGCGCGGAAAAGGCTGGCGCGGCGGCTTCATCCTCAGTGCCGCCGAGCACATCATCAAGCTCCACCTCAGCCTCAACTTCAAGGTGCTGCGCGATCTGCAGGTCCAGCCGAGACTCCTCGGCCAAGACTGGTCAAATGTCTTCCTGCAGCGCTTCAGCGGCGCAGTGACCATCTGGCCGCGGACGCGTGCCTGGGACTGGGTGCGCATTCTCAGTGACCCCGACAGAAAGGAGCTGCGGCGCATGATGCAAGTCTCGCAGAGCACGACCTTTCCGAAGCTTGTAAGTCGTCAGCGCCAGTGGACTTGGCATCTGGCTCACGGGCTCCCCTTCCCACCAGCACATGATCGACAACCGCCGTCGGCTCGAGGCTGCAGTCGAGCAGGGCCGTCACGCCTGCCGCCGCGCTCAGCGTGCCCAGAACGCGACGGCACAAACCCCGGGAGGCAGCAATGCGCAGACGGACGGACAGCTGTCGAATTCGCGTCTCTCAGACGAGAGCGCGGCCGAGACGTCCGGCCCCGGCGCCGCACCGGGAGACTTCTTCTCCAGCAAGCGCGTGGCGCGCGAGCCCACGAGGCTGCGCGACATGGCGCGCATGGTGAGCTACAACAGCGTCACTCTGAGCGACGAGGGTGGCGCGACGCCGGGCGAGCCGGAGACGCCGGGCGAGCTGCCGCGCCATGCCCGCCTCCGGTCGCTTGGGCACAACGAGGAGTACGCCGGCTCGAGCTCGGGCTCCACCACGAAGCGACCCTGGAGCCGTGACCACCACAACGGCAGCATGCCGTCGGAAGGAGTGCGTGAGCACGACTTTGCTGGGATGCGCGATGGCAGTGCGACGACCGACGAGGACGACAACGAGGAGCCTCTGACAGCTGCCGCGCTCAGCCCTCGGCACGCGAACCCGCCGCATCACGACTCGCTGCGCCGCTCACTGCCGCGCCAGCACTCCAAGGGCAAGGATGGGCCCGGCGGGCATCAGTGGGGCGACCGCGGCTCCATGAGCGCCGGTGGCGGCCTGCGGTGGGACGAGGGCGACAGCAGCGCGTCGTCGGACGAGGAATGATTCGATTGTGCTGGAGCATGTCGCGGTCTGGCATGAGATGAAGGATGAGCAGACGGGTGACGGGATGGGGCTTGTCGTGTGAAGATGTGGCAGTGGCATGAGATGGACCCGGCGATGCGGCAGAATGTGTGAGGCGGAGCGAGGGATTCGAATGTAAGCAGCGGTCAGGAGAAAGTTGGGGATGTAGCGAGCGAATGTACACGAAAGGGAGGGGACGGAGAGGATGCTGTGCTGTTTGAGGTGATCGGCTGGCGGCGCGGCTCGGGCTGTGCTGAGGCAATCTAGCGCTTCTCCGCGGCACAGGCGCTGCACCGGACCTGTCCACGCTCGTCGACCTTCGCCGCCGAGTCTAGCTGCTTGCCGCACTTGCCAGCGACGCCGCCCTTCTTTTCGCCGCCACAGCGCAGGCACGCGCGGTGCCAGCTGGTGCCGCGCGGGCCCGGGACGCCCTCCAAGCGCGTCAGCATGCGTGCACAACCCGCGCAGGCCGCCTGCCCGCCGAGTTGCCGACCGGCCGGGGCGTAAGAGGAGGCACTCCGCGGAGCTGCAGCGTTGGCCGCAGAAGAGGTGGAGAAGATGCCAGCATGGGCCGAGCGAGAGGCCTGCACGTTGAGCGTGCTGCGCGTGGGCGGCGCAGCGCCGGCAGAGGGGACGAAGCGGCGGGGCTCGACCGGCGCGTGCCTACTGCTCGACTGCGACCCTGTCGAGGGCGCCTCCGGAACAGCAGTTGCGTGCGGCGAAGCCGACGTCCGACGGGCAGTCACGAACGCATGTGCCGGCGCAGTGGGCTGCGGAGAGGGCCCGAGCGATGGGCGGGGTGCCGACTGATGCGTGACATGAGAGGTCGGACCGGAGCGGGGCTTGATCGATGCAGACTCAGAGTCCCTCAGCACCGGATGAAGTCGCGGCGCAGGGGCGCACGCGGGATGAGCGAAGCGGCCCAGATCGCCAATCGGGCCGCCAGGCACTGCAGGGTCGTCACAGTCGTCAAGGCTGACGAAAGTTCTTGTCCCATCGATGCTCTCGCGGCAGACGGCGCACGTGAAGCAGTGTGCGTGCAGAAAGGCGCCGCGAAGCTTGATCATCTGCACGCTGGTCGCGCCAGCAGCTGCTGCATCCCAAGGTGTTCCCCGGCAGTGTGCGCAGCGCACAGCATCCTCCTCCGTCGCGGTAGAGGGGCGGGAAGGAGAGCTGCTGGCCGCCTTGGGCTGCGCAGGTGCGTGTGAAGGCGGCGCGTGCGCCTGAGCACGCGACTCCGAAGCTGCTGCATCCGCAGCCACGTCCTGACTCGAGGCGCTCCTCGATGCCGACATCTTGTACGGGCTTGTGCTGCGGCAGCGCGAGTCCCGCCTGCCAAGACGTGCGGCACTGGCGGCGTCACTCGCATCTGTGCTGCCGGGCAGCGCGCTTCTGAACGCGTCGAGATCGAAGCGATCGCCAGTGAACTGCGCTGTAAGTGGCCTTGGCTTCGGCGGTGATGCCGGCACGCGAGTGGGCGAGAGAGAAGAAGAGCGGTCGCGCAAGTGGAAGGTCGATGAATTGGAGCGCGGCAGCGGTGGGCCAAAGCCGGAGCTCGAGGACGAGGGGATGCGCGTAGACAGCGGGCGCGAGACGGTGCGCGCAAAAGGCGCCGCAGCCGACGACGGCGCAGCACCGGCGGCAGAGGTGCTGAAGCGCTTTGACAGCGCTTCGATCGTAGCGCCCATGCCAGCGCGCGTGGATGCGCTGGCGCCGGACATGCGTCTGACCTCCATAGGGGTGGCAGCGGCGGGCAGCGCCTTGTTCGGCGATGCCGCTCGGGCCCCGCGTGTGTCCAGCGCTGCGGGCCGGCCGCGTGGCCTGGGTGTGTCGAAGCATGCTTCGCACACAGGCATGCCGTCCATGCCGCGCAGCACATCCTCGGCCCGCCCGCATGGGCACACCCAGCAGCGGCCGTGCCAGACGGCCTCGCCGGCACGCACCAGCTTGCCCTCCTCTTTCGTCAGGCCGAGCACGGGGCGTGTGCAGCCGAAACAGGTGCCGAGGGAGAAGTGCGTGGCGTAGCACGGGCGGCAGTAGTATGCCACTGCCGCTGGTGCAGCCGCAGCTGCTGGTGCGGCGGTAGATGCCGCGCCGGGCAGCGGCGGGCCTGGGTACAGCGTAGCATCGCGCGCGAACTGCGCGCTGCAGCCGGCACACGCCCACGCCTTGAGCTGCGCGTCGGGCGAGAGGAGCGTGCCGACGACCTTCTGCAGGCCGCCGCCGGCGCTGGGCACGACGGGCGCCGAGGCGTCGGAGGGAATGCGCGGGCGCGGGCGCGTCGGCGAGGCGGAGCGCAGGTCGCGCGAGATCGACGAGGGCAGGTTGAGCGACGAGGTGGGGAACTTGAACGCCGTCGTGGTCGCCGGCGACGCCGACGAGAGCGTGGTGGGCGAGAGCTGGCCGGAGACGTAGCTGCAGCAGGCGGCGGCGTGTCAGCAGCAGCACGAAGCACCAGGCGCACTGGCGCACAGCCGCGAGCCTCGCACGACACTCACCGCCGCGTCCAGGGATCGGCGCGCGCCGACTGCGCCGTCATGGCCGCCGTGTGCGGATGGGACAAGGTGCAGCGAAGCGGATGGCAGTGTGCCACGCCGGTCGACGATGAGAGGCGGGAGGCAGGAGCAAGCCCAGAGCGCGCCTCTTGGCGGCTTGAGCCCGCGCACGGCGCCTTGCTTCATTCGGCCTCAGGGGCGCTGTGCACACGCAAGCAACACCCTCGGCGCGCGTGCTGCACCGCCTCAGCCCAGGCACCCCGCCGGCAGGCGCGACGCGCACACGTGATGCGCCAGGCGGGACTCGGGACTGCGAGCGCACGCTTGCTTGACGTCAGCAGCGCGAAGGCTGGCCCGCTCCACCTCGCAGAATGATGCTGTGGGCACCTTCCGCCGCGCAGCGGCGGAAGGGCGGCCCAGTACTCAGCTTTGCCCGTGCCCACCCCCCGCCTGCGTGCCGGGCTGACCTGCGCCTTGTGTTGGTCTGCTTCCTCGCACCATCTCACCCCCCTGCTGCTCGCAGCCTTGCTCGCACCGCGCCTCTACGCAACCGTAGTTCCGGCGCCGCTCTACGCTGCAGGCGTCTCTCTCTCGCGACGCGCGAGCCGCGCATGAGCGCCTCCATCGGGCCCACGGCGCCTGCCTCCGTCATGGCGGCACGGCCGGCACCGCCGCCGCCGCCGCGCGAGGGCACCATCTCGCTCAAGGGCGTCGCCGGCGGCCTCGCCAGCGGCGGCACCAAGTGGCTTGTTGGGCAGCCCTTCGATCTGGTCAGTGCGGTGCGGAGTATGCGTGGAGGCGGGCCAGCGCGGGTGAGACGGCGCGACCGGCAACGCTGCAAGGCCCATTCTTGAGTACTGTTTGGTGTGCGCAGACCGGCTGCGCTGCTGCAAGAGAGCATGATGCAGCGCCGCTGCCCAGAGGGTGGCCAGAGGCAGATTACGGAGAGATGGCGGAGCCCGCGGGCCGAGGCACCGCCGTTCCTTCCTCAGCCAACCCGCACGTCCAGGGCGATGGCTGTGTCGATGTTGCCCATTCTGCGATCTGCTGGAAGCTTCCCGCTGTGCTGTCGCCTCTGCTGACACTCATCTACCTCAGATCAAGGTGCGGATGCAGTGCTCGCCATACGGCACGTTCCGCGGTCCGCTCGACTGCCTGCTGCGCGTGCTTCGCAATGAGGGCCTCTTTGGCCTCTACAAGGGCGCCGCGCTGCCGCTGCTGAGCTGGAGTGCCAGCGATGCTCTTGTGAGTGGGAAGCTCTCTTTCGCGGCTGCGCCGCGGGCTGACTCTGGAGCAGTTGATGGGCAGCCTGCATCAGTACCGCATCGCCCTCTCGCGCGCGACGGAGACGGGCGAGGGGACCGGGAAGCGCCTGCCTACGTGGGGTCATGCGCTCGCCGGCCTTGGGTGAGTGTTGCTGACAGGCGACGACGACGAGAGCGCACCCGGGCTAAACATGTGCGCTCTCAGCGCGGGCTCCACCAATTCGATCATCACCGCTCCGGTCGAGCTCATCAAGGCCAAGCTGCAGATGCAGCAAGCCAGCCGCGTGAGCCTCCTCGGCTCGAGCTCGTCTGACAAGTCTGCGACTGTCGAGTTCAGCGGGCCGCGCGACTGCGCCAGACAAATCGTCGCCAAGGACGGCGTCCGGGCGCTCTGGCGGGTGCTGCCGGCCACGCTCCTCTTCCGCGCAAACTTTGCAGTCATGTTCTCCTCGTGAGCATGGCGCCTGCCCTCGCTGCTCTCCGCATGCTGACGTTGCTGTGCAGCTACGACGCACTCCAGTCGTACTTTGCGTCGCTGCGGGGCACGAGCTGGGAGCTCTCGTCCGGCGCAGCCACGTTCCTCTCCGGCGGCCTGGCGGCAGAGGCCTTCTGGCTCACGGCGTTCCCGTTCGACGTCGTGAAGAACCGCATGATGGCCGACTCGCTGCACAGCCCCAAGTACCCGACGATGAAGTCGGCCTTCCTCAGTGTCTGGGACCATCACGGCAAGGACGCGAGCCTCGCACGGCGCATCCGGACCTACTACACGGGCTTCACGCCATGCCTGCTGCGCGCCTTCCCAACGAATGCCCTGGCGCTGCTGGCGTTCGAGGCGACGATGAAGCTCATGGGTGCGGAGAAGGTGAGTGCCGTCGCCGTGCAGTGCCTCCCCCGCGCTCCTGCTTACGCCTGCCGGTGGCAGACGACGACCCAGTAGGCTCTGCTCGACCACAACTCTCTGCTGCTCCACCAGTCGCTGTCACTGCCTCGCTATATCCATGCCCTGCCCTGCCCGCATCTGTACAACACCACTCCATTGCAGCACTCAGACTAGCATACAGACCCGGCCGAGCGCCGCGAGGCGGTGTGATGGACGCTGCTCACTCCCAGTCCGAATCGCCGCTGTCTGCGTCGTCGTCCTTGCGCGCGGCTGTGCCCATCTTGTCCGCGCTGCCAGCAGCTGCAGATGGGAGCGCGGCGCGCTGCGGCGCATCGGACACGACGGGCGGCGCAGCGGCACGGTCCAGGCGCGAGGCGTGCTCGGCGTCCGTGTCCCACTCGAAGGCCTCAGAGCCGGCATCAGACGCCTCGGTGGCCGAAGCCGCAGCCGACATGGGCACTGACGCGGCAGCCGGCTTCGCTGCGACACCCTCGTCTCCGCTACTTCTCGAAGCCGAGACGACAGCTGACCGGCGGCGTCAGCAGCCGCGCATGTCTGAGCGAAGCCTGTTGCACTCACCCGCCTGCTTGCCTTCAGCCTCCTCCGGCGGCACGACCTTGACAAGGTCGCCCATCATCGCCTTCACCTCCACGCCGACATCCTTCGCCAGCAGCTGCGACTGGTCCCAGTAGCGCTTTGCTAGCGCCTCGCTCTGCTTGAGGTCGAGGTGCGGCAGCGAGGCCTGAATGCTCGACACGAGCGACGGCAGCAATTGCCGCTGGCCGGTCTGCTCGCCATCCGCTTGCGGCGCCGATGTGTTGGAGGAGAAGGATGCAATGGTGGACGAGACAGAGGTCTGCAGCTCTTTGAGCCGCTTGTCCTCGGCCAGCGAGGAGAACCAGGCCTGCGCAGAGCCGAGTGCGGCCCGCCCAGCGTTGGCAATGTCATCGAGCTCGGACTGCGACGCCTTGTCGTGCAGGTCGCTCTGCTGCCGCAGCAGGCCGCGCTCCTCGGGCGAGAGCGGCAGCGCCTCGCCCTCCTCGCTGTACTCGCCCTCCTTCTCGCGGCGCGAATCGCCGAGCCAGTCCTCATCATCCTTCGCCTTTCCCTTGCCCTTGCTGCTCTTCTCGCCGGCCGAGTCGAGCGGCGTCTGGGCGGCCTTGCGCGCCGACGCCTGCGCAGCCGTGAGCTGCGCCTCGAACTTGGCGGCCTCGGAGCGGGCGAGTGCGATGATGCCGCCCTGCGCGTTGATCTGCTCGCGCGCAGAGGCCAGCTGCTCTGCCGACTGCGGAAGCGGGCGCGGTCAGCTGCCGTAGACGTGTGCGCGGCCAGCGCGCCAGCTACGCACCTTCTTGCTGACGCCGCTCCACCACGAGCCGAGCGAGCCGACGAGCGCCGAGACCTCGGCCTCGAGCGTCGGTGCCGGCTGCGCTGGCGTGGCAGCAGATGCCGTCGTGGACTGCTGCGCGGGCGCCGCAGCTCCCGCGGCGTCGGCGGAGGTGTGCAGATCGTTGACGTCCATGCTGTGCGACGGGTGATGGCAGAGTGCGGTCAAGAGTCGAGTCCACTCCAGAGCCGTGCACCGCCCGCTGCGTGCGCGATCCCCGTGGGAGCACCACGCTAGCGTCGTCCACGCCACGGCCGCGCACGTGACGAGCCCGTGTGCCTGTCCCGCAGAGGCATGACGCCGCGCCAGGCCCTCTGAGCGGGTGCTGGCACGTAGTCGGCTGCCGGTGCATGTTGCTGGCCTTGAGCGATGAGGCACAGCCGAGTCTGAAGCTCCCTGCGGCGTGGCTGAGGCCCACAATGCCCGGCATCTGGCGGCGCGGGTCGAGCAGCGCGGCGACAGCGGAGTAACCATGCCGCGGCCGGCCTCCGAGGGATCGACGCCGTGCAGCACGAGATTCCCGCGGCGCGCTAAGGAACAGCACCCTGACTGGCCAGCCCGGCGCAGGATGATGAGGAGCATCGCGCAGCATGCATTCTGATTGAGAGAAGAGCATGTGCAATCAGCCGGCAGTGATGAGACAGAAGCTGCGTGGGCGCCGTGTGCACCCAGGCAAAGACGAGGCGGCATTGCCAGACGGTTGGGCAGCAGCGCACGCAGCACATCTAGGCGCGCGCGGCGCGCTCTCTGCTCTGCTCGCTGAGGGGCTCTGCTGAGCCAGGAGCTCGGGCCGCTCTCTCGACGCCGCGCGGCGTCTGATGCGCTCTCTATTGGACGCAGAATTCTCTCTACTTCGTGATGTAGTCAAGAGCATCACCCAGGAAACACGCACAACTCGAGCTGAGGTGGAAAGAGGGAGTAAGCGCGACTCAGCAGGGCGGCCCTCGGCTGGCCACGTTTGCCTCTCCAACGGCAGGACACGGACGGTAGCAACCGCTCGAGGGCGAGGTTGCTTGTGTGCCGCGCATGTCTGCATGCTGATGCACTTGAAAGCCGAGTCTCCAAGGTTCAGCAGGCCTCGTGTTCAGGGCTGCCACTGGCATGACTGAGAGAGGGCGAGACGAGGGCCTGCGGCGAGCGGGGACAGGGGCAGCGATGGGGCGCCGCTCGCAGTCGCGGCTTTCGCTTTGCGCCGAGGAGCGCTGTGGCGCCGCAAGCGCGCCGATGCGGCGAGGGGCGGCGTGCCGCACGGCGCGGTGCGCGGTGCGGGTGCCGGTGCGGCGTGATGCACGTCATCAGGCAAGCCGCAAGCGCAGGGCAGGCTAGCAGCCAGCAGCAGCCACAGCTCCTCCCTCGGCTTGGCCCACAGCTCCGGCGAGGGAGGCTGCCGCAGCACCACCACCACCACCACCGCCTCGCCATCCCGCGCGCTGCACCGTCGCCGCGGCTGCCTGCACCCGCTGCCCGCCCATCCGCGCTGCTGCCCGCTCGACGCCATGGCCGGCTCAGCGGCCGCGACGCCTGCAGCAGGCGCCAGCTCGGCCGCGCCGGGGCCAGCACCAGGAGCGGCAGCGGCCAGGGCAGCCAGCACTCGCTCGCCGTCCAGCGCCCCGCCGACGCCGCCGCTGCCGCACTCGCCGCTCGGGCACGCCCTGGCGCCGCACCGCAGTGCCGCCAGCAGCGACGGCGCAGCGTCGTCGGCGGCCGGCATGCGCCCGCGCACCCGCACCAGCTCGCTCGCCGCTCGCCAGGCAGGCGCAGCCTCTACAGCACGTCTCGGCTCCACGTCTTCGCACGCCCTTGCGCCGCCGTCGCCCGGCTCGCAGGCGCAGCCGCGCGCCTCGACGTCCTCCTCGTCGCGGCAGTCGGCCCCGCCGCGCACCTCCTTCGCCTCGTCGTCGCTCGCCAGCGGTCGCGAGCCGCCACAGTCGGCCGCCTCGACGAGCCGCTCGCACCTCTCCGTGCTGCCGGCGCGCGGCGCCGATGCCGACGCCGAACCGGCACTGGCAAAGCTCGAGCGCATGCAGCGCGAGCGCCAGACGCGGCGCAAGTGGCGCCGCGGCACGGGCATCGACAGCCTCGCCGCTCCCTGGGGCAAGCGTGGCAAGGAGGGTGAGTGACATGGTCTGCACGCCCCTGACAAGCCTGCCGCTGCTGATTGTCGCTGCCGCAGACTCACCAGCGCAGTCTGAAACTGAAGAGCCTGCCGAGGCTGCGACTAATGCCTTCGGCGAAGTCAAGCTGGCCATCTCGTCGCTGCCCGGCTACCCGATCGCAGCAGTGCGCGGCGCACAGCACCGCGCCCGCACACTCATCGGCCGCGGACACGGCGCCGACTCCAAGGCGCACGATGCGAGTCCCACCGGAGAGGACGAAGGCGCGTGCGAGTTCGGCGCCGGCGGCTTCCGCTTTGGTGGTCGCCGGCGCGCCAGCCAGGGCGTCAGCAATGCGCCCGTGCCCACGAGCGGCGGCCTGACAAGCCTTGCCGCGGCGTCAGGGAAGCTCGCGGACGCAAACTCGCCTGTGCCAAATAGTGCACCCGCAACGCGCAGCAATGGGCCTGTGCTCGTCCAGCCTCAGGCGGTGCGCGGAGAAGTGCACGATCTGGGCTTCGAGCTTCAGCGCAGCCACAGCTTAAAGCAGAGCGAGCTCGGCGCCGTGGCCGAGGAGAGTGGACATAGACAGCATCTGAGCACCATGCACAGCAGGTCGGGGCTGAGCGACGTCACAGAACAGCCTTCGGCTAGCCCTCGAACGTCGAACTTCGACGCCGCGCGCCCCTCTCCGGCCCCGCAAAGTCCAGGGTCCAGCTCACTAGCGCGAGGGCAGAACGGCGCGCTGCGACGCCCTTCGGTCATCGTGTCGCCCGCTGAACGCCGGCCCAGCACGACGCCCTCGATGACGCTCGCACCAGATCCTCTCGCCCTGCGTGCGCCACCGCAGGCGCAAGACGAGGGCAGCTCGCCGGGCTCGTCGAGTGCAAACTCCTTCCTTGGAGGCACCTACCACGAAGAGCCACTCGGCGACTCAGACGGCGTGGTCTCGGAGGCATCAAGCTCAGATTCAGAGGCGCCTGGCACTGGCGCCCTCGATACTGGATACGAGTCCGAACAGGGAGAGCTGAGTGACTCAGACGTCGAGCGCGCGGTGGCGCTCAATCTCGACCACGGCGCTTTGAACAAGAAGGAGGCCCGCAAGCTGTTACGCGAGCAGCGCCGGGCAGCCCGCGCCGGCTCGATGAGTGACGGGCCGCGCAAGCTCGCAGTGCTGGCGCGTGGCGAATCGATCTCAGAGCGCGTGGCGAAGGGCGTCACATACGCCTCCAAGGAGAGCCGCAATCGGCGAGCGATGGAGAAGTACTCGCCGGCTCCGCTTCGCGCGCTCTCGCCGCCGCTGGGCGGACAAAGCCCAGCTGCAAGATTTGCAGCCGGCATGGCTGAGCGACAACATTCGCCCGGCCCGCTGTCGAGCACGTTCCACCATGGTGGCAGCGCAACTGCGCTGGGTGCCTCGATCTCGCGAAGCGGCACGCCTCTCGCCCTCTCGACCGGTCCGGCTGCTGGTCAGGACTCGGTCGCCTCGTCTCGCCGCAGCTCGCTCTCGGAAGGCGGCGACGACGCGGCCTCGCGCGTTCTGTCTCCAACAATCTCAGAGCGCGGGGGCGGCGCCGAGCCGTGGGGTGTCGCCGACCTCTCGCGCCAGCTGCCGCGGCGCTGGGACACCTCGAAGCTGTCACTGGCGACGGCGGACATGCAGAGCATCAAGTCGTCTCGCTCGCGCTTTGGCAGCCGCAGTGCCAAGCGCTTCCTCAGCCTCCGGCGTGGACACAAGGGCGGCCGCCACGACGTGCAGGAAGAGGACGCAGACGACTCTCCGCCTGAAGAGGACGTGGAGCAGGAGCTGGACCGCGTGCTGGGCAAGCTTGCCGCCCAGGAAGTGCCGGAACAGATGGGCGAGCGCTACGAGTACGATGTCTTGTACGAGAACCAGCGCGGGTGAGCCACTGCGCGTGAAATGCGCCTCTCTAGTCGGCTGACACTCCGCCTTGCAGCCTGCTCGTCTTCGCGATCCCAAAGTTCAGCGCGCGCACGCTATTCCAGTGGGACCCGAGCCCGTGGACGAACGCGCGAAATGGCAACTCTGCCTACAATATCGTCAACGCGCAGCTGCCGGACCCGTCGTGGGAGTGGGTCCATCCTGAATGGCTCATCGACATGTCGGGCGATGTCGACGAGGCGGGCTGGGAGTATGCGCGGAACTTCGGCCGACTGCGTATGTTTCCTCATTTGCGCAGGAATACGCCCCTGCCTCGCGCCAATGCGCAAGGCGCGCTGGAGATGAACCGCCGCATCGCAGACGAGAACAAGAAGCGAAACGCGAAGGAGGAGGAGCGTGAAGACCACGGCATCGAGGCGCTGAAGCGCTCCGCCAAATCGCGCAGCGCCAAGTGGAGCGGCCAGGGCGATCCCGGCACGTTCGTGCGGCGCCGGCGGTGGATTCGCCTGCGGCGACGCAAGGCACTCGCGGTTCCGAGCACTGCTAACACCCCGAGGGTCGGCACGCCTGGCTCCTTGGCATCGGGCGACTGGACAAAGGCGTTCGCGAATCGCGCAGGTGGCGCTCAGCCGCAGCACGCCAAGCTGCTCTCAGACGACATGCAGAGCAGCACGTCCGAGGACGACTCGGAGGACCTCTCCGACCTCGAGGAGGACGAGGTGGACTCCGAGGGCCACGAGATCGGACAGACAGCCTCAGACTTCTTCCCGCGCCGCACGCCGGGCAATCTGGCGAACCACTCCGATGACCCCCTGCGTGCGCGTCGCAGCAAGGCGCAAGAGCGCCGGCAGCGGCATGCGCGAGAGTTCACGGGCACTGTGCGCGAGCTGAAGAGCCTCTTGCCATCCATCATGCAGACGACCAAGCCAGCGCGGCCGCATCATGCTCACTCCAACTCGACGGGCGCCTCGCCCTTGCTTGGCGATCGCGCGCGGCTCTGGCGCGACGAGATCGATGCCAGAAATCCGTTCCTGTCCTGGAAGTTCGTTAAGAAGCGGCTCGAGGACGACGATCTAGCGTTCGCGACAGCGGCGCTTCGGGCGCGCGATCGCAAGCACGCCCAGCGCATGAAGGAGAGGGAAGAGCGCGCCCAGGCGCGTGCTGCCACGCGCAGAATGCCCTCCAGCTTCGCGGCGCCTCCCACAGCCGAGGCGCCCGCGCCCGAGATGGCCGCTGCTGGCTTCTCGCCTCCGCCGCGCCCGGCCGACCTGTCTGCCTACGATCCACCTGCGCCACCCTCGCGCTCGGCGACGCACGAGCTGACCCGCGATGCCCTCGTCGAGATCAACTTCCGCCGCGTCCTGCGCGTGCTCCGCGCCTGCAAGATTGACCGGCAGCGCCTGCACCTTTGGCGCACGTGGCTCGGTGCCGAGGCCCCAGACGCCGCTGGCGCGCGCGCCGAAGACCTTGCGGATCTCGGCCTCGCTCTGAGTCCGTCAGTCAAGGAAGAAGGCGCGATCAAGAGCAGAGAACAGCTGGCAAGCGAGGCAAGAGCACGCTGGAACAAGGGCGCCTCGCTCCCGGATCCGCTGGACGTCTGGGATGTGCTCGAGCGCCGGGTAAGTCTTGCGCGAGCGCGGCAGCCTTCTCATCTGACAGCCGCACCACCCACAGCTCGACGCGATTCTGCTCCTGTTCGAATTCCAGGGCTCGCGTGCGTCGCTGATCCGCCTGCTGCTCACCTTGCACGCGAGCTCGCATCCGGAGCATCGCTTCAGGCGCACGAGCTGGTCACTGCCAGTGGGCATGGATGGCCAGCACGTCCAGCCCAACGCGCCGTCGTCTCTGGACCCAGCGACAAGCGGCAAGACACCGACAGGCGCGCATCTCTCCCACGGAGTACCGCGTGTCGACCAGCGCGAGACGGGAGTCCCGCGGCTGGAGTTCTGGTCCGACCTGAGTCGCGTCGCTGCGTCCATCCTGCAGGCGCCCCCGCCCGGGGTGGCTGCTCACGACGCACAGTCGCTCCGTGACGAGGCGGAGCTTCTGCGGTCGCCCTCGCGCGGCGTTGCTGGCCTTGACTCGTGAGTCGTCAGTGAGGCTCGCGCCGTCGAGCTGCGTGCTGACCATCCGCAGGCCCCACTTCGGGCCCTCACGGCCGCGTTCACCTTTCGCTCCCGTGCCACTCTCGCGGCCGCCGTCGCGTGCGAGCACCCCGCAGCAATCTGCCTCCGCAGCAGCAGCGCGTCGAGGCAGCGCTTCCGTACGCTCGGCGTCCCCGGCGCAAGGCGGCGCTGGCCCGCGGCGCACCGCACCTGGGCGATCCTCTCTGCATCTGCAGCAGCAAGGCGAGGCGGATCGGGCGTTCCTCAAGGAGCTGCTGCAGCTGCCGGAAAGCCGCAGAGGCGAGCTGCTGCTCAGCAGCCAAGCCTCGGCTGGCGCGACCGCCTCGAGCTCCAGCATCCAGAGCCAGCGCAGCACCGCCTCGCGCCAAGACTAGACCAGCACCGATCTCTACTGGCCCTCACGTGGCATCCTACGACGCGCTCTTGCGCCATGATACCCCATGCACCAGCATAGATACCCAGCGCACGACAGTCGACCGCTAATACAATGCGCTGTTCCGACGTGACGAGTCGAACCTGACAATAGTGTACAGAGCGAGGTCCGGCAGGCATCTCTATGGCGCCTCCTGCATGACCACGTCGCCGGCCTCCGCGGACCCGATCACCGGCTTGCGGTCCTCGTCGTCGAAAGGCCCCGGGATGGGCCGCGCCGCACTCCCCGTCCCGACAGCTGCACCCGCCCACTGCGTCTGGCCCTGGTCCGCTGCGGCGCGCATCAGTTCGTCCATGGTCTCGTCGTCGAACTGCCGCGGCATCTGAGTCAGCAAGGCTTCGCCACTGCAGGCCCGCGGACCAGCTCACCTCGTCCTTCGGCTCCTGCGAGGCGACGCCCTGCTGCAGCTTCTTGCGGCGCTCTTCCTCCTGCGCCATCGAGTCGTCCGGATCCGCCTCCATCTGCACGTCGCCAGACTCGCGCGAGACCTCCCAGCTGCGCTCGAAGTAGCGATTCGGGTGGTTGACGCTCTCGCCGTTGCCCAGGCCGTCTCCTTTCCGAATGCCCTTCTTGGCGTGCGTGAGCTCGAACAACCGCGTGCATCCCACATGGTAGTGCTCCGCCTTGACGGCTGTGAGAATCTCAGACTGCTCAGCAGGCGCGAGCCCATAGTGCGTAGCGAGCGCTGCAGAGAGGTTCGCGGGAGAGAAGTGCCGGAACGGACAGCCGTGGTTGTCCTGCGGGCCGGGCTGATCCTGCGTGATGATGCGCACGCAGCTCTTTGCCGGGTAGTTGACCCGCTTGCCCTCCAGGCCGTAGCCGTGCCTGATGTTGTACTTGTATTCCTTCGAGAACTGCTCGTCCGTCTTGTTGGCGAAGGAGCGGCGCCAGAAGAGCAGCGCCTCCTCGATCGGCAGGCCCATGTCCTTGAGGAAGAGGTTGTACTGCAGGCGGCCGTAGTGCTTGAGGTGCTTGTCGCGCCGCAGGCTCTCGTGCAGGTTGCGCATGCACAGCGGCGCATGCTTGCGCACCAGCGCATCGACGTGCGAGGCGGAGATGTGGCCGCCATCTTCGAGCTTGATGGCGCTGTCGGAGTAGTCCGATGACACGCCCGCGATGAAGCCGAGCGAGAGATGCGCGAGCACGGGCAGCAGCCGGTCATCCTCGTCGAGGCGCGGCAGCGCTCGCGCGGTCAGCTAGCGGGAGAAGGATGTCAGCGCTCCTAGACGCGGCCAAGCGCCTGGTATGTGACCCACCTCAAGGTCTCGCGACAGGCGGGTCTGGAACTCCGTCACGACCAGCGAGGACTGCTCGCGCATCGGCACCCACGCCGTGCCGGCCTGCAGGAAGACGCGGCGCTTCTCCACGAGATCTGCCACGCGGGTCCAGTGCACCTGGCAGTGCACGAGTCAGCGCCGCTTTCCTCAGCGGCCGCAGACGGCGTACCTTGAAAAAGCTCTCGTTGTCGAAGGTGGCCTTGAGCCAGGGTGTCGTCGCCAGAAGAGCATCCTTGTTCGCCTGCTTCTCCTCGCTGCTCACTTGCACCCAGTCGAAGTTGAGCGTCTGGAGAAACGCCTCGCGCTCCGCCGCATCGTCCGTATCGAAGCGCAGCCGGAACAGCGTCGACTCGGCCTTCAGAAAGCGCCGCCGCAGGTCCTCACTGCAGCTCTATGAGCTGTGCGCTGCAAGGCCAGGGCATGCGCAGCACTCACCTGCGGCAGAAGGCGAGGCGCAGGACAAAGTGCGAGACGTGGTCCTTCATGCGCTCCTGCGTCAGGTCCACGCCGCCGCCGCTGCCGGCCGTGGTAGAGTTGAGAGGCAGATACTTCTTCGCCATGGCCAGCACGGCCTCGCGCATCTCTGGCCACGAGCGGTTGCGCGCCTGGGACGACTCCACCTCGGCGAGCACTGTGCGGCAGGGCACGCATGAGCGAGGCGCGGCACGGCGCAGGGCGATGCTGCAGCTCACCGCGAAGCCGGTCAATGGCCCACAGCTCAAACTGCTCGATCGTGACCTCATGCGTCGGCGGCCGCTGGTAGAAGTTGAGGCGGAAGGGGTACTGGCGCGGGCCCTTGGTCGCGTGCGAGGCCACCGTGGGCGCTGTGCTGCTGCCGGCGCCGGCAGTGGCTCCGGAAGCCGAGGCGGGCGCGACGCGGAACATGGCGCAGATGGACAAGTGGACGGAGAGGCGGAGCACTGGTCGCAGCAGGCGAGGCGAGAGGTGCTGGTGCTGGCGCTGGAGGAGCAGAGGCGTGGACGGGAGGCAGGAAGCGTGCCTCGCCGCCAACACGGCACGACGCGTCAATTAACACGGAACGACGCGTGCCCACTGTTCCCACGGCGTCCGCAACCGTCGCGCACGGGTCAGGGTGGAGCTCCCTCCCTTGCGTTCTCCGCGGCCTCGCTGTTTGGCTTACGACTGCACCTTCTCGTCACGCCGGCGCATGTCGAACCACTCCACGCGCGAACCCACAGACGGCTCATACGCCAGCGACAGCCACGCCCGCAGCATGCTCTCCTCGCCCCTCTCCTCGCCGCCGCAGGCGTCCAGCTCGGCGTGGCCGTCCATCTCGAGCGCCTACCAGGCACCGCTCTCGCCGCTCTCGTCGCGCTCGCGCACGCCGCAGAGGCACCGCCACGAGCTGTCAGCACATCCGACCTCGTCTCCTGGTGCAAATGGCCAGGCCTCGCCGTCGCAGCCCGGCTTCATGTCGCCGTCGCGTTCGAGCGCATATCCTGCGTCGCCGGGCACCGCGAGCGCCTTGCGCCGGGCACGCACCGCGGCAGTGCAGCCGCCGCACCTCGCCAAGACGTCTCCACGCACTGCTGCCACGAACAGCGACTCGGCCTCCGCCACGCTGTTCCGCCAGCGCTTTCGCCAGCGCTGCCAGGACGCGATGAGCCGCCAGCGCCAGCAGGCCCTGGCCCAGGCGCGCGCCCGGACAGGCTCTAAATCGCGCGGCAGCGACATGTTCCGCAGCGACGAGATCAGCGGGAGCGAGGACGAGCAGATGGATGATGATGTGGCCGACATGCCGGCGTGGCAGCGCGAGGATGATGAGGTGAGCCCTAGCAGGGCGCCGAGGCGCAGCGCTTCCGCGAGCTGACCCGATCCGCAGCTCATTCGCAGGGCCATGACGGCAGAGTACCGGCGGATGCTGCACACGCAAGAGCGCAGCGGCGCCATGGAGCTCGGCTGGCTCGGCGCCGACGAAGTGGCCTGGCTAGAGGAGGAAGTTCGGCGCGAGGCCAGAGCCGGGGGTAAGTCATGCATTGTCTGTCCTGGGGCCAAGGATCTGACATAGCCCCGCGCGCGCAGAGGAGCAGCCGCCGGAGATGGAGGATGACGAGTCGCTGGCAGCTCTGTACGAGCGGTCCTGCTCGGACGCGCTGCTGGCCTCTGCTGAGGACGACGACGGGGACGATGCGTTCTGGCAGGCTGCAGCTCTGCAGGCCGAGGGCCTCGAGGCGCACGCGCAGGGCGCGCATGACATGGATTGCACTTGACCTCAGCCAGACACTCTCACGCGACGGCGAGCTTGCGCTTGCGCTTCTGGCCCTCCTCGATGCGTGCGCGCACGGCATCCTCGTCCATGTCGAGGCCCTCCTTCTCGTACAGGTCCGACGTCTTCTGAGCCACGTGCTGAGCGCGCACGTAGCGCAGCGCGGCCAGATTGAAGCCGATGGTCGTCTGATGCGGCGGCGTCAGACCGTGCACCACATCAGCTCTGAGACGGGACGGCGACTCACCTTCTGGCGGCGCAGCGCAGCACGTAAGTGCCCACGCAGCGAAGTGAGCGTGACGCGCATGACACGGTTCGCCACGATCTGAGCGTGGTGCACGCGGAGCAGGAAGAAGAGAATGCGCGCCACGAGCGGCGTAGACCATTCCTGTGCGGTGTGTCAGTAAATGCCGTCGACACTGACCACGCTGCGTGCAACGCACCTTGCGTGCCCAGTGGTCCAGCTGGCGCATGAGGCTGACGACTTTGTCGAACGGCAGCACGAGCAGCGAGTCTTCCAGCTGCGCCGCCGGTATCCGCTCCGTGACCTTGAGCACGTAGCGGTGCGCGTCGGGCTCCTCGTCGGGGCCAAACGCACCGACCAGCACCGGGCTGCGCGCCGGCGGAGCGCCCTGCGCACCGGCCTGCTGGAACGCTGCCACCGCAGCCAGGTCGGCATCGGCCAGGTCGAGGGCCTCCATAAGGCGCTCGCCAGCGATGAGGGTGTCCTTTGTCGTCTTGCTGACCGCAGCAGCATCGTCCTGCTGCACCTGCGGCTCGGCACCCTCAGCCAGACTGCCGATGGCGCCCTCGTCGTTCCGACCGGTCTCTGCACCGCCCTCGAATGCCCGCTCGAGCTCCTTCTCACGCTCCTCCTCCAGGAACAGCGGCTCATCCGTCTTCTCCCACACGCGGATGGAGCGGTCTGCTCCGGCCGTGACGGCGAGCGTGCCCTTGCGGCCCGCAGCGACGGCCCACACCTCGCCATGGTGGCCCTCGAGCGTCTGGATGAGCTCGAAGCGATCGCCGTCCCAGTGCTTGAGCTTGCCGTCGCGGCCGACAGTCCAGAAGTGGTGCGAAGCGCCTTCGCGGCCGCCGAGCAAGCCGCCTCCCTGCGAGCCGCGCTCGAAAGCGCAGCTCATCACGGCCTCCTCGTGGGCGTATAGGCTGCGGTGGCAGTCACCGTAGTCGAGGCCCCAGAGCTTAGCGTTGCGGTCCGCGGAGACGGTGACGCACAGCTTCGAGTCCGAGCTGATGTCGAGACTCAGCACGGGCAGCTTGTGGCCGTACAGCGAGAGGAAGAACTTGAGGCTGTCGGCGTAGAACACCTTGACAGTGCAGTCCAACAGCGAGAGCGCGAGTAGCCGTCCGTCGGGGCTGTATCGTGCAAAGAGCACGTCGTCGGTCATCTTGAGCGTGCGCACATGCGCAAGCGCGAGCTGCGGCCGTGCAGGTGGTGCGGGAGCGGCATCGTCGGCCGGCTGCGCCTCGGCTTCTGGTGCCCGGCTCTCAAACTCCCAGAACTTGACCTCCTTGTCAGCGCTGGCGGTGACACAGCTCAGGCCGTCAGGGTTGAGCGCAACGCTCCAGATCGGGCCAGCGTGCGCTTCGATGGTTTCCAGCACCTCGCCGGCAGGGACGTCGTACGAGCGGAGAGTGCCGTCCTTGCAGCCGACAAGCACGTGCCGATCATCGGGCAGCCAGGCCACGCTGAGCGCGTAGCCACAAGGCAGAGTGCGCACGCAGCGGCCAGTCTTGACGTTCCAGACCTTGAGGAGTCCAGCACTGTCTGCCGACGCCAGCAACGTGTCGTCGGAGGACAGTGCAAGAGCGCGGACCTCTGATCGATGGCCGGGCAGGTCAATGCCACAGGCCAGCGCCGCCTCTGGCGCAGAGGCCTTCTCGGCCTTGCTCCGCGGCGGCGCAGGCAGATTGTGCACCTCGACGGCGTTCGACGAGAGCGCAAGGAGCAGCGGCGTGGCACCGCTTTTGCTGGCAGTGGAGCTGTGCGCGACATCGTCTGCAAAGGCGAAGCTGCGCACTCTGCCTGCCGTCGGACGGACGGTGGTGTAGGACTCCAGACGATCCGCCCACGTCATCTCCTGCTGGCTCTGTGCCTCGCCAGCAGCGCCATTCTCTCCGGCGCGCTTGTCGCCCTTCTCCTTGGCGCGTTTGAGTCTCCGTGCCATCTTCTTGCGCATGTCCTCTGCAGTCCGCAGGCGGAAGACCTGCACGCCGCGGTCGGTGCTGGACACTGCCAGAAAGCGCGTGGCGTTCGAGGCGCTGCGCAGCGGGCTGAAGGCCATCTGCGTGACGCGACGCGCCGCTGCGATGGGCAGCGTGCCGAGAGCGGAGATGAAGCGCTTCGGCTTGTCTTCGGCATCGAGCACGTCCTCCTGGACCTGGAGTCCAGCGGCGAGAGCCTCGTTGGACACCTGCCAGATCCGCACTTCGCCCTCGGCGCTGCCGGTAAGGAAGAGCGTGCCGCTCATCGCCTGCTCCTCGCCCGCCACGTCCGGAGAGACGCCACGGGCCAAGGCAAGGCTGAGCAGCTCGCCCTTTCCGGGCACGAGCGTCTCGATGCAGTGCTGCAGGCCAAGATCCCAGAGCTTGAGAAGGCCGTCCTTCGACACGGAGAGGAGGTGCCCGTGCGTGGAGCCTGAGCTACGCCCGGCCGAGGTCGAAGGCACGTCTGCTGCATCGGCCTCGGACGGCGTCGGCAGGAAGCTCAGCTCTGTCACTGCGTTGCGGTGACCACGCAGCCTGGAAGCACTGTGAGCGAGGCTGCCGCTGCGCCTGTCTCACACGACCACTCACCGGAAGAGGCCGGTCTCCGCCACCACATCCCAAACGATGATGTCCGTGTCTTGGCTGCCGGTAGCCAAGCGCAGCCCGTCGTCGTCGAACGCAAGCGTGGTCACGGCCGACTTGTGGCCGTTGAAGGTGAGTGCGGGCGCGGCGTCCATGTCCGGCTGGAAGGGGTTGAAGCGCCAGATGCGCACACTGCCGTCCTCGTAGCCGACGGCGTACGTCTGCTGGCGCGACGCATCGTCGGCGCCGTCGTCGTCGTCGCCGGGCGCGGGCGCACGCGCGATGGCAGTGACGCGGGCGCGGTGCCCGACGTCGTGCCACATGCTGAGCTGGGCGCCGCGCTTGACGTCCCAGACGAGCACGTCTTCCAGCGCCGGCACGATGGCCGTCTTGCCGTCGTGCGCCAGCAGCGAGCGCGACGCGGCGCTGCAGATGACGCCGAACGCGCTCGTCGGCTCGTGGCGCAGATAGGAGCGCACCATGATGCGCGAGGGATGCGAGGGTGGAGTGTCAGCGGCAGGAAGGAAGGGCCAGCCGAGGCGGACAGGAGCACGGCCGCCGCGCCGCGCCGCCGTGCCTCGGCCGAGCAAAATGTGCGGCGCTGCGCCGCGGAGGCCGCGGCGGCATCGGGGCGCGGCGCGGCTGAGCCGGCGCCGAGTGGACCCCAGAGATGCAGGCTCTCGGTCCTCCTCACCACCACACCTTCCCCGCCTCGTCGCGCCACTGCCCAGCATGGGCGAGTCCGACGAGATCTACAAGCTCGAGCTGCTCTCGCTCGTGAGCAAGATCACCACCGAGATCCTCAACCACACCGGCATCAATGACCGCGTGCTTGCCGAGTTCGTCCTCTCGCTGCACGACCAGGCCGCCTCGCTGGCCGCCTTCAAGAAGTCGCTCGATGATGTCGGCGCCGAGTTCCCGGACTCTTTCGTCCAGTCGCTCGACCGCATCATCGTCGCGCTGCACCCGAAGCACAAAAAGGCGAAGAGCGCAGCGGCCGCCAGCTCGGCCTCGGCCGCCGCAGCCGGGCCGTCGGCGTCGGCAGCAGAGACCAAGGTGCTGGACGCCGAGAAGGAGCGGCAGCGCCGCATGTTCCCCGGTCTGGCGTTGCCGGATCAGGACTGGAAGGCGCCGCGCGAGGACACGGCCGAGGAGCGCAAGCGCAGCCAAGCGCTGCGCGAGCGGGAAGAAGACGCCGCCGCAGCTGCGCGCGCCAGTGGCAAGGGCGCGGCAGGTGGCGAGGATGTCGACGACATGATGCGCAGCCTCGAGCAGCTCGAGGGCCGTGCACGCGGCTCCGGGGCCGGCAACTCTGCCCCGACGAAGCGTCGCTGGGGTGCGCGCAGCCCATCGCCTGAGCAGCGCCGGCGGGGGTCACGCAGCCCGCCGCCGCGCAACGGCGACCGGTATGGCGCACCACCGCCGGTGCGGGACGCCTATGGCTCGTCGCAGTCGTCTCGAGGGCGCGATGCGCGGCCACGCGCGCCCTTAGACGACCGCCCGCAGATCTACAAGATCTACGAGGGCAAGGTGTCGGGCATGAAGGACTTTGGCGCATTCGTCACGCTCGAGGGGCTGGCAGGGCGGCACGAGGGTGAGTGCTTAAGGCATACGAATGCGGGCGCACAGCGCTGCGGCTGAAGCTGCGTCGTTGCTGACATGGAACGCCTCAGGTATGGTGCACATCGGCTCAATCGGAGGTGCGCGGCTACAGCACCCATCCGACGTCTTGACGCGCGGGCAGCAGGTCAAGGTCAAGGTCATGTCCGTCGCGGGCGGCCGCGTCGGGCTGAGCATGAAGGACGTGGACCAGGCGACCGGCAAGGATCTCACGCCGCATCTGCGCCTGAAGAGCGACGCAGAGATGGCAGAAGAGCGCGAGCGCCTCAATGCGCGGGCCATGACTGGCGCAAACACTGCGCCATTAGGCCAGCGCGGCGGCGGCGGCATGACGCAGCACGCTCCGACGTCGTTCGAGGACGACGCGCCCGGCAGCAACACTGCCAAGCGCCTCACGAGCCCGGAGCGCTGGGAGCTCAAGCAGCTCATTGCCTCTGGCGTCGCCAAGGCCAGCGACTACCCAGAGCTCATGGAGCAGGACTTCCTCACGCCAGCCTCGAAGGGCGGCATCAATCCCGACGAGGAGGTGGAGATTGAGGTCAACGAGCGCGAGGCACCGTTCCTCGCCGGCCAGACCGGCGCCAGTCTGGAGCTGTCGCCCGTGAAGATCGTCAAGGCGCCGGACGGCACGCTCAACCGCGCGGCCGTCGCCGGTGCCAGTCTCGCCAAGGAGCGTCGGGAGCTGCGGCAGCAGGAGATCAACGAGCAAGCCGACGCAGAGACGCGCGACATGTCCTCCGGCTGGCTCGACCCCATGGCGCAGCAGGGCGACCGCGCCTTCGCGCAGGACCGGCGCGGCGAGACGCTCGGCCAGAAGGCACAGGACCAGCCGGCGTGGAAGAAGGAGACCTTCAACAAGGCGACGACGTTTGGCCGCGTCACGAACATGAGCATGCAGGAGCAGCGCCAGAGCCTGCCGATCTACAAGCTGCGCGAGCAACTCGTGCAGGCCATTCGCGACGTGAGCAGAGTGGCAACATGACGCGTGAAGCCAATGAAGCTGACGCTCCGGCCTGCAGAACCAAGTGCTCGTCGTCGTCGGCGACACCGGATCCGGCAAGACGACGCAGATGTGCCAGTACCTCGCGGAGGAGGGCTTCGCCGACCGCGGCAAGATCGGCTGCACGCAGCCTCGTCGTGTCGCTGCCGTCTCGGTGGCCAAGCGTGTGGCTGAGGAAGTCGGCTGCCGCGTCGGGCAGGAGGTCGGCTACACGATCCGCTTCGAAGGTGCGTGCCTCGAGTCCTCGCGCCGCATGCCGATGCTGACTGGATCGCCCCAGACTGCACCAGCCCCGAGACGCGTATCAAGTACATGACAGACGGTATGCTGCAGCGCGAGTGTCTCATCGACCCCGATGCGAGCAACTACTCGGTCATCGTGCTGGACGAGGCACACGAGCGCACCATCGCCACCGATGTGCTCTTCGGTCTGCTCAAGAGTGAGTCGTGTTTGCTCTCGCCGCATTGCCACTCGCTGACGTGGCTTGCCAATCAGAGACGCTCAAGCGCCGTCCTGAGCTCAAGCTCATCGTCACCTCAGCAACGCTCGACGCCGAGAAGTTCTCGAGCTACTTCTACGACTGCCCCATCTTCACGATCCCCGGCCGCACATACCCCGTCGAGGTGCTCTACACCAAGGAGCCGGAGAGCGACTACCTCGACGCCAGCCTGATCACGGTGATGCAGATCCACCTCTCCGAGCCGCCGGGAGACATCCTGCTCTTCCTGACCGGCCAAGAGGAGATCGACACGTCCTGCGAGATCCTCTTCGAGCGCATGCGCGCCCTCGGCCCGAGCGTGCCCGAGCTGATCATCCTTCCGATCTACTCGGCGCTCCCGTCCGAGATGCAGACGAAGATCTTCGAGCCTGCGCCGCCCGGCGCGCGCAAGGTCGTCATTGCGACGAACATTGCCGAGACGAGCATCACCATCGACGGCGTGTACTACGTCATCGACCCGGGGTTCGCGAAGCAGAATGCCTACGACGCACGGCTCGGCATGGACAGTCTCGTGGTCACGGTGAGTCATCGCGCGTAAGAGCACATTGCAACGTTGAGGCTGACACTGTCTCCGCCGCAGCCGATCTCGCAAGCGCAGGCGCGCCAGCGGTCCGGTCGTGCCGGCCGCACGGGCCCAGGCAAGTGCTACCGGCTGTATACCGAGGCCGCGTACCGCAACGAGATGCTGCCGAACCCGATCCCGGACATCCAGCGGCAGAATCTGGCGTCGACGATCCTGATGCTCAAGGCCATGGGCATCAACGACCTGATCAACTTCGACTTCATGGACCCGCCGCCCGCGCAGACGCTCCTCACGGCGCTCGAGGCGCTGTACGCGCTGTCGGCGCTCGACGACGAGGGTCTGCTGACGCGTCTCGGGCGCAAGATGGCCGATTTCCCGATGGAGCCGCAGCAGGCCAAGATGCTCATCGCGAGCGTCGACCTCGGCTGCAGCGAGGAGTGCCTCAGCATCATCGCCATGCTCAGCGTGCAGAACGTGTTCTACCGGCCGAAGGAGAAGCAGGCGCAGGCCGACGCCAAGAAGGCGAAGTGTGAGTGCGCTGCGCGCGTCGGCCGGAGCGAGTAGCTGACGCGCGTTCACGTCCCCAGTCTTCCAGCCCGAAGGCGACCACCTGACGCTCCTGACCGTGTACAACGGCTGGGCGGCGTCGAAGTTCTCGCTGCCGTGGTGCATGGACAACTACGTGCAGGGGCGCTCGATGCGCCGTGCGCAGGACGTGCGCAAGCAGCTGCTCGGCATCATGGACCGGTGAGTGTCAGGTCACGGCGTGCCCGAGCGTGCGCCTGCTGACGCCCTGTCGCAGCTACTCGCACGACATCATCTCCTGCGGCAAGAACTACAACCGCGTGCGCCGCGCCATCTGCTCTGGCTTCTTCCGCAACGCCGCCAAGAAGGACCCGCAGGAGGGCTACAAGTGCCTGGCCGAGGGCGGCGGCAACGTGTACATCCATCCCTCGAGCTCGCTCTTCAACCGGCCGCCGGAGATGGTCATCTACCACGAAGTCGTGCTCACCACGCGGTGCGTCTGCGGTGTCGCCGGCAATCCACTCACACGTGCTGACACTGTCTTCCTGCAGCGAGTACATGCGCGAGGTCTGCGCCATCGAGCCAAAGTGGCTCGTCGAGGTCGCTCCAAGAGTAAGTCGTCCAGCAAAAGATGCCGCACCTCGTGCTCACGCTCCGCACCGCAGTACTTCCGCACCGCCGACTCGACGCAGATCTCAAAGCGCAAGCGCCAGGAGAAGGTGCAGCCGCTTTTCGACAAGTACGCCGAGGACCAAGGTGCGTCGTCCGCTTTGGCAGCGCGGCGCCTGCATCCGCTGACCACACTGCTGTCCCTCCAGATGCGTGGCGTCTGTCGAGCGTCAAGCGAGCCGGCCGCTCGTCGCAGACCTTCGGCTAGTCGGGCCGGGCCATTGCTGTCTGTCCCTTTCGCTGTCCTCGCAATGCTGCATCTGTACTATTAGTTGTCTGCTCGCGTTCTTTGAATCTGTACGCTGCGCAGCAGATTGCACTACGGCCTGCTTGAACCAGCAGTAGGCTTGACCTTGGACTTGCGAAGCATTCTGATTGCACGATGCCGGCGGATGGCAAGGGCGGGGGGCGAGAAGGACGCCCGAACCTGAACGGCGCGCGCCGCGCGGCGCCAGCTGCCAGTGCGGCGCCCCAAGCTCACGCGTAGTGGCTCGTGCACCGCCTCTGCCTTGCGAGCGCAAGGCAGCGCATGACACGACGAGCCTCAGAGGCGTGGCTTCCTTCCTCTCTCCACCATCCTCGTCACACCGCGGCACATCTCCTTTGTACCGCTCGCTCAGCGTTTCTTGCCTGCGGCCACTTCGCGCCACCAGCCCACTCCAGCTCTGCGCTCGGCCTCCGGGCCTCAGCAGCTCTCTCTCGGCTCGCGCCGTCCTGCCCGCTTCCTCGGCGTGTCGGCCTCGCGCGCCTCTGCGCATCGCGCTGGCTCGCGATTGCTACGCTCAGCACTTGGGCCGCTGCTCTTGAGCCTGTTGCCCGACCTGATTCCGCATCCGCCTTCCTGAGCCCCTGCGTCCAGCTCGGGCGCGGCCGCGCGAGATGGCGCCCGGCGTGTCGCGCGGCCGTGTCCGGCCGCACGTCTCGCTCGATGCTCAGCTGCAGCAGCTGACGCTCTTCAGCGACCTCGATGCCGAGTCAGAGAACCTCGAGCAGCTGGGTCCCATCATCAAGAGCCTGGACGAGGCAGGGCAGAGCGATGCGTTCCTGCGCCGCCTGCATGCCTTTGTGCAGGAGAAGGAGTCTGAGATCGAGGCTGTCTGTGAGGGCAACCATCAGGTGAGTGCTACAGGCGCGAGACGGGCGTGTAGTAGTAAAAGCTGGAGAGGGTCGCTCTTCGAGCGTCCGTAGACCACCCTGGGCCGACAGTGGCCCGAATGTTGAGGCGAGATGCACGAGCGTCCGTCGCATCTCCGCCAGCTCCAAGGCTCACACAGGCTGCAGGACTTCGTCACTGCCACAGACAAGCTGCTCAAGGTCCGCAGCGGCACTGTCTCACTGCGACATCGGATCGGCGAGCTGAACGAAGAGGTGCAGGCGGGCGGCGAGAGCCTCAAAGGCAAGGTCAGTGGCCGCGGCGATGTGGCCAGGTCTGCAGCCCCGCTGAGGCTACCCATGCCGCTCTAGAAAAAGGCGCTGGCCGAGACGCGGAGAGTGGCACAGAACGTCGACGACGCCATCGAAACGCTCCAACTCTGCCTGCGTGTGCTGGACATGGCTAGCCGGGTGGACGGCCTCATCGAGTCAAAGCGATACTACGCCGCACTGCGTGTGAGTGCAGGTGGCAAGTGCGGCGCCTTGCGAGCATCGCTCACAGCGCTGTGGTAGTCACTCGAAGAGCTGCAGACTGTGCATCTCAAGCCCGTGCTGCATCACGAATTCGCACGCCACATGCTCGAGTCGATGCCCGCGATGCGCGATTCTGTACGAACCGCCGTGACGCAAGAGATGAAGGAGTGGCTCTACGAGGTGCGTCTGAAGGGCGGCAAGGTCGGCAAGCTCGCCCTCGATGCCATGGAGGCGCGGCAGAAGCGCTGGCGCATCAAGAGCGGCAAGGACGCCATGCTCAGCCTCGCCAAGGTCAACAGTCCGATTGAGCTTGTGGTGAACGAGCGCGTGGAGTGTGAGTCTGGCCCGTGGCGGCGCTCGACTCCTGGCTCACCTCGAGGCCTTGCCTCAGACAACTTCGTCGACAACGAGGAGGTGCGCATCGACTTTCGGCCGCTGTACCAGTGCGTGCACATCTACGACGCCATGGACCTGCGCGAGCAGCTGCAGACCAGCTACCAGGAGGACCGCCGTGTGAGTCTACCGACGTGACTGCTGCCGCACGACAGGCTGACTGGTTGTCTGCAGGCGCAAGCGAACCTGCTCCTTTCACAGGGCCTGTCCTTCGACCCGGCACATCCGACGTTCCCAGTGCTGCTCGAGGAGGTCGTTGGCTTCTTCCTCGTCGAGCACCACGTGCTGCAGACGAGCCCGCCAGGCTTCCGCTCCGAGGCAGAGGTGGACGACCTATGGGACAACATGTGCGAGCGCGTCGTCGACATTGTCAGCGTCGGGCTGCGCGACTGCCGCGACACGCAGGTATTCGTGAGCACCAAGGCGGTGATCCAGACGTTCATCATGACGCTCGAGGTGAGTGGCCGAGGGCCGCGAGGCATCGCTGCAGGGCTGACGGCGCTCGCAGGGCTACTCCTTCACTGTGGCGAAGCTCAACGCGCTACTGTTGACGCTCTTTGAGCGCTATGCGCATCTCTTGCGAGACCGGTTCTCAGCAGACTTCCAGCAAGTGAGCTTGGCCCGCAGCCATACGCGCGGTCCTGCAAAGCTGACACGCCCCCGCAGGCTGTGCGCGACACGGAGCATCAACCGATGATCGTCGAGAACGCCGAGGAGCTCGGCAAGGTGCTCAATGTATGCTGGCTGAAGCCAGGCGACGCAGACGTGCTGCGCAGGTGAGTCTGGGCACTGACGCTGTTCCGGGTCCGTGGCTGACCTGCTGCTGCCGTCAGCCAACCTTTCCCGCTGGCGCTGCCCTTCTCTCAGACGTATCCGCTGTGCTGCATGGACATCCGGCATCTCGTCGACGAGTACTACACGTTCTCCGACGGCTTCTCGCAGTACCACCGCGACATCGACGACATTCTCAAAAAGGTCCGTGGCGCTCCGACCGCACAGTCTGAAGGATCGGCTGACGGCCACCCCCCCCCCCAGTCTCTCGACGAGCTGCTCATTCAGCAGGTCAGCAACAGCATCCGTGCCTCGGTCGAGTCGACGTCGAATCTGTCGCAGATCGCGCAGATCGTCGTCAACGCCGAGCACTTCAAGCTGGCATGCACATCGCTCGAGTCTCTGCTCGCAGCACTGCGTGCGCCGCATCGTGGCGGTCGCCTGCGTCTCGACGCCAGCGGCCACTTCTCGCAGTCGCTGGACCTCGCTCAGCGGCGAATCGACGCCGCGCTCGGTGCCAAGCTCAAGGAGTTCGTCGAGATGGGCGAGTTCGACGCGACGCCGACGCGCCTGCGCACCGAGGAGCCGGAGTACGTCGGCGAGATGACGCGCTGGCTGACGACGATGATGGAGAGCGTGCTCGTGCTGCTACCGCAGGAGACGAAGCTGCTGCACTGTGCGTACGGTCGACGAGGCATCGTGACTGTCCGCTCACGCTCCTGCGCCCGCACAGACCGCTCGGCATTTGGCTCCATCGCCTCGTTGCTTCTGGTGCGTGCCATTGCGAAGAGCCTCTCCGAGCTGCCAGCTGACGCCCTGCTCTGCTCAGAATGACTTTGTGCTCGACAAGGACACGAGCGTCATCAACCTCATGGCCCTGCGCACCATCACGAACGACGTGGAGCTGCTCTCGCGCGAAGCAGCATCAATCGACCCGTCGATCGACTCGGTGTTCAATGAGATCCGGCAGGTGCGTCTCGCGGCCTCCACCGCCTGTGCCAGCAGCTCACAGACCTGCCCGCAGACGCTGTCAATTCCCTTGCACGATGCCGTCTCGGAGTACGTGGGCGACGCGCGAGCGCGCAGCACCAAGTATGCCGAGGCGCAGCCGGCCAAGGTGGCGCTCATCCTCGAGCGCCTGGCGCGCTTCCACGCCACCAAGGGCCCGGCGCAGGCCGACCTGGCGAACAAGCGCAGCCGCGAGAGGGACATGGTCGGCCGCCTGGTGCGGCAGCGTGCCTGAGCGAATGAGCAGAGAGGTCCCCAGCCAGGTGTCCAAGCTCGTCGTCATCGATAGCTGCCCTTCACCACCGCCCGTCGCCGAGGAGGCTCCCGGCTGCGCACACTAATATATCCCGTGCTGGCTGTTCTCTGCTGGTCCCTTTTGCTGCCCGGGTGCCGTTCTTGGCTGGATTGAGCTCCAGCTCCTCTGGGTGCTGTTCCTGGAAAAGGCAGCCGTCGTGCAGGAGTCGCCTGCTGTGCTGTGTGCGCCGATCTGCTTTCGGACGGAGCACTCCCATGAGAGCGCCTTCTTCGGCGCCGAGGTCGGCGCACGCCGGCTCGAAGGCCGAATGCACATTCATGATTTTTCACGCACGGCCGGCCCGAGGCACGGTCACACGACCGTGCACGCTACCGCGCCCCGCGCCGCCGCTCCGCTGATCTTGGCCTTTCGTTGGGGTGGCCCAGCCTTGCCCCGCCCCCCGCACGTTTGCATCCATAATCCGGGGCTCGCCTCGCTGAGCAGTCTGATCAAGCTGGGTGCTCGCCAGCGAGGTGCTGCGCTCTACGAGGCCGTTTCGAATGAGCCGCCGAGCCCTCCGTGCCATCCCGTCCGTCCGCCCGCCCGGGTGGGGTGCCGCCTCGGCCTGCGGCGATCTCATCCCTGCTCGCGGCCTCCGAGCAGGCACGAATCCACTTTCCCCTGCGGCCAGAAGCGTCTCGAAAGTGATCAGCAAATTGGGCCTGCGCACTAAGCAACCTCGTCGGTCCGGCTCGGCCCCTCTCGCAAAGGAACGGCGAGAAGAGGCGCTGCAGGGTCACGAGCTTGGAGAAGGGATCGGCGGCATGACAAGGCAGGGCGGCAGCGGAGGGGCGGAGGAGCGGAAGCGCTGGCCCGCTGCACGGCTCGGCTGCCAGTCCCGTGGCGGCGGCGTGGCGGCGGAGGAGACGGAGGATCGACGGCTGCGGAGATGAGCAAAAATTCAGAGCCTGCGCGAGAGGAAGGCTGCCGCTGCGCTGGCCGCCGGCGTGCAAGGAGAAGCGTCAGCGAGCTGCAGGCGCATGCAGGTGCGGCGCAGCGAGGCACGGCACGCCGAGAGCAGGCGCACGTCAAAGCGTGCGTCCGCAGCTCCGCGGATGCACGCGAGATCGCCCGCCTGCGAGGGACGCATCAGGCGCAGGGAGGGTGCGGCAGAGGAGGAGCACGGCGTCAGCCTCAGGGCCGGCGCGGAGCAGCCGCGAGAGCGCTGATGCTGCGCTGCTTCGGCTCATGCGCGGTGCGGCCGCGCCTTTGCGCTGCGTTTGCGCCGCTTGGGGCGTGTTGAAGGCACGCACGGCGCAGGCGGCTGTTTCTTCGCTTACGGCGGCGCTGCTGCCCGGCCCGCGTGGCACCGCCCGCCCGGGCACCCGGTTCTTCCCTTAAGAGCGCGCCGCTTATCGCCTGGCGCCGCCTGCGCCCCCACCACCACCTCCGCACCAGCCTCACAGCCCACCAGCTCGCACCAGCACCTGCACAGCCCTCGCCCCTCACCGCACACCCCTCTCTTCTCGCTCTCGAGATTCAGAGAGCGCTCGTTGCCCAGCACGTTCGCCAACAGCCTCTGCTCGAGCCGTGAGTGTGCCGCGTCTTCTCGCCGCAGCTGCACCCTTGCTGACCTCCTCTCCGCAGACAACACCCACCGCGGCAACAAACACTGTAGCCCGGCCCCCTTAGCCTCACACTAAACCTCCCGCCCGCGACACACACGTTTTCTACCTTACCACCACCTCTTCTCACCATGGCTCCCGTCGCTTCGCACACGGCCGCCAACGGCAACGGCAACGGCCACGCCCAGCAGCAGGCGCCCATCAACCCCACGGCGGCACGCCACGAGGACACCGAGTCGATTCGCGTCGAGTCGCCCAATGTCTCGTACACGGCCGACGCCATCAGGTCGCGCTACGAGTACAACAACACGCACGTCACCAAGAGCGTCAACGCCGCCGGCAAGACGGAGTTCCTCGCCAAGCCCGTCACGGCGCAGTACGAGTTCAAGACGGAGACGCGGTGAGTCGTGCGGAGAGGTGTGCCAGACGCTGCATGCTCACACATGCCTCCAGCGTGCCCAAGACTGGCCTCATGATGGTCGGCTGGGGCGGCAACAACGGCACGACAATCTCGGCCTGCATCCTCGCCAACAAGCACAACATCACGTGGCACAACAAGGACGGCCTGCAGACGCCCAACTACTACGGCTCGCTCGTGCGCGCGTCGACGGTGCGCCTCGGCATGGACCCCGAGACGGGCAAGGACGTGTACGTGCCCTTCAGCAACGTGCTGCCCACGGTGCACCCCAACGACTTTGTGCTCGGCGGCTGGGACATCAGCGGCCTCAACATGGCCGAGTCGATGACGCGCGCCAAGGTGCTCGACTACGACCTGCAGCGCCAGATTGCGCCGATGCTCAGCGGCATGAAGCCGCTGCCCTCGGTGTACTACCCCGACTTCATTGCCGCCAACCAGGGCGCGCGCGCCGACAACGTGATCCCCGGCGACGACAAGGCCGCGCACGTCGAGCACCTGCGCAAGGACATCCGCGACTTCAAGGCCGCGCACGGCCTCGACAAGATCATCGTCGTGTGGACGGCCAACACGGAGCGCTACGCCGAGATCATCCCCGGCGTCAACGACACGGCCGACAACCTGCTCGCCGCCATCAAGGCGAACCACGAGGAGGTGTCGCCGTCGACGATCTTCGCCGTGGCGTGCATCCTCGAGAACGCGCCCTACATCAACGGCGCGCCGCAGAACACGTTTGTGCCGGGCGCCATTGAGCTGGCCGAGCGCCACCGCGCCTTCATCGGCGGCGACGACCTCAAGACGGGCCAGACGAAGGTCAAGTCGGTGCTCGCCGACTTCCTCGTCAACGCCGGCATCAAGCCGCTCGGCATCAGCAGCTACAACCACCTCGGCAACAACGACGGCTACAACCTGTCGTCGGCGCGCCAGTTCCGCAGCAAGGAGATCAGCAAGGCGAGCGTCGTCGACGACATGGTGTACGCCAACCACCTGCTGTACAAGCGCGCCGCCGACACGGACAAGCTGGCGAGCGCCAAGGCCGTCGCCGAGAAGGGCGAGCACCCCGACCACATCGTCGTCATCAAGCACCTGCCCGCCGTCGGCGACCAGAAGGTGGCGATGGACGACTACACGAGCGAGCTGTGCCTCGGCGGCCGCAACCGCATCTACCTGACGAACCTGTGCGAGGACTCGCTGCTTGCCTCGCCGCTGCTCATCGACCTGGCCATCATGGCCGAGCTGTGCACGCGCGTCACGTACGCCGCGCGCACCGGCGCCGAGGCCGAGGCGCCGGCGGGCGATGAGGAGTTCCAGAGCCTCTACTCGGTCCTCTCGCTGCTCAGCTACTCGCTCAAGGCGCCCGTCGTCAAGCCGGGCTCGGACGTCGTCAACTCGCTGGCGCGCCAGCGCTCGGCGGTGACCAACTTCATGCGCGCCTGCATTGGCCTGCAGCCCGAGAACGACCTGCTGCTCGAGACGCGCCTCTGGTAGACGGCCTGCCGGTGCGCTGCTGCGTGCCCGGCCCTCTGACCGGTTCCCTGCTGTCCGTCCTGTAGCGCGCTTCCCACCTTATGACATGCCTTCCATCTGCTGCTGGCCTCGCCCGCTTGTGTGTCTGAGGCTAGTGCGTGCGGCCGGGCGTGGTGCAGGTTCGAGCGGGTGCGAGAAGTTGCCTTCTCCTCTGCGAGGATGGAGGCCGCATCCGGACTGATCGGCTTCAGCCGTTGAGGAGAGCAAGTGTGGACGAGCATCACGCCCGCTGGGAGCGGATCGGGCGGCCCTGGCGCGCCTGCGCTGATTTCGGGCGCGGCGCCCGCAAAAGAAAGAGCGGCCCAGGCACCGCACCGAGCACTTTGCGGGTGACTCGCCAGCGGCGCGCGGGCGAAAAAGCCCCTGTGTCCCGACCATCACACCTCCGTCCGAGTCGTCCTCTCTCACTCTGCAGCGCCTCTCGGGCCGCAGATCGGTCTCTCGGCCGTCACGAGCACGTTGCAGCTTGCACGAGCGGGCGACAGAGCTGCGGGAGGTCGGCTCTGGCGCGACGGCACGCGCGCGACGCGCCGTTGATGCCGTCTGAAAGCGGGCGCATCAAGAACATCATGTCTGCTGCTTCTCAGCCGCCGCCTGCACCCGCCGCTGCGGCGTCCGGCGTGGCCGGGCCCTCTCGCGCAGCCTCGGCGGCAGGACCGTCCGGCTCGATACATCGGGGTCGTCCGATGCTCACCATCGATGAGCTAGTCACTCCTAATCTCTTCAAGCGCGTCGATCCGGGATACGCTGCTCCCGCGGCTGCGGCAGAGGACGTTGTCTCGGAAGCCGACCTATTGGCTATCGCACGGGCTCAGAGTGATGTCAACGGTCTGCGAAGTCGACGACGGCCCGCGAGCACTGCGCCGCTTCCAGCGCCACTTCAAGCCGCTCCGAAAGACCACTCCGATGCTCTGCGGCTTGCTGCAACGAGGCTCGAGAAGAAGAAGCTCAAGCGCGACGCAGAGCTGACGGCCAAGCTGAAGAAAGCTCAGCGCAAAGCCAAGCCCGTCAAGAAGCCTACCGCGCAGGGCTCAAAGGCTCCGCAGACGTCAGCCGCTCCATCTGCGAATGAAGGGCAGAAGAGAAAGGCAGATGCCGGTGACAGCAGCGAGAAGAGGAAGAGAAAGCCGCGCGTCGACGTCACCATCCCGCTCACCGGCGCCAGTCCTGACGCCGCGGTCAGGCAGGCCGTCAAAAAGTCCTCGTCGTCCAGCAAGCACGCAAAGCGCGGCAAGGAGTGGAAGGAAGCGCAGCTGGCAGCGTGTGTCGACGACTCACTCGGCTCAAGCGCCGTGCACGAACGCTTGCATCAGGCGGCGGGCGTGCAGCCAGGGGCAAGCTCTTCTGGTCGAACGGAGGGTGATGCGGATCAGCCATTGCCAGACAGGCCACGGCTAAGCAGAAGTCCGCCGCTGCAATTGCAGGGAGCGGCATCAAATGAGCCAGCTGGTCTGGCCATCATCGCGCAAGCGACGCCGAGACGGCCTGGCCGGGCAATCTCGCCGCCAAGGCGCAGTCCCTCGCCTGAGCCCTTGTACCCTGTCGATCCTGCCTGGCACGGCTCATCATCAAGCGCGGAGCAACACGCTGCGTCGCTCGCGCACGGCCCACAAGGGCTCCTGCGCGAGCTCGGAGCTGCCGAGGCCAGTACGTCCAAGGCTACCGCGGCGCGTCGTAGTCCGTTTCCGTGCCCGCCTCAGCGGAAGTCGCCGGTCGAGCGCCGGCCCCCGGCAGGCAGACCCGAAGGCTGGGCCAGCGTGGGTCAATTGGGGAGCTGCGCTGTTCCAAAGCTGAATACTGCTGTGCAGGACGAAGCGGCGTTCATCGCCGCAACGCCGACATACCCCGCCAAAGACTTTGTCTTCATCTCTCCAGGCCTCTTCGCCCGCTCGATTCTGCTCGATCCGCGGCGAGTGCGCGTCGACAGCTGGCCGAAACGAGACGGACAGCGAGTCTCTGCCTTGAGAATCAGCATGTGAGATGCTCTCCCGGCCTTGTGCTCACGTGAGTACAGTGCCTAACTCGAATCTCAGCAAGGTGAACCCACGATGCGAGCTGCCCGATGGAGAGTCTCCAGCATGTGCTCAAGACGCAGAGGAAGGCCCAGCTGCAGTGCTGAAGCAGCTGCAGTTTGCGATCGGAGGTGAGAGGGTCCGGTGCCTTCTCTCTCAGCCACGCTGAGAGCCGACACTTCCTCCTCCAGATCAAACGGTGCCTGGAGCTTTGCTGAGGAGCCAGCAGCACCAGAGTCAAGTAAGCGTGTTCATCAGGCGTAGCTTGAGCGTCGCAAAGCAACCCACCGACCGCCGTCCGTCGCGAACGCCTGTTGCGCGACGTCCGCCGGACTACGACCCTACGCCGAAGCCACGTGCGAGCGACGCGGCGCTGCCGGTGGTCCAGCAGGATCTGTTGGACCTGCCGTGTGCTCTGCCACCTGACATGACGATCGCCATGGTCGGACGCTTTGTCGTGGCCAGCAGCAAGGTGAGTTGATGGGAACGCCTTCTGCAATCTCAGCTGCTGAGCACAGGCCGCAGCTCTGCAAGGAGGAGGGCAAGGATCTGTTCAAGCTGCAGCTCGACTGGGACGATGCGCCGGGGAACTTCTGGCTCGCAGGTGCAACTCAAGGCGAGCCGGGATGGGCGCCCGCATCGTCGTCTGGTGCCTTGACGAGGCTTGCACCGCTCAGAGGTCCTCCTGTGTTCATCGACCCGCCGACAGTGCAGTCACAGGGCGCCTTTGGCAGCCCGGTGCCCATGCTCTGCTCTGCAGTCCGCTGCCTGCGATGCGGCGAGATCATCGTGCGCAGACACTGGAAGGGTTGGCGGTGCGAGCGATGCAATGTGAGTACTTCAGCAGCTAGCGAGAGTCTGCTCTGGCACACACGGCTGATCTCCGCGTGCCAGATCGACCACAAGGCGCTGCCGCTCCTCGTGGCGCGCGACGTTGACTTTGGCCGCATGCGCATCGACTACTCCGGCCCGCGAATGGACAACGGCAGAGCGATGTGGCAGTCGGGTGTGGGCGTACAGCGGACACTGCAGGTCTGGTCAGACCACGTCAAGATCCCGCGCTACGACATCGCACTCGCGGCGCAAGATGGCGATGCCAGCAAGCCAAATACGCGCGTCTGGCACCTGTTGTCCAGCGGCGACGTCAAGGAGAAGGCCAGTAGCCTGTTGCGCAAGCTGCTCAAGGAGCGCGTGCCGTACCGCCGTCATCTGTTCGACGGTGTCCTGTCGCCGTTCTTCACGGCGGCCTTCCACGGCTCCGCGAGCACTCGGACGGAGAACTTCCTGCGCGTCCCCTACACGCCGCTCGACGAGGTGCGCGGCATCTTCCTCGACACGGTCTTCGCCGTCGACGAGCTGGCAGGCCGAGCCCTGTGCCCCGAGGAGGAGCGGCGTCTGCCGCACAATGAGGCTGCGTTCCTGGTGATCTCGGGCATGAGCCAGGACGTGCCGTTACACAGCTGCGTCGGCAGCATCGCGCAGTCAGTCGAGGCGAGGCCAGAGGTGGCTCTGCCGCAGCAATTTGCTGACACTCCTTCCCTGTGCAGCTTCGGCAGCGATCTCGGCCTGATCCTCTCGCGCCGAGCGTCCGCGATGCCCGGGCAGCCGGCACATCCCGTCATCAGCCTCGTCGTCGCGCACGGCGACGTGGTGTGCTTCGAAGATGCGCAGCGGCTGGCAGCGGCGGGCTACGTGTTGACGCTCAAGAGCAAGGCGCTGGGCGTGACTGTCATCTGTGGTCGCACAGAGCCTTAGAGCTGCGTGCGGAATGCTCATCTATTCTATCGCGCTCATCTGGAAAGTGAAGGGATGTGAGGAGGAGCGCATTTCGCGCCGGCCCGCCGCACGGCGAGATTGCCGGACGGCGCTCTCGCTGCAGCGCGCAAAAGAAAGGCGCAGGCGGCATACTCACGTCTGGCGCCCACACCTGTCAAGGGGCAGTCGAGTGCCGTCCTCGCAGGCCGGGTCACCATCGCTCCTCAGCCTGCGCACAGCGATGCATCCGCTGTCCGTCAGCGTCGTGCGCAGCGACCATCGCCACGATGAGCGCATCCCTCAGCCGCCGGCGCATCTTTGGCGCGGGCCCGGCGGGGGTTGCGCCGTGAAGGCGGGCTGTGCTCGCCGCGATACGGCCGCAGCTGCTGCGCCCGTGCGCACGTCGGCGACTTCTCGGTGCCCGATTTGGCTGCGCACGACGGCGACAGCCGCCGCTTCACTGATCACCGCTTCTCTGCTCCCGACCACCACCTGCGCCGCCCAGGGCGCTCCACCACCCACGCACCATGTCCTCGGCCATCATCAGCTCGACGGTGGCGCGCGTCAGCGGCTCGCTGCCCGGCAGCAGCAGCGCCGGCGACCTCGCCACGCCGCACCACCCGGGCGTGTCGCCGCCGCTCTCGCCGCTCGACGAGCGCGACATCGAGCTCACCGCGCCCACGAGCATGGCCGCCGCCGCCGCAGCGCCGCGGCCCGTGTCGCCCATTGAGACGCTGCAGCGCACCTCGTCGCGCCACATGGCCTCGTCGCACCCGCTGGCGCCCGTGCTGTCGCAGCGCAGCGAGGGCGGCGCTGCGCCCGTGACGCCGGCATACGAGGAGAGCGACCCGCTGCTGCTGCGCTCGCGCCTCGTCACCGAGCAGGACCTGCGCCGGCGCCCCAGCGTCTCGACGGGCCGCCGTGCCGAGCGCAAGATGAAGCACTTCTACGACGAGCAGAACCTGCACATCGAGCGCCTGCTCAAGCCCATGCACCAGCATGCCAGCGAGGATGCAGACGAGATGGCCAGCGTCAGCGGCAGTGTGAGTCGGCGGCACGAGTGGCAGGCGTATAGATGCAGGCACGGCCGAGCACGCAAGGCAGCTTCGCCGTTCTCGCGACGCCGTGCACCTTGCTGACGCTGGCTCGTGCTGCAGATCAAGCTCCTCATCTACGCCAACATCGTGGCAAACTTCGCGCTCGCCGGCCTGCAGCTGTACGCCGCCGTGTCGTCGGGCTCGCTCTCGCTCTTCGCGACGATGTCCGACTCGGTCTTTGATCCGTTCGCCAACGTGCTGCTCAACTGGCTCCACCGCAAGTCGGAGCGGCTCGACGAGCGCAAGTGGCCCGCCGGCGGCTCGCGCCTCACCAACGCCGGCAACATCACATACTCGGCCATCATGCTCTCCGTCTCGCTCGTGCTCGTCGTCGAGTCGATCCGCGCGCTCGCGACGCACGACCCAAACGACAAGCCGGAGCTCTACATCCCCTCGATCGTCGCCGTTGGCGTCGCGTTCGCCGTCAAGGCGCTGCTGGCCGTGATCAACTACGGCTTCCGCAAGTACAGCTCGCAGCTCGAGATGCTCTACATCGACTGCCGCAACGACCTCTTCATCAACGGCCTCGGTATCTTCACGTCGGCCGCCGGCGCCAAGATCGTCTGGTGGCTTGACCCCGCGGGCGCCATGGTCATCTCCATCGGCATCATCGTCGTGTGGACGCGCACGGCGCTGGGCGAGTTCAAGGAGCTGTGCGGCATCTCGGCGCCGCCCGAGTTCTACCAGCTCGTGACGTACAACGCGCTGCTGCACTCGGAGCACATCAGCAGCATCGACAGCATCAAGGCGTACCACAGCGGGCCGAACTACGTCGTCGAGGTCGACCTTGTCATGGACAAGAACGCGCCGCTGCACCTCACGCACGACGTTTCGCAGGACCTGCAGGACCGCCTCGAGGCGCTGCCCAATGTCGAGCGCGCCTTTGTGCACTGCGACTGGGAGGTGACGCACGCGCCCGAGCATCGCAAGAACAAGTGATGGCGCCTGGGCGTGACGCGCGCGGCACCGGAGCTCCAGTCCTGCAGCACACAACTACGCTTCTGTGACTAGGCATCCATTAGACGGGCGCGAGATATTACGGTTGTGTGGGGGTGTGGCGTGCTAATGTAGTACTTCTTCTCGACCTGGCCTCAGCCCTGATTACGGCGGAAGCGGAAGAGGCCGCCGCCGCCGCTCGTGCCACCCGCGCGCGACGAGGATCGTGGCGGTGTGCTCGATGATGCGCGGGCGACGATGTCGGCGGGCGGTGCAGACTCGAGGAACTGGCGCAGCGCGGCGTAGCTGCCCGACTCGCTGGGCGAGGGGCTGTCTGAACGCACAGGCGCATCGTCGCGTGCCTGGTGCCGCGGTCTGGAAGCGCTCGGCGACAGGCCCACGGTGTGAGAGCGTGCCCGCGTGCCGGGGCCACTCGGAGGCGCCTCGGGCTTCTGCTGCTGCCTACGCTCGGCGCCGGCGTGAGGCGGCATAACAGGCAGGGCAGGCGGAGAGTTGGTCGCCGAGGCGCCGGCGTGGGCAAAGTCTCGTGCCTGCACGCCAGTCCACGGAGACGTCAGGGAGCCGGACCTGCCCGCGCTGAGGCTCTCGCCGCGCGGGCGCGGCAGCGGGCCGCCAGAGTTGCGCATCGGGCGCGCTGGCGAGCCCGCCGGCGTGCCGGAGGGCGAGTAGTTGCTCGATGAGTCGGCGTGGTCGACCGAGGCTTGCTGGCGGCCGTTGCGCGAGAGCGAGAAGCCGCGCATGCGGATCAGCGACCTCGACGGACTGGATTGCATCGGGCTGCTGTCGACGGGCGGCGGCGGCGGCGGAGCGTACGGCATCTTGCTGGTGGAGGGCGGAGGAGTACGTGGAGGCGCGCCGCCAGCGGCGAGCGGACCGTTCAGCTCCGCTTTGGACGGTGGGGACGAGAGACTCGAGGCAGAGACGTTGGGCAAGACAGCTGGCGGCACAGGGTGCGCAGAGGCTTCCTCCTCGCTGCCGCTGCTCCACCTGTCGGCGTCGTCGAACGCGCGGCTCACGCCCTGCGGCCGCAGTCGCGCGCGGGCCAAGGCATTGCGGCCCGCGCGGCGTCCCGCCTTGCCGGGCTGGACAGTGCCACCGCGGCCGGCGATGGTTGCGCGAGCGATCGCACGCCGGCGCCAGGCTTCGATGTCGAGCCCGGTCTCCGCATCCGGGGCGCTGCCGCTGTGTCGGCAGCATGCGCGTGCGACAATGTTGAACAGCGCGCGGTGGTCATACTCGGAGAGCGCACGCAGCGTCACGCTGCTGCGCCCGGCGAACTCAGCCTCGTCGATGCTGTAGTCCGACACGACGGCGGTGCTGAATGCAATCGTGATGCTCTCGCTCGCCAGCTGTCGGCCAGCCGACGGCGGGTTGGTGGCGCCGTCGGCGCGCTCGGTCGCAGCCCACTTGATAGCGCTGAGGTGCCACGAGGACACGCCGTTGGACGTGCCGAGGTAGGAGCGCGTGGGGGCTTGGCGAAAAATCGACAGCGACCAGCCGCGGATGACGACCCAGCGCAGCTTCCACATGCCCAGACCTGCCTTTTGCGCCTTGGACGAGCCGCTGCCGGGCTTCAGGACATAGTACCAGCCCTCGCTGAACGGCTCGACGTAGCGCTCGTCGAGCGCCGGGTTCGCATTGGGCGCTGGCGCAGACGTCGGTGCGGCACGCAAAAGAGCGGCGCCCGTAGCACCACTCGCTGCAGCCGCCGCGACGACTGCGTTCGATGCCGTCTCGGCACGCTTTCTGCGCGAGACGGCCTCCTCGGACATGATGGCCATGTTCGCCTCGCCCGTGCGCGGCAGGTGAATACGATCGCGCGGGCGTGCCAACTGCACTTCGAGCAGCTCGAATGGTCGCAGACGGAAGGCAGCGACTGTGCGCCAGTCCTCCATCAGGTGGCCGTTTGCAAAGGAGTAGACGGAGAAGCGAGACGAGAGCGGATGCGTCGCCTTGTCCCAAGCCGAGATCTCGTCGAGCTGGATGCCGGCGATGCGCCCACCGCGTAGGAGCGCCTTGGCCGGCTCGGGCATGGAGCTCGGCTCGACCGATGCTGCGGCGTTAAGGCTGATTACGCTGTCCAGAGAGGCAGGCTCGCCGCCGTCGCCGCATGGCAGCGAGGAGGGCTCGGACAAGCCCGCGCTCGAGCTGCGTACCGGGACTGGCACCTTTGCAGAGTGAGGCGTGGGCGCGTCTTGCTCTTCGGGCAGAGCAATTGGCCCGCCACGCGCAGCAAGAGCGCTTGCGGCGGTAATGGTGCCTGAGCGCATGCGTTCCGAAGACGCCTTGTGCCGACCCGAGTTGCTGGATGTCGAGGACTGACCCGTCGCGGTGCTGGAGCGGCGGACTGCATCCACTTGCAGGTGCGCAAGCTGCTCGCGCGAAGCTCCTGCTGCATCGGCTGCTTGCTCAGCAGCACGCCGCTCCATCGCCTCCTCCAGCTGCGTGCCCCAGAGCACGGACTCGTCGCGCGTGCGCAGTCCGTCCCCGTCGTTGCACGAGGACATGGAGATGGAAGAGCGTGAATCGTCCTCGTCTGCCGCGCCAGTGCCTCCTTCGGCCACGCTCCACAGATCCTCCTCCTCGCTGGTGGAGCCCTCCAGCGGATCCTCTTCCTCCGAGTCGAACGGCGATCGCACGCCGGCCTGGCGCAGCTTTGCAGCAGCACTCAGGCGTACAAGACGCATGCCCTCTTCCGACGATGGGCTGCGCAGGCTGGCATCTGTGCTTGTAGACGTGCTGGCAACACTAGTCGAGGCAGTCATGGCGGGAGCAACGTGGAGCGGCGCGCGAGAGCGTGCGAGCGCCTCCTGCTCGAGCCGTAGCGCCTCGACGTTGCCCGGAAGACCGTGCTGTGTGTAGTCGAGGTACGCAGAGCGAGCTGCTGGAAGCGCGGGCGAGCCGCCGAGCGTGACCAGCGATGATGCGCGCGGATCCGTCGCGCGTTGCGGTGTAGGGCTTGAAGAGCCAGCTGCCGCATTGCGAGACGTCTGCACGCTTGCCGGGCTGCCGGGCAGGCTCGCCAGATTCGTCTGGGAGTGACTCGAGGAGGGCCCGTCCTTTGCTGTAGCCGCGCCGAGCGCGGAGAAGCTGGCCATTGGTCGTGGAGTGCGGTGCGCAGTCGTGACTGAGCTGACACCCAGTGTGTCTACCATCGGCGAGGATGCCCTCGACACCATGGCTGGCCTCTCGAACGAGCGCGGCGAGGCTGCCCGCTTGCCCACCGCCTTGCTTTGCGGCAGCAGGTTGGAGGAATCTGCGCTTGACGTCGAGAGCGACGATGACATGCTCACACCCACGGGCCCGAGCCTGCCAGGGCCACCGCGGCCGGGATCGCCGCCCAGGATGGCGCGCGCAGCCGACGCCGCAGACGCTGCCTTGGCACGTTGCCGCGCACTGGCCGACTCGGCGGAGACGGCGAGATCTGCGAGCGAGGCGATGTCTGGCGCATCTGAAGAGCCGGAGTAGCCGGCCTTGCGCGCGATGAATACCTTGGGCAGCACGCCCGGGTCTGCCGGGATCACGACGCCGTTCTTCGTCGCGGTCCCGGCCGCGGCGGCCCCGGTGACTTCCTCGAAGAAGTGCGGACTCAGCGTCGGATCGGCATGCGGCACGCCGGCGCGGTCCAGAACGGCATCCTTGACGGCGCCCATGGTACTGCGCAGGTCAATGTGCATGCGCAGCCAGAGGTCGCGCGGCACGAGGCGCACGTACACCGGGATGCGCCGCTCGGGCTCAGGCGACGGGCGCGAGGCCCCGAGCGACGCCGCATCCGAGCCAGCAGGCAGCGACGCCGAGCCTGAGCCCGACCCAGACAGCGCAAGAGAACCGTCGTCGCTGAGTGGGCTCGAAAGAGCACGAGGACTGTTGCGGCTGCGTGCGCTGGCGACGTGCAGCGGTGCTACGAGCCGTGGCGCAGACTGGCGCCGCGTGGCCGCTGGAGACGGCAGCGGGCCAGTGCTAGCGGAGCCCGCGGACTGTGCAGCCTCGTGGTGCTCGGTTCCGCTCATGACGTCTGCTGCGAGGCTGGTCCGTCCTCAGTGCATGCCAGCAGCAAAGAACACGCAGCTCAACACTCACCGGTGCAAAGGACAGGTCAACGCGACGGAGGAAGCGTGGCTCCTCGTGCGGACGAACTATGGGCTCATGCACATGCGGCTAGCGCGAGTCTGGGCACGTCCACAGGAGAGCGAGACGGCCGCGAGTGCTTGTGCTTGAGGCGTAGAGAGCGTGGACGGTGGGCGACGCACGTGGCGGCAATGGAAGCAGCCGAAGAATTAGGCGAGGCGGATCGGCGGGAGGGGAGATTATGGGGTACAGGATCGCAGTTGTGCGAGCGCGAGGATGGTGTTCAGAGACGGCGAGACGTTGATTGGACGGACTGGAGGACGAGACAGGGAGGTGGTGGTGGTGCGGACGAGGGAGCAAAGGCCGCGTGGCCAGAGCGCCGCAGATGCCGCGGGTTTTGCTTGGCGCGCTCGCCGACGCGCATTACAACCGCCCGGTCTATTCGCGATTTCAAGAGGAGCTTGCGAGTTGTAGTCGGCCAGACCTTCTTGACTGGACCTCCGTCCACCTCTCGCAGAGACGCGCTTCCCGCATCCTTCTTGCTCGCTACACCCATCCTCCACCTGCTCGCCCGCCTCGCCGCCGCATTCCGCAGCTCCTTGTCGCCGATGAGCCTGATCGCCGCTCCTGCGGCGCCTGCGGCCTCGTCCGGCGTCGTGGCCGCGCCCGCGTCGCAGCAGCCGGCAGCAGCGTCATCGTCGCAGACCGCCGCGCCGCCGCCGGCGTCGGCCCTGTTCGGCGCCCTCGAGCGCGCCGCACGCACCCTCGCCGGCCTGACGCAGGAGGATGAGCGCTGGGCAGATCTGGCAGAGTGCCTTAATGCCGCGCAGTACGCGTACCGTGTGCATCTCGCGGCGCCTTGGGCCGCGATTGAGAAGCGCCGCGTACTCAGCATTCCTGATGCGGTGATTGAGGCCAGCACAGGTGAGTGGACGCCGCGAGAAGATGTTGGCGACAGGCTTCGCATCTTTCGTCGAGCGCGTGACTTGCGAGCAGCGCATCAGTTGCTGCGAATGCTGTGCTTGCTCGCCTCCACGCGCCTGAGCGGCAGAAGAAAGGCGATCTGCCGAGCTCTGCTGACGCTCTCGAACAGCCGCCGAGGCACATGCTGCGCAAGGCCTCTTTCCCAGCATCTCGCGGGCGTGGATCGTCATCGACACACGCCTGTACCTCTGGAACTACCTCGACGGGTGAGTCGCCACGAGCGTATGCCCTCGCATGCCGAAGCTGAGAGCAGCCTTGCAGGAGCAACGGTGCCTTCGAGTCGTACGAGCACCCGGACAGCGTGATCCAGTCCGTCGGCTTGGTCAAGCCCAAGAGCGGCGTCTTCATCGATGCCATCTCGCACATCCTCGTGATCTGCACCAACTCGAGCATTACGCTGCTCGGCCTGGCCTTCGAGACGGGCGCCAACAGCGCCGCAACGGGCCCAGAGCTGAAGCTCTACGTCACGGACATGTCTGTGCAGACAGACCGCGTCACCATGTCTGGCGTGCGCGGCACAGACGACGGCCGCGTGTTCTGCAAGGGCAGCGACGGCAACGCGTATGAGGTGCTCTATCAAGCCGCCGAGGGCTGGTTCAGCGCCAAGTGCTCCGTGCGGAATATGTCGACGCCGCGCTTCTCGAACCTGGTGCCGACGTTCCTGCAGGGCTCGCGCAAGGGTGGGTGAAGCCTGTCTGCTGCCAGGTCGTGCACATAACTGACCTCGAGATGCAGAGTCGCTCGACTTTCTTGCCGTCGACGGGCAGCGCGGCGCTCTTTACACGCTGCACCGCAAGGCAGAGATCGAGGTGTGGGTGTTGCCCAAAGCAGGCGCTCCGCCAACACAAGTCGCGCGCGCCAAGGACATTTGCCGCCAGGCGGCGCTCATGTGCCCGAACACGACGCTGCTTGGCGCCGCCGACTTTGCGGTTGTCTGGCTCGGCGTCGTGCCGCCGGCAGAGAGCCGAACAGTGCACCTCGTCGCACTCACGAGCAAGGGCGTGCGCTTGTACTTCTCCCACTCGCGTACGCGCTACGGTGCCGAGGGTCCGCCAACGTGCCTCGAGCTGCTGTACGTGCGTCCGCCTCCACCGGCCGGCCAACAGGGCGAGCCGTCGGCGCCAGGTGCTGGCCCGAGCGACTATGCGCCCACAGTGCCATCCTTCGCTGGCGTGCAGCACGCGCTGTACGGATCCGGCACGCTGCTGGCTGCAGCGCCGTACGCGCCCGACGCCGCCGGTGCGACTGACGTGGTGCTTGGCGTCGCCCGGCCTGCCTCTTCCACTCGACTTTCCATGCCCGGCGCGATCACGACGACCGGCAACGTGGGCATGGGCATGAACTCGAACGCTGCGGTCGGCCCAGAGGCAGACTCAGCAACGTGCGTGCTGGTGCGTGGCGCGACGTGGGACATCGCCGAGGTCTCGCGCCACAGCCCTGCGCCTGCGCCTGCCACTGGGCGGATCAGCCCGCTAGCCTTGCAGGTTATCACGCATCCGCGCGTCTTTCTCGTCCTCACGAGCTCCGGCCTTGTCATTCTGACAGAGCTGCGGCCGCTCGACACTTTGCGATCGCTGCTCGAGACCGGCAACGTGTTCGACCAGTCGGTGCACGAGTTCTTCAACCGCTACGGGCAGGCGCAGAGCTGCGCCATGGCCTTGGCGATCGCAAGCCGCAACTCGCAGCTGCTTGTTGCGCCCGAGAGCTGCCTGGCGAGCGACAGCGACGCTGCTGCGCGGTCGACAGCGCCGCGGGTGCTCAGCCCTGAAGCCGTGTCGCACGCATGGCGCATCTTCTTCGACTACGGCGGGCATCCACGCTACGACCCGCCGCCGTACCCCAGCCAACCTCCGAGCGACGGCAAGGTGACGCTCAGCGGGCGCTATCACGGCCTGACGATCTACCTCGCGCGTCTCATCCGGCCCTTCTGGGCGCAGCTGATCACGCGCAAGGTGACGCTGCCCGGCGAAGGGGAGCGGCAGCAGCCCAATGTGGCTGCCTCGCTGCTGGCGGCCGCGCAGCAGGACCTGCGCTCACTCGACGAGTTCCTGACCCGCAACGCCCAGCTCTTCGGCATGGGATCGGGCAGCAAGGGGCGGAGCAGCAGCACCGCGCCCGAGGGCGAGCAGGTTGCCTTCCGCGCCGAGCAGACGGACTTCGATGCTGTCCGCTCGCTGCTGTCGCGCACGCTTGAGGCGATCAGCTTCATCCTGCTGCTCATCGACTACCAGATGCCCCGCCTGGTCGCCCGGTGCAAGCCCGAGCTGCAGACACAGCTGGCGAAGCTCACCTTCAGCGACCTCATCACCACGTCTGCCGGTGCCGAGACCGCGCGCGGCCTGGTGGAGGCGATCATCGACTCGCAGATTGCGATGCAGGTCAGCATCGATGCCGTCGCCGACGTGCTGCAGGAGCGCTGCGGCAGCTTCTGCAACGCAGACGACGTGCGGCTGTACAAGGCACTCGAGTGCATCCGCCGAGCGAAGGAAGCGCGCGACGACGCCAGCCGAACTGCTGCGCTTAACGAGAGTGCTAAGCTCCTGGCGCGTGCGACCAAGACGCTGCCGTTCGACAAGCTCGAGCGCATCTGCCAGGACTACCGCGAGCTGCAGTTTGACCTCGGCGCCATCGAGCTGCCGCTGCGCTGTGCGGCAGAGTGGGACCCGCACGGCGTGGCGCGGACATTCAGGGCCGACGGCATGCCGGACACCGACGCCATGCGCAAGCCGATCTACGAGATGAGCCTGCGCTGCTACCGGCTCGTCATCGACACGCTCGCCTCCCTCGACCCGAAGCCAGCCGGGTCAGGGTCTGGCTCAGTCAGTGCGCAACAGCAGGCTGGTGAGTAGCTTCTAGCGCGGGTGCTGGTAGCACGTGCTGACGCTGCGATACATCACAGCGCAACGGCTCGACGTGCGGCGAGCGGATGCCTATGCACAGGCTCAGGCGTCGCAGGACGCCCTCTTCCACGTTGCCCTCTACGACTGGTTGCTGCAGCGCCGCGCTACCGATGAGCTTCTACGCATGCGCACGCCGTTTATCGAGGACTACCTGCGCTCCGAGCCGGTCACGCTCGAGCGCTGCCTGCTGCTGTGCGACTGGTATGTCAGCGTCGGCCAGAACTTCGCTGCAGCGCAGGTGTACGCCGGGCTGGCGCAGTCGACTGAGTGAGTGGCGTGTCTGGGGTATGCAGGCATCGGCGCTGACGATCATCTAGGCTGCCTCTCTCGCTCGACGACCGCGTCGAGTACCTCACCAAGGCGAGCAGCAACTCGAAGAGCGCCTTTGCGCACTCGCACGACATCGTCACGTTCACCACCGAGGTCGACGAGAAGCTCGACGTTGCGCGCGTGCAGGTCGAGGTGTTCCGCGCCATCGAGGAGAACGAGCACATCGAGAAGGCGCAGAAGGACGCGCTGCTCAAGGCATTGAACGGCGAGCTCTTCGACATCTCGACGGTGCGTCCAGCCTACGCCTGCTCGCATCACCGGTGCTGACACCTGTGCTCTCGCAGCTGTACCGCGACTTTGCCGAGCCGGAGAACATGTACGAGGTGCAGCTCATGATCTTCCACGTCTCGGACCACCGCGACCCGGAGCTCGTGCGCAACGCATGGCAGGCGCTGCTCGATGAGGGTGAGTGGCACTACACGGCGAGACGGGAGACAGAATGCAGAGCTGACGCCATCCTTCAGCGCACAACTCCAGCGAGGACGCGCCCGAGCGGGCGTACGAGCGCGTCGCCTCCGTCGTCGTCGAGCTCGGAAAGCGGTTCCTCACTTCTGAGATCGCCTTCCCGCTTGGTGAGTGGCGAGGACGCGAACGCGAAGGCGAAGCTCACACGGCGCGCGCAGATTTGCTCACCGACGAGCTGGAGCGCTACGCGTTCAGCGTGCGGGAACGGCAACGGATACCCGCCGGCTGGGCCGTGCGCACGATGCTCACCGTCGGCGCGCCGCCTGAGATCATCTACGACGTGCTGGAGAGCGCATTCCAGACGAAGCGCGAGCCGTGGCACACGCACGCCGGCCTGGTGCAGCTGCTCTCGTCGCTCTCGACGCTGATCCGCCTCTGGCTCGACGAGACGCTCGGCGTCACAGAGGCCGGCGGCCCACGCATCGCCAACGCCCTGGACCGCGACTTCCCTGCTGCGCGCGTTGAGACCGGCATCAGCGCCTACCTCGCCGCCCTCGCCTCGCTGCCGCGCCACGCGGCCCCTACGGCAGAGCGGGACCCCGAGGCCGTCGCGACTGAGCTGAAGCAGCTGCAGGAACGCATCCGGCGCACCTTCTGACACGCAGCGCGCAAGCAATGACAAACGTGCAGCCAACGCCTTGTGATGCCGTGAGCATTGGATAATGATAGTCTGCCGCCGTGCGGGCTCGTTAGAAGATGGCAACCATGTTGGCGGGCGATGACACGCCGCCGGGCACTGGAGGGAACGACGTTAGTGAGGAGGCACGACTGAGCGGCTATTCCGCACTCACGGCGTAGCGGTGCAGCTGTGAGGAAGAAGGACCAGCGGCCGAGGCGCTCGCACGTCTCGCTGAGAGACTCGAGGTCGAGCATCTTGCCTGTGCGCCAGACATCAGCACGGTGTCATTGGGAGGGATCGGCGAGACTGACCGATTGGCATGCCCCACATCGCCAGCAGCCACTCGTGTAGCCAGAGCGTGTCTGCTGCATTCAAGGGTCAGCAACACGACAGTGCTGACGTCGCTCGTCCTCACTCACATCCGGTTGCTGGCCGCACCTCCCAGTCCATTGCGTCGCCCGCCACGAGGCTGCAAAGCTTGCGTCAGCACTCGATGCGCATTAGGCAGACGCTGTACTCACGCAAAGTGCGAGTCCCACAGCCAGCGCCTGACTTCCTCTGAGTTCTGCACGCCGATGCTGCCCTCTTGCCCTCGAACGCCCTTGGCGCGCTCCTCGATGCTGGCCGTCTCATACCACGCCGTGAAGCCAGTGCGCACAAAGAGGATGTCGGCAGGTCGCAGCTCTGTGCCCTGCGCCTTGGCGCAGGCCAAGAGGTCCGAGAGAGGGATGGCATGCGCAGAGGTGGCGGACGGCACGCTCTGGCCCGGATGTGTGCGGGCGTACCAGCTGTACCAGTCGAGGAGCACGCCGCGGCCGGCGATGCCGCCTGCATCGCACCTTGGAAGAAGACGCGGATCAGCATTGAGAGGCGAGGTAGGAGGCAGCGCCACCGACCAGGCATGTGTGCCGTTCTGCGTCACCGCTTCTTTGCCGCTCCGGGCGGCGTCCACGGGCGACGTGCGGAAGTCACGGTGATGCAAGCCGCTACAGGGGCCAAAGCGTCAGATGGCGCCCACTGGAAAGCAAATGCTGTTGCTTACTTGTAGTACAGGCCGTCCTTGCGGAAGCCAGCATGGCGGGCAGACTCAAGTCGAGATCCGCCCTGAGGGCTGGAGGATTAGCGGGGCAATGAAAGACCTCGCAGGCCCTGGACTGACCTGAGATGGCAAAGACAGCTGCGTGCGATGCGTCAGCGACCACCAGCACGGAATCGTCGGCCTGAGCTCACCTTCTGGGCGTTGCTGTGCGACGCTCCTGAGTGAATGATCTGTGGACGCCGTGAGCTTGGTGTCCGCAATCCGGTTCTCAAAACTCACCTCATGAGACAGCTCCGCACCCTGATGGTCTGCGCCCGCAGGCCGGTCCAGGCTCCAGTCAAGCTGCACGCGCTCTCCCGTCCTGATCTCCGCGCCGGCAGCCTTGGCCGCATTGGCCGCAGTCAGGAAGTTGAGCGTGCCCAGCTCGTCCTTCTGCCCATCGACATCGAATAGACCCCAGGCACAGCCGTGCGGCTGACCGGCCACGCGCGGCAGATCATCCCAGCTCGGCGCGCGCGCAGCGTCGTATGTGGGGTTGCGCGACTTCATTGGCGTGAGCGTTGCGTGGCCGCGAAGCGAGTGCCGCCGCGCTCGTGGAGGCGCGGCTGCGGGTGCAGGCGCCGAGGGAGCAGGCTTGGCGCCGTTGGCGCTGTTGCCGAACAGCGCGTCAAGAGAGAGCTTCTGGCCCGCTTGCTGCACAGCAGACGAGAGCGACGAGGCAGCGGGCGCAGTCGGCACGGTTGCACTGCTTGAGCCGCCATTCGAGGGCGGCGCGGCAGCCTTGCCGATGCCGAGCAGGGCGAGAAGGCCAGCGGCAGATGGCGCTTCTCTCTGTGTCGGCTCAGTCGGCGCTGCAGACTCTGTCGGCGCCGAAGAGGAGCCGGCTTGTGACGGCAGTGTCGGCTCAGGAAGCGCGGATGCCGGCGGTGCTTGGGACTGCGGCGCAGCACCACCAGAGAAGATGTCGTCGAGCAACGACGAGCTACCGGTCATGTTCGAAGACGGCGGAGCATGAGGCGAAGCGCCATTGCCGTTCAGCGACGCCTTCTGAAACATCGAATCGAGCAGCGATAGGCCGCTCGGCTGCGCCGGCGGGGCAGGCTCGCTTGGCTGCGATGAAGAAGCAGCGCTCGCTGCAGGCGCGCCAAAGAGATCATCGAGACTGATCGCCTGCTTGGCCGACGCAGCTGTGCCATTCGTCTGCGGCGCTGGTGGCGCGGCGACACCTGCTGCGCTCGCGATCGATGGTGCACCGGAGAGCATCTGCGGCATCTGCTGCAGCCTGTTGCCGAGCCGTGTCAGCGCAGCTCCTGAGGCAACATTGCGCTCTGACGCTGTCGTCGCGGACCCGCCCTCGCTCTGACGGCTCCACCATACAGCCCTACTCACTTGATCATCTGCTCGCCGACTGTAGCCCGCTGTGTCTGCTCAAAGACCCAGATGCCGTAGATCTCCTCCTCGCGCCCCTCCTCCTCCTCCTCGTCATCATCTTCGCTCGCGGGCCGATAGATGATGAACTCGGACGTGAGCTCGAGGTCGTCGTCGAGACTGAGCGCAGCGGAAAAGTTCTCGACGCCGTTGCGGTTCATGATGAAGAAGCCGTACGAGGGCGCCGCGTTGCTGCATCGCAACGGGGTGAGAGGCGCTGCGGGCTACTCTGGCGCTGAGGCTCACCGGCGGTATAGGAACATTGGGCCTTCAATGCCCGTCTTGGCCTGAACAGAAGCGAGACGTAGCACATCAGCACCTGTCCCGACAGCGCGCCACACTGGGCAGTGCGTCGTCTCAGGCGCCGCCGGCACGCACCCAGCCATCATCAGTGTGCTCGTACAGCACGACGAAGGACGCCGACTCGAGAATGTCGTCGATGGATGCATCGTGGCGCCGCAGCACCTTCATGTTGAAGGCGAGACGAGCGGAGGCGTCCATGATGGCGCAGTCTAGGCAAGCGGGGGCTGTGAATGCAAGAGCAGAGGGAGTGTGGAGGAGAAGCAAGCGGCGCCCGCAGCTCGCAGGAGCAGACAGAGCAGGTGGTTCGTGCGCGCCGCGCCCGGCGCGCGGAATCTTCTCGCGCACTCGACTGCTGCAGCCGCCCCTCCCTCGTCCCCCTCCTCACACCGCAGCCCAGGAGCTTCACCTGTGACGCAGTCAATGATGCAGCCGGAAAGAGAACTCCTCGAGGGCAGCTAGAGCTATGTGAGCGAACTCAATCGCTGGCACGGCAGAAGACGTTCCTGAAGTCTTGCTGCACTTCGGCTCACGCCCGCGCATCCCTCCGCTCTGTGCAGGTCGTCCTTCAGACAAAGCGACTGGTGACGCAGAGTCGGGCCCGTCCAGGACCCTCCTCTCAAGCTGCATTGCCAAAAGCAGCCGCGACCTGCTCTGTTGCCAGCCTAGCGTCGAGCGCAAGCATGCGTCGCTCGCCACCGGCCAGGCGCAGCGCCGCGCCGCGCGCTTGCGGCTGCTCCTTGTCTTGGGCCAGCCAGGCCAGCGTCGCTCGAGCCACATCGAGTGCTGCTGGAGGCATCTCGGCCAACGCGGCTACTTGTAGCCCGTGCGACTCGCGGTTCACGCCGCGGCGCAGTCGGTGGCAGTAGGCGAGCGAGCCGTCCTGCGGGCGCAGGTTGCAGCAGCGATAGCGTCAGCTCTTTGCCTCCGGCCGACCATCGCCTAGGGCACTCACCGACAGCTCCTCCATGTCGCTGCAGTAGAAGTCGACATGCGGGAAGAGACGTGCGCGGCGCTCCTCCTGCGCCCAGCCGAGCATGTCGGCGAGCTCGTGCAGGTGCGTGGCAAAGAGCGTGCGGCACGCGTTGGTGTGGTAGAGGTGGTGCAGCGTGGCAAACGCCAGCGCCACGCCCGTCTCCGTCGTCGTGCCGCGCCCGATCTCATCGGCAATGACGAGGCTGCGCGGCGTGGCGCGCCGCAGAATCTCGCTCGTCTCGGCCATCTCCACCATGAAGGTGGAGCGGTCGCGCGAGACGTCGTCGCGCGCCCCTACGCGAGAGAAGACACGGTCGACGATGCCCAGCCGCGCTGCACGCGCCGGCACGAAGGAGCCGCACTGCGCCAGAATGGCGAGCAGCGCCGCGTGTCGCAGATACGTGCTCTTGCCGCCCATGTTCGGGCCGCTGATGACGTGCAGGCGCGAGGTCGGCGACAGCGACACGTTGTTGGGCGTGAAGAGGCGCTGCTGCTCCAGCAGGCCCAGCTCGACGCCAAGATGCCGGCCGTCGTGCACGTCAAAGTCGCGCGAGTCGTCTACGACTGGACGCACGAGGTTGAGCTCCTGCGCCAGGTGCGCAAAGCCAAGCAGCGTGTCGAGCTCGTCGATGAAGCGCACATTGCGGCGCAGGGCTGCCGCCTCAACGAGCACGTCTTGCCGCAGGCGCTGCAGCTCGAGTGTCTCGAGGCGCCGCAGCTCGGCCTCCATGCGGGTGAGGCGTGAGCCGATCTGCGTCCAGTCGGGATGGTAGAAGGTGCGCGTGGTGCGGCCGCGGTAGGCAGGGTTCAGCTCAGCCTCGGGCTGCGGGCCAGTCTTGCGCGCCCGAGCGGTGTCGTTGAAGTGCACCACGAAGCCTTGACCGAGCAGAAACTTGAGCGACACGCGATCGCCATAGCGCTCGCGCAAAGTGTCCTCCAGCGTCCGCGCAGCGAGACGAAGCGATGTATACTCTGCTGTGGCCGCCGCAAGCGCCTTGGACGCACTGAGCTGTAGTCAGCAGGGAGGGTCGTGGTGCGCAAGAGAGACGGGACACTCACCCAGGACGGATGAGATGCTCGAACGGCGCTCCCCAGTGCGTCGGCCGCTCCACCACCGCGTCCTTTCCTGCGCGCTTGCGGCTCTTCGGAGGCGCGTCCTCGCCCACTGTATCGCGAGCAAGATCTCCGAGTACCTCCTCCTCCGTCTCGCGCGCCAGCGCCTCCTGACTGCGCATGCGCCGCTCCACGACAGCCTCGTCCATCGCCTCGACGAGCCGCGTGCCGAGCGCCGAGAGAGAGCGAAAACGCGAGATCATGGTACGCAGCGGCGCCCAGCCGTCTTCTGCGTCCGCGCCACCGTCGGCTTCCTGCCGCAGCAGCTCGACGACGCGCTCGCACATGACGATAAAGTCGCGGACTTCGAGCAGGTCCTGCTCGTCGTTGCGGCCCGTCGAGATGCGCTGCAGGCCGCGCGACACATCGCCTGCGCCGCGCCGCAGCAAGAGGCGCAGATCCTCGCGCAGGAAGGTATGCGAGAGGAAGAGCGCCACAAGTGCTTGCCGACGGTGAATAACGTCGAGTGAGGTACTCGGCGCCGCTGCAGAAGTGGTCAGCCGACGGTCACGCGAGCATGTGCGGCCAACACTCACTCAGCCACTGTCCCAGCAGCCGAGCGCCGCCCTTGGTGACGGTGCGGCGCACGACGGAGAGCAGGCTGCCGCGCGTGCCGCCGCCCTCTCGCATGCCCTCGCGGATCTCGAGCGCAGCCAGCGTGTTGGCGTCGATGAGCATGCTCTCCTCGCGCTCCCGATGCGTCGGGCCATCGCGCGCAATAGCCTCGACACCGCCGCTGGGCAAGCTCAGAAGGCGCGCCCGCAGATGTTCCGTGAGGTGCGCAACGGCAATCTTTTCGGCGTCGACGGCATGGCTGTCGATGGCGGCCGGTGCGCAGAGCGAGACATGCACGAGACGGCGGTCGACGGCCTCCCACAGCGGGCTGCCGTCCGGCTCGAGAAATTCGCCCAGCTGCACAGCAGCAGCACTGCCAGCCGCGTGCTCGGACTGACGCAGGCCGCGGTCAAAGGCGCCGCTCGCGAGCACGATCTCCGAGGGCCCGATGCGCGCCACTTCATCGCGCAGGCTCTCCGCGTCCGGGCAGGTCGTCGTGAAGAAGTCGGCTGTGCTGACGTCAAGCCAGGCGAGGCCGATGCCGACGGGCGTCTTGGCGACGGCGAGAATCCAATTGCTGCTGAACGGATCGAGGAAGCGCTCGTCGATGAGCGTGCCGGGACTGACGACGCGCGTGACGCGCCGGGTGATCTGCACCTCCTCGTTGAGTCGTCGTCTTGCAGCAGCTGTGGCGCCTTCGGCCGCACTGGATACCTCGCGGAACTCGTCGCAGATGGCCACGAGCCGGCCATGGTCCTGCACCAAGAGCTTGAGATACTTTTCCAGCTGCCCGAGCGGAAAGCCGGCCATGGGCACGGTGCGCCCGCCCCAGGAGCGTGACGCCAGCTTGATGCCGAGCAACGCCGCGAGCGGCGGAGCCTGATCGAAGTATGACTGCGACCCAGAAGTCTCAGCGCCGGACAGCAGGTGACTGAGGGAGGGAGCGAGCTCTCACCTCGTAGAAGCCGCCCACGCGCGTCAGCAGCAGGCACGACGGGAAGCTCGCCAAGTTCCGGAGCACGTCCTTGGCCAGCGGCGGCCATGGCTGTCCTTGCGCTGTGCCAGTGCATCAGCGAGTGCCGCGGTGGGAGGACAGGGAGGGCCACACTCACGTCCTAGCTGGTCGATCATCGGCACCTCTTCTGGCGGCAGCTCGGCCGGATCCTCGAGCATGCCTGGCCCGCCGCCCGGCTCTGCCGAAGCGTCCATCGCCTCAGCACCCAGATGACTGTCCATCAGACTCGGCGGTATTGATGCGTCCAGCCGCTGCGTGCCAGTGGGGCCCGATCCCGCCAGCTGTGCTGCCTCGCTGTGCGCGGTGGCCGCGGGTATCGGCTTCTTGCCTGCGCTGGCTGCACGTCGCGTTCGCTTGGGCGCCGCACCGACCGGCTGCCACGGCGGCAGCGGCGCAGCGCCATCGAATGCGACAGGCAGCTCGTCGTAGCGCTTCTTCTCGCGCGTCACACCGCAGCGTGCCGAGACCGCGAGCGAGCGTGCGGGCGCCGCACCCATGAGCACGCGCCGGCGGCATGCCGCCGCCCACGCTGGCAGCCGCCGGGCCGAGGAGGACGCCAGCAGCACAGCGGCAAGCGGCGCACTCGAGTGCTGCAGCATAGCTGCGGCTGTGCAAGATGTGCGGGAAGAGCGCAGAGAAAAGGGGTGTGGTGGGAGGGAAGAGAGGCGAATCCGGGGGGACGCGGGGCTTCATGAAGCGCGAAACGCGCGCGCTTTCTTCTCGCGCGGAATCGGGAGCGGCTGTCCTGCGGCCCGATGCTGATGAGCGCACATTCGAGTGTCAAGCAGCGTCCTCTCCAGCACTCAGTGGCCTGTGAGGCTACTCGACGAGGTGGCAGGTCTATTGCATTGCAGTTTCTGTGTTCTAGAGCTGCTTCTTTGCCCAGCTCGCCAGAGCGCCAACGCCCTTCTTGGCATACTCGCGCGCTCTGTCCTTCGGCTCCTTGCCTCCTCCTCCATAGTGCTCCTTCGGCAGCGGACACGGCTTGCCACCCTGGTCGTCATCCTCCGCCTCAGCGCCGAGGCGTAAGCGCTTGTTCAGCTGCGGCCGGCCAGGCAAGATCGGCGTGCCGTCGTTGCCCCATTCGAGACGATGCACACACATGTGTCGCGGGCCCTCGAAGTGCGTCAGCGAGTGGAATACGAGGAAGTCGTGCCCCTCAACGCCGCGCACGATGCACTGGCCGCCCGGACCCAGCACGCCGCGCTGCTCGTCGGTCCAGAGGAAGGGGTGGTCTGAGGCTTTGTAGGGCCCGAACATCGACGAGGACTTGGCGTAGCCGATCGCGTAGCCGCCTGTTGTGAAGGTGCCGGAGGAGTAGAAGAGGGTGTACGTACGGCTCGGCGCGTGGTACGTGAGATACGGGCCCTCGAGGAGGCCGTGCTGCCACTCCATCGTCGGCGCAAGCAGCGGCTTGCGCGGGCCCTCCTACAGTGGGTTGAGCATCGATCAGCATGGTCTCAATCGAATACAACCCCGCAACATGCGCTCACGAAGCGCAGGCCATCCTCGGTCAGCGGCTGGATCCAGAGCTGTGTCTTCTTCGTGTACATCTGTCCGTCCTCGTCGTTCTTGTACACGAGGTAGCGCTTGCCGTTCTCCTGCGGGTTCTCAAACGGCTGGACGGCAGTAGTGTGAGCGCGCGTACGAGCCTTCAGAGAAGACACGACGCACCTGCGCATCGAGAGAGCCGCTGGGCTGACGGAAGTCGAAGAGTCAGCAAGAGCGTATCAAAATCTCCGGATTCTGGCAGACTAACGATGTCGACGAGCGGGCCATCTCCAACCAGCTTGAAGGGGCCCAGTGGACTCTCGGCTGAACGCATTGGGAGTGCATCAGCAGGGCGTCACATCGGAGCAAGGGACACGCGCGACCACGCACAGTATGCAGTGCAGATGCCCTGTCCGTCGATCGCCTTGATGCCGCACGTCGTGTACATCAGATAGCCTGGTCGTCCGCCCGGTGCGCGAATTACCTACTCGGAGCCCATCAGCCTCGGATCTGCACAGACAGCACAGAGTTCCTCGTGCTGCTGGCCGGTGGCCCTATCAGTATCCCGAGCCGCACTCACCTCAGGCGCCCACCACCAGCCGCCCTCGCGGATCCAGTCGGGAAACGGACCGGGCAGCGCGTCCTCGTGGTCAGAGTCCCAGGAGCAAAAGTCCTTAGAGCTGAACACCTGGATGCTGCGGCAGCGAAGCGTGAGCCTCTGCGGCAGCACCAAACGGACGTAGCGCCGCAGGTGGGGCCTCAGAGAGCATGCACGCACTTCTTGCCGTTGCCATTCGTGGCGTACGCGTACCACGTGCTGCTGGCCTCGTCGTAGAAGACGCCTGGGTCAGGCGAGTCGACGGGAATGACCGCTGGGAAGCAGGCCGAGATGAGCTGAAAGTGCGAGAGCAGCCGGGAGAGCAGTGTCACGCACGGTTCTGGTAGCCGAGATGCTCGTGTGCGGGCATGCTGGATGCAGAGAGCGAGGCGAGGTTGAATGTGGTGGTGGGATGGGAAGAGGAGGAGTAGGCGCGGACTGCCAACAGGGGCCCGCCCGCGACGCCAGGCCCGTGGTGCCAAATCGGGCTCAGCTCTGACGCACGCCGTGCTGCCGCGCCTCTCCTCCTCCGCATCCCGGCGTGCAGCTAGCACCTCTTTCTCTCCTCTCAGAGCAATTATGACGCCCTCATTCCAGTCTGCGACCTCTGCGGCCGCGCAAAGTGGACGTAGCACGTCAGCGAGGAACGCATCCGCCCAAAAAGGGGAGAAGGTGCACCTCCACATCAGCCGCGCGGCGCGCTCCGTGCTGGCCCGTGCACTCTTCGCCGCCTCGAGACGCTCCTCGCCCGGCCGCTGCTCGCCGTCCTCTTGCCGCTGGAGAAAGACTTTTGCTGCCGAAAAGGAGAGGATCTCATGGGGGTGACAATGCTGCAAGCATGACGGAGTGTGGCTGTGACAGGAGGGCACGGCGATCTGCGGTCAACGCGCTGCGCGTCTGCGGTACGCAATGGCGCAACCGGCTCGACGTGCTTCGGTGACGTCGAGCCAGATCTCGGCGACTGAGGCTTCCCGCTCGTCGGCCTACTTGAGCAGCGGCCTCCCGCCTTTTCCCTTCACGCACCCACATCCACACAGCTCCAGCAAACATGACCACGCCTCTCAAGTTCTTCATCATCGGCGGGCACGGCAAGGTTGCTCTCTCCCTGACCTCTCAGGCGCTTGCGCGCGGCCATTCCGTCGTGTCGCAGATCCGGCAGAAGGCGCACATCAGCGACCTGCCCGAGGGCACGCAGCCGCTGGTGGAGAGCATCGAGGAGACGGAGCAGGCACGCCTCATGCAGCTCCTCGACGAGCACCAGCCCAACGTCGTCGTCTTCGCTGCCGGCGCCGGAGGCAAGGGCGGAGAGGAACGCACGTGGGCCGTCGATCGCGATGCGGCGATCCGGGTGAGTGGCGCCAGAGCGGAGATGCAGAGCAGAGAAAGCAGCTGCGGCGGTGGCGGGACCAGCTTGCCTCCTATTCACGCGCTGATCACCTCTCACGCAAAGGTCTTCGATGCCCTAGAGCACTCCAAGCTCGCCAGCTCGGCCTCCTTCCGCCGCCTGCTCGTCGTCTCGGCCATCGACGTGCGTGGCGCGGACAAGAGCGCGCCGGAGTGGTATGGCGACAAGGAGTGAGTTTGCGGCGCACGAGAGGTGCCCGAGGCATGGGTTCTGACAGAGCTTGCTGCAGCTTCGAGACGGCGAAGCGCATGCGTGATGTTCTGGGCACGTACATGGTACGTCGTGCCTCGACCCTCGTCTGGTTCTCTGCTCATTCCTCTGCACAGGCGGCAAAGCACGCCGCCGACGTCTCGCTCTCCACGCGCACGTCGTTCCCGTGGCTCGTGCTGCGTCCGTCTCGTCTGCTCGACGACCCCGGCACGGCGCGTGTCTCCCTCGCGGCACACACGACGATCTCGGAGCCCGTGCGCCGCGAGGATGTGGCGCATACGCTGCTGCAGCTCGCAGAGCTCGAGAAGGGCAAGGGTGACGGCCAGATGTGGAACTTAACGCAGGGAGAAACAGAGATCGGAGCGGCGGTCAAGGAGGCGGCGGAGCGTAACAGGACGGACTGGGTCGGCTAGAGGCTGCTCGTCACCGCTGCGAGGCAATGAGATGCATCGAGATCGCAGGCTGTAGAAGGCACTCGAGCTGCCTGCCGTGAGGACCGCTGCGGTGAATAGCGATCTCTGAGGAGCACGGAACGCGAGATCCGAGGCGGGCAAGATGAGGTTTGGCATGCGGGGGCAGGGGCGTCTCCACCTCCGCTCTGACGCTGCCCGCCGCACCGCTGCTCAGGAGGCAGCTGCCGCAGCCATCGGTTCTTCGTGCGCGCACGTCGCATGTGGCCCGAATTGGGCTTCCAGAGGGGCAATCGTGTGCCTTGATCAGGGAGTTCATCCGGCCATCAAGAATCAACTCTCGGGCCGACGTTCCCGGGCGCGCTAGCTCGTTCCCCATTCCGCGCCGCACCCCGCCATAAGAAGCGGGCCGTGCGCTGTGCGCGTTCTTCCGCTCCACACCCTCTCCACGTCCGCCTTCCCTCCGCTTGCGCCTGCCCGTCTCCCCGCTCTCGTCCTGCTTCTGCCGCTCTTGCACTCGCGGCGTGCGCTGCAACAGCTCGGCCGGCGTCTGGCACCGCAGCTTGTTGCACAGCGCTCCTCCGAGCAGCCGGCGCGCGCCTCTTGCTTGCGTGCAGCTTGCCGAGGCTCGCGAGCGCGCCTCACAAGCGCCGCTCAGGTCCCCTCTGCTCTTTCGCTCCGTCACGACACTCTCCCTGCTTCATCCCCACGAGCCTTCGCCCCACTACCTCTGCGCCACGCCTCGCCCACCATGTCCAACGTGCTCGTCTACTCGGGGCCCGGCGTCTCGTCGTCGGCGCTGCAGCACACGCTCGGCACGCTGCGGCGCCTGCTGCCGTCGTACGATGTGCAAGCCGTCGATGCTCGGGCGCTGGCATGCGATCCCTGGGCCGCCACGACTGCACTGCTGGTGCTGCCTGGCGGGCGCGACCTGCCGTACGTCGCATCACTGGGCGAGGCACAGCGCCCACCGCATGCGCCCGCCTCGGCGGCCGTGCGGGCCGACGAGCGCATACACGCCTACGTCTCTGGCGGCGGCCGCTTCCTCGGCATCTGCGCTGGCGCCTACTTCGCCTCTGCACAGGTCGTCTTTCAACGCGACACGCCGCTCGAGGTCGTCGGCGCCCGCCCGGCACTGCGCTTCTTTCCCGGCGAGTGCCGCGGCACCGCCTACCCGGGCTTCGTGTACGAGTCCGACGCCGGCGCTCGCCTCGCGCGCCTGGCGCTGCCCGACGGCGGCGCATGGACGTGTGCGTACAACGGCGGCGGCGCCTTTCTCGATGCCGAGGCATACGCCGCACAGGGCGTTGAGGTGCTGGCGCGCTATCCGCCCGCCGACGCCGCCCTGGCGCCCGGCTATGCGGGCCAGGCAGCGGCAGTCCGCTGTGCCGTCGGCGCCGGCGTGGCGCTGCTCTTTGGCACGCACCCCGAGTTCCCTTTGCAGCGCGATGCCCGCAGCGTGCGCGAGAGCGGCGCACCCGAGACGGTGCCGCCGACAGACGCCGAGCTGCGGCAGCTCGACGAGGAGCGTCTGGCGCGCCTGGCCGCATTGCTGCGCGACACCGGTCTTGAGGCGACATCGCCGCACGTCCCATCGCTCGACTCGGCGCCGCTTTCGCAGTGGGGCGTGCCGCGCCTGACGCCGCTCTTTTGGCTCTCGAGCATCCCGGACGGCATGGGCGAGCTGCTGGCGCTGCAGAGCTCGAGCGCCCGTCCAGCGTTGACCGATATGCCCAGTCTGTTCGGGCCCGACGCGCCCGACGACTCGGGAGCGCCCCTCGCAGAGTCCTTCTTCTTGGCACAAGTCGACCAGAACGACACGTTCATCCTCTATTCGGGCGTCGGCACGAGTCGGAGCATCACGCGTGCAATGGCCGAAGCAGACTACTCGCCCTACCTCGAGGTTGTCTCCTCGGGCGCAGCAGGAGGCTCGAATGGCAACGAAGCAGAAGCTCGGGCGCACGATGCGACGGAAGTCAACCTGCATCGTGTGCCCAAGTACGTGCTCGCCTTTCCCGGCGTGCCCGATGCAGCCAAGGGCTCGCTCGTCGCCACGTCGTCGGTGCTGCCCGACCGCAGCCTCACGCCGCACTTCGACATGGTCGCCGCTATGCGTCATCTCGCCGCAGCACGCGAGCGTCTGACACATGGCGCACTCGCAAGCCTGAAGCCGAAGTCAGGGTCGGGAGGATGGCCGGTCGAGGAAGCGGAGGAGCGGATAGGCCACACGATTATGTACGGCGAGGTGGTGACGAGTACGCAGACGCTGCTGGACAAGTGCGTACATTCCTGATCTGGTCGTGAAGATCATTGCGCTGACACCGCTCTCTTGCGCCCAGGAACCCGGGCTTTCTCAAGTGTGCTCCGTCCGGCCTGACGATTCTCGCCACGCAGCAAGTCTCGGGCCGCGGGCGCGGCAAGAACGCCTGGATCTCGCCGCGCGGCTGTCTGCAGTTCTCGACGGTGCTGGAGCTGCCGCTGAGTTGCGCCTCCGGGCTCGTCTTCGTGCAGTACCTCGCCGCGCTCGCCATCGTCGAAGCTGTGCGGCATGGGCTCGGCGAAGAGTATGCGCCCGTCGGCAGACGACTGCGCATCAAATGGCCGAACGACGTGTATGCCGAGGTGGGCAGCGCCGAGGAAGAGCAGGGCGCAAGACAAAGGACGGGCACGTTCGTCCACGCGGGCAAGCGATGGGCCAAGCTCGCCGGCGTGCTCGTGAACAGCTCATTCTCCGGGGGCAAGGAGTTCCGCCTCGTGGTCGGTGCGTTCGGCCTCTTCCCTCGCTGGCTTTTCGTTGCTGACCTCTGCGTACAGGCTGTGGCATCAACTGTCTCAATGCACGTCCCACCACGTCAATCTCCGACGTCATCGCCCTACACAACTCGACGCTTCCGGCCGGCAGCGCTGCTCTGGCGCCCGTGTCGCAAGAAGCGCTCTCCGGTGCCGTGCTCGCGACGCTCGAGAAGCTCTGGCGCGTCTTTCTCGGCGGCAGCGGCAGCTTTGCGCCGTTCCGCGAGCGCTACGCCGCGGCCTGGCTGCACTCGGACCAGATTGCCTCGCTCGGTGATACGGCGCCGCCGACGCCGGTGCGCATTGTGGGCGTCACTAGCGACCATGGCACGCTGCGTGCAGTGCCAGTCGAGAGCGAGCTCACGAGCGAGAGCCCCGGCGCTTGGGGAGCGAGCGAGGGAGCGGATGCACAGCGAGGGCCGTGGATCGATCTGCAGCCCGATGGCAACAGGTGCGTCGCATAGGGTGCACTCGTCTGCCCTTGAGCTGAGCCGTCTTTCCCCTGCTCTCAGCTTCTCGATGCTCGAGAACCTCATCCGCAGCAAGACATAGCCCGCGCTAGCGACAGATGCGGCGCGAGCCGACGGCACCACCATCCGCCCTCTGCTTGGCCCTCTTGCCCCTTCACACTAATGCGAGCTCGCTGAGGCAACGGCTATGTCATTCCTTTTGCAGGCGAGCGTGCCGAGAGAGAGAAGCAAGCTAGAGGGAGGACGTGTGTGTCTGATGTGTGTGTGTGCGGTGGATGGAGTGGACGAGGGGGCAATGGGAGTGTGGTGTGGGGACTTGGTGATGGGGCGATGCAGTGGAGGGATTAACGTGGAGTGCGGTGGGGCGAGGGTCTGAGGAAGGAAGCCGGGCGCGCACACGGAAGCGCTAGAATAAAAGAGCTGGTGGCCCAGGGAGGAGAGTAAAGAAGTGAGGGACTGAAAGCGGACAGCGGCGACGCTTTCTCAGTCGGCGAAGCCAGCGAGCAGCGCAACGGGGTCGGCAACATCGTACTGCGGCTCGCTGAGGTGCGCCCTTCTGCGCGCCTCCATCTCGTCCGACACGTCTCGCGGCGCCTCTTGCGGCTGCAAGCCATTGGGCTGCGAGCCCGACGGCAGTGGTGCCGGCGGCGGTGGAGGCGCAAGCGAGAGCCCACCCTTTGTCGGGCGTGGCTTGCGGCCGCTTGCCTCTGCCGCGTGCTGCTCCACGAGTGCCGGGCGATCAAAGAGGCCAAAGACGACGCTCTGATCGATGATGTAGCGTGCACGCGCACCCATGCTGCCCTCGCCGCCCACGTCGGAGACCTTCGCCAGCGCCGCGTGGCGCGCTGCCGCCTGCATGATGGCCGTGTCGTTGCGTCCCGCAAGCGGCTCGGTGCGCTGAAAGGCGCGGGTAGCAGCGGTGACGTCCTCTTGCTCGTCGGCGGGCAGCAGCAGACGAGCAGCGGAGCTTTGACCCAACGGCTCGACGGCAGCATGCGGCGAGAGGGCCAGCAGAAAGTCAACGTCGCGGAGCCGCAGGCTGGGTGCACCCTGAGCACTGGCATGCTTGGCCGCCACCGCTGCCGCGGCCTTTGCGGCCGCCGAGCGCGGCGAGAGCAGCACACTGCCGTCCTGCATGCTGGTGTCGCCGTCGGCGTCGGCGTCGCCACTCGTGTCGTGGCCGTCGTCGGAGCCGTGGGCGTGCGAGGTGGGCGCGGTGCTGACAAACGAAATCATGCTGCTGTCTGCAGCACTGCATGTCGCCAGCGTGCTGGTGCCCGTGCGCGTCGAGAGGTCGGAGCGCATGTTGCGCAACGAGCGACTGGGACTCTGCGCTGCGGGCGCAGCGAGGAGGTTGGCGCGTGCGGCATAGTCGGATGAAGAAGGACCAGCGTGCTGCGTCTGCGCCTCCTCGTCCTCTTCCATCACCGACGGCGAGCGCGACAGACGCGCCTGGGCCTGCGCATATGCTGAGGCTGCGGCAGCCGCCACTGCTGCAGACGCAGACGCGGGTGGTGCTGGGCCTGACGTGCGGATGCCGTCGGCGCCGTGCGAGCGCACAGCGGCAATCATGCTGCTTGCCACGTTCTGCAAGTGATTCTGAAGCAGCGCAGAATGAGGTCTCGATCAACGCTGTGCTCCTTGATGCAGCGTACGTCTCCTACTCACTTGCAGGGCCGCCAGCAAGAGCGCCGCCGCCTGTGGTGCCACGCCGCCAGGCAGCTCGTTCTCCACCGCCGCCAGCGTCATGGTGTCGAGCAGGCGGTCAACATCCGGCAGCTCCTTTGCCTCGGCGCACAACGGCGCAGACAAGGCACGCGCCACCGCCTGCTGCGTGGCTGCAAGGCGAGCGCATCCAGCATCAGCACACCCGCCTGACCGCCACATTCGCCTGCACGTGGCAGCAGGGCGCCCACTCACAGACGCTCAGCTTTTCCCTGACGTCGCGCAGGCGCATCTCCGCCGACGCCGCCTCGGCGCGCCAGTCCGCACCACCGATCTCGGTGGTGGCTTCTCTCACGCGCCTCTTCTCCTCCTTTGCCCGCCGGCGTTCCTCTTCCTTGCGCTTCTTCTCGAGCATGTCTGCGCCGGCACCTGCCCAGCCCAGTGCTCCCATGACTGCAGCGCGCGGCGGCGGCTTTGCAGCGGCCTTCAGACGCGCTCGCTCCTTCTGCGGCATGCCGGCAATGAGGGCACGCAGACGCTTGCGCGGCGCAGAAGGGCCGGCTGCATCCTCTGAGTCGGAGCTTGGCGCTGTCGAAGCGAGACCGCCGCGTGCGCCAAGACCACGCTTGTTGCTCGACGGCAGGTGCACGTCGGGAGAGGCGTTGTAGATGATGCCGAGCAGCAGCGAGTTGTGCAGGTGCACTGCGGGGTCCGAGCGCGTGTCAGATGAGATCTCGAATAGAACGCAGGTGCAAAGGTTGGAGCGAATCATCCACCAGCCAAGTGCACCTGCCTCGACGCATAGCAGCGTGGATGCGAGCATAGCGCTCCACCGCCATGCTCGGCGCTGGGCGGCGCGGATGCCGACATTCGCCGGGCTCGTACCTTCCGGCCCTCCATCCGTGCGCCTGATGCTTCCTCGGGATGCGCTGCCGCACTCCACACTCACCCTGATCGCTGCGCAATGTGCCCTTGGCAACGCGCTCAAACTCCTCTCTGGCAATGCGTCCACCAAAGAAGTCGAGCATGGCGGCCCAGTAGCGCGCGCCGTGCGTGCCGAGCGCGGCGGCCAATTGCGCCTTGAGGGCATGTGTGTCGACGCGCGGCCGCAGCGGCGGTGGCGCCGCCGAGGCAGCGGAGGCGGGCAGAGCCGAGCCCGACGCCAGGGGCGCCGTGGCGGTGGAGTGCGCCATGCCGCCGCGCCAGGAAGACCCGGCTGAGGCTGGGCGGCACCCGATGCACCTGAGGCAGCACCTGCAAGGCGCAGAGGCGCAGTTTGCGAGAGCAGGAGCCAGGCGAGGACGCTAGCACGGCCTCAGGCTCGGCGGCGATGCGCAAGGCGAGGCGGATGGCGCGGGCAAGAGGACGGATGGATGCGAGACGCAGCAAAGACGCCGCGGCGGCGAGGCGAAGAGCGGCAGCGGCGGTGGAGCAGCACGAGCGAGGAGCAGAGCAGAGCGACTGGATGTGCCGAGGTGGATGTGGTGCAGAGGATGCGAGGTGAATGAAAGGAGAGAGAGAAGAGCGCCGTCGGGCGTGCACGCGCGGCGGCGGATGGGAATGTGGAGCGCAGGAGGCGAGAAGGCGGAGCGACACGAGCGCGGCCAAAGCGACACGACGAGCGCGGATGCAGCGGCGACGAGGAGCGGGAGCCGCGAGCAGCTGCTGCAGCTGCTGCTGCGGAACGAGAGGGTGGTGGATGATGATGGCAAGGAGCGGCGAGCGCGAGCTCGAGGTGGATGCATCCAGAGCCTCGCTGCTGCTGGCCGCTGCGGTCTCTTGCGCATGCCTTGGCCGCGCGTCTGCGTGCTCTGCTGACGGCGTGCCGAGGTCTCAGCGCGCTCCCGCCCGCTCGCGTGGATGCCTCGAGGCGCGAGCTCCTTGCGCCGCGCGCCGGCTGCGTGCCTGCTGATCCTTTGCAGCGCGCGGCGCGCCCCGCCGAGCTTTATTCCGGCGGCGCTGCATGCGGCGCCCCCCAACCGCATCTGCTCGAGCCGCTCCTGCCTCCGCGGCCGCCTCGGTGTTGATACATCCGCCGCACAGCACCTTCACTCGACGCATACGCAGGCACCTCCGGGCTTCTTTGTGCAGCAGCAAGCTGACGCGAAGCGCGACAGCGAAGGAGACGGCCGGGCAGCAGCGGATGGGATTTGACGCGCCGCCGCCAGAACGCCGCGGCGCGGCTCGCAGATCCTCGGCCGGCCTGCGCCGCTTCGCCGAGGTGTTGGTTGCACGTGACGCGCCGCGTGCCGCCGGCGAGTGTTGTTCTTGGGGCGCGGTGTACTGTAGCGCGCCCTTGCTCGGGGTGCCGCTCCCTCTCTCCACAACCCTCGCATTCGCCTCTTCTCCTTCCTTGTCTGCTCACTTCCGCTGCCGTGCTCGGCGCGATGGACTCGCTCTGCGCTGCGGCGCCGCCGTCGCGCGTGGTGGTGCGGCCGTCACAGGCGCGCGGCACGAGTGCCGCTGCTGCGGGACGCAGCTCGCCGAGCAAGCCTCGCAGCAGCAGCGCGATTGAGCGGGCCCCATCGCCCGCCAAGACGGCACGCCGTATCGTGCGCAGGGACGTCGATGCATGCGGCAGTGCCGACGGCGCACGCATTGGCGACAGCACGACGGCAGCACCTCCCACCTCTCGCGCCGCACGCTCCGCCATTGCGCGCCGCAGCCTCGAGGCGGGCGACGGGCTGCTCCTCGATGCCGCAGCTGCCCGTGCTGCCGCTGACCCCCGCAAGGAGGCATTGCGCAACTCGGTGCTGCAAGACCAGACGCACGCGCCGCCGAGTGGTGCGGAGCTGGATGCCGCGGCCGCGAGCAGGGCCAGGCGTGTGGCGCGGGAGAGAGGCACGGAGCGAGCTAGACGCGCTTCACCGCCGAGAGCTGCTTCGCCAGTGCGAGACAGTGTCGCAGCACAGGCTCGCTGCAACACGTCGCCGTTCAAAGTGGCCATGTCGTCGCGCTGCGTGGAGAGCAGCAGTAGCAGTAGCAGCCGAACACGTATCGAGGCGACTCGAACAGCTGCACCAGCAACACGGCCAGCCACGCTGCCGACGTCTCTGCGCTCTCTTGCGGCTGCTCGGGCTCCGGCAACGATGGCCGAGCGCACGACTCGCCCGGTGCCGCTCGAGGCCACGACTGCGCGGCGAGAGCGCGAGGTGGCGCTTTCAAGTGCGGCGCCAAGCAGTAGTCGTGCGCCGGCATCACGGGAGCACTTGAGCTCACCGGTGCGTCCTCGCAGCGGTGCTGTCGTCGTTGCTCGGCAGCGCGAGACGAGCGAGGCCGGGACTGCGACACGACCTTCGGCTAGACGAGTGCCTGTGTTGCCGGGCACCAGCAGCAGTGCAGCTCCTCCATCCATCTCTCGAGCTCCGGCGGGGACGCCTCCACGCGCCACCCTGCCGCGCCCGGCGCACGCCACGGCATGGCGAGCTTCGCCGGGCCGTGCTCAACGCGGCGTGTTTGTGCACGAGGCAGAGAGCGAGAGCGCCAGTGCCAGCGCCAGTGTCAGTGTCTCCGAGTCAGACGACGAGCTAGCCGACTGCTCGCCCTGCAAGACCATGCCGCCGGCATCACGCAGCAGCAATGCAACGCGACCTCGCGTCCAGCGCTCGCCGGCGTCGTACCCGGCTCGTTCGTCAGCCTCTTCCTCCTCCTCAACCTCGCCTACCTCTTCGCCGCCGCACCAGACAGCCGCTGCCGCTGCACCGACGCTCTCGCCAGAGACGAGCAGTGCACTGGCCTCCCTCGAGGCATCGCTTGCGCGCCTGGCACTGCCGAAGCATGCCCGTCGACGCACTATTGGGTCAAGTGCAGCGCTATTGCAGCCCCACATCGCCGACGTCGATCCGGCAGCTGCGCCGCTGAGTCGGCAGCACGTCTCCTCGAGCCAGGTTCTCTCCTCGCCCGCACGTCGCACCCTCGACTCGCCCACACGCCGCACACTCGAGTCTCCGACGTGCAGCGAGCGGCTAGCCGTCGGAAGCAGCGCCGGCGGCGGTGTTGGTGTGGGCCGCGTGCGTCCCGGCGGCTCGCTCTTCGCGCTCGCCAAGGCGGAGCCGGCCGCGCCGGTTGATGCAGCTGCGGCAGCAGAGACCGCGGAGGCTCAGCGAGAGGCACGCCGTGCAGCACGCAAGCTGGCGCAGCGGGAGATGCAGCGCGAGGCAGACGATGCAGCACAGGCGGCGATCGCGCGAGCTAGAGCTGCAGAAGCAAGAGAGGCACAACGAGAAGCCGAGGAGGAGGAGCAGATGCAGCAGCAACGAGCCTTGCGACGACAAGAAGGCGCTCAACAAGCTCAACAGGCGCAGGCACAAACGCAAGCCATGCGTGTTGTCGAGGCGCAGAAGGAGAGACGCAGAGTGGCGCGCCAGGAAGCAGCGGCGAAGCTGGCGCGGGAGGCGATGCAGAGGGCCGCAGACGAGGAAGAGGCGGCTGCGCAAGCTGAAGCTGATGCGCAAGTGCAGGCCGAGGCGCAGCGCCGCATCGACGACGACGAGCGCGCTGCAGCTGCGGAGCGGGCGCAGGCAAAGGCGAGCCGCCTCGCCGCGCGACTGGCAGCAATCAGGCTCGAACGGCCAGGCGTAGGCGACGAGAAGAGCGGCACCGGCGCCGGCGAACGGCGACACACCCGTCGGCAGAGCTTGCAGCTGGTGCAGTCGAGTGCTGCGACGCCGGCGCCGGGTCGCGGGGAGATCGGGGATGACGGCAGCCTGGAGCAGAAGGTGGCCAACAAGGAGGAGGCACGAGCTGCAAGTCCACCGCCTGCGACAACAGGCGTCACCGCACGAGTGCAGCGTCGACGCAGCATGTACACCTACGTGCCGACGCAGCGCGTCGCCGCCACCGACGGCGCAGGCGACGCCAGCACTCGCAGCCTCGCCACTGCTTCCTCCGCTAGCTCCGAGCGCTTCCTGCGCGGTGTCGTCGTGCTCGTCGACGTGCGCGATCAGGATGGCTCGGACGCATCAGCACGGTGGATCGAGCAACTGCGCGCTGCCGGTGCTCGAGTCTCCTCGCGCGCGCCGGCAGCCGGGAGCGACGCAGCGGCGCGACTGACGCACATTGTCTTCAAGAGTGGCCGACCTGCTACGCTGCACGCCTTCCGTGCGCTGCCGAACGACGCGAGGCCCGCACTCGTGGGCGTCAATTGGATTCGGCAGTGTCTAGAGGAGCGGAGACGCGTGGATGAGGCGCCGTTCCTGGTGGAGCTGGGGAAGCAGGCTGTCTTCCAGAAGGTGAGGCCCTGCTTTTCTCGTCGCCCACCAGAAAAGACTAGTCGACTGACCCATGCCCTTCCTCCTCGCGCAGCGGCGCACATCCATGGCTCCACGTCTGGCTCCTGGTCTCGACTGCGCCAGTCCTTGTGAGTTTGCCCTGCTCAACTTTGCTCTCGCAGTTGGTTCTGACGCCTCACGTCTGCGCTTCGCAGTCCGCGGCACCATTGCGAAGGAGGTCGAGGCGGCGCGCAAGCGCGAGCTCGTGCACCGGCCTGCCGTGCCTAGCCCACTTGCGGGCAGCGCATGGCGCCCCGATGTCTCGACGGACGGCAGCGAGGCGGCGCTGTGAGGGCCAAGGCGGTGCATCGGGCCCACGACTACCACTCTCCTTCAGCGCCTCGCCAGACTCATTTTCTCTCTCTCGATGATTCCCACACACTGCATGATCCTCACCGACGTGCACCCATTTACCCTCTCCACACCAGACGCGAATGATATCTTGTGCTTTTCTCGTCGCGGGAGCGTGCGGCACGGAGCTTGGGCGTGAACGACGCGTACAGAGAGCAGAGAAGGGCATGAGCATGAGGACGACGCGAGGGGAGAGAACGCGTGACGAGGGAGCCCAAGAGAAAAGAAACGAGGGAAGAGCAAGATCGAGGCGCAGAGCAGCGATGCGGTACGAGGGATGTCGCCATAGCCAGGCAGCGTCTTACTCCCACAAGCCGCCGTCGGCCATGCTGCCCGTCTTGACGCCTCCCTTGCCCGACTTGCCTCTCAGCTTGCCTCCCTTGTTGCCCGCCGTCTTGTAGTATTCGCGCATGTCGGCCTTGCTCCACTCCTGTCCCTGTTCGGCCTGCCAGCGCTCCTCGTTGCGTGCCGCTGCCGTCTGCACGCCCTGCTCCGCCAGGCGTTGCGTGCGGCTCGGCGTGGCACTGCCGCTGCCCGGCATGCTGGCTGCGCGTTCCTCATCGCGAGCTTCGAGACGCTTGCGCTTCGCCATGTGGCTCAGCCAATCGATCTTGCTCTCTCGGCGCGTCCACCGTGCGCCCGAGGAGCCGAAGGAGGGGATGGGGTTGGTGCCGGCCTCGTCCAGTGCTTGCGCTTGACAGTACGTGTACCAACAGTAGTTGAGCGTGGCGGAGCGACGCCAGTGCTTGCAGACTAGCGAGCAGGACCGGAGTGCGCTGACGGGCAGAGAGAGGAAGATGCGCTGCGAGATCTGGGCAGGGGACATGTGTCAGCCTGAGTGCCGATGCTTGCGAGGCGTGTGACGTAATGACGTTGAGCTGCTCTTGCAGCGTGCTCAATGGCGGAAGGATGGCGCGCCAGTGAGGCACCTGCTCTGCCGTTGCGCCCCGCGTGGTCCTCCACCGCTCCTCTGCCATGCCTTCGGCACCACTCCTTTCCACTCGCGCCCCCGCTCAGCCCATCGGGCGTCACTCACCACGTTTGGGAACGCCCTCAGGGGATCCGTCTTGCTCTTGACGCGCGGGCTGGGCGTGGCTTTGCCGCTCGCACTGCTGCTGCTGCCCGGCACGGCGAGTGCGCTGCGCTTGCGGCCCGCCGCAGCCAGGGTCAGGTGGTGCATTGCCTCTGCGGCGCTGCCGACGGCGGCGGTCGAGGAAGAGGCGCCTGCCGCTCCCGGCGGCGGCGACGGCGGGCGCGACAGGCCAAAGGGCGTGCCGGGCACGGTGCCGGGCACGGAACGCACAGCTGGAGCGCGCGAGGCGTCAGTGCTCGGTCTGCCTGGTACGTGGCCATAGCAGACGCGCGAGCGACTCACCGACGAGCTCGTCGTCGCTGGCGCCGCTGTCGACGGCCTCCCACTCGTCGAGCGCCTGCTCGTCGTCGCTGCTGCGCACGCGCGCCCCCTCGCCGCCCGCGGCGGCGGCCAGGCGCGAGGCGAGGACGTTGTGGAGGAGTGTCGACATGAGACGGCCGTGCGCGTGAGGCACTGATGCGTGAAAGTGACAGGAGCGGGTGAGATGAGGCTTGAAGTGCACGCAGAGGTGGCAGACGGGGCGGAGGTGGTGGAGTGGAGCCAGGCTGCTGCGCTTCGCCTCCACGCCGGCACGGCCCCACGCTGAGCCAGCAGGCACAGCGGTGCCTGCAGCTGCACGTCATGCCGCTGCCTCGGCCCCTGATGTACGCGTTGGCCGGAGCAGCCTGCGCATGCTATGGATGCGCCAGCATGCAGCGCCGTGAGCGTGCATACTGATAAGCTCGCCGGCAGGTCTGTGCGACGACGGAGCGAGGAGGAAGGCAGACGTCAAAGTCGGGCGTTGGCAGATGGCTTGAAGAGGCAGGCCAAAGGCGGCAGGCGGTGGCAGCGCGCGGCGTTGCTGCGGCGGCGCGACTTGCCTCATGAGGCCGCGCGACGCGCGCCTGTCACGGCCTGCTCAGCACCCCTCTTAAGGAGCAGCGGCACGCCTTTCTTCCCGTCTCCCACCTCCCACCTCCACCTGACACACTTGAGCCTCCTCACTGCGCTGGCTCTCTCCAAGTCTCCCATCTCGCCACCGCGTGTCGCTGCGCCATGAGCGCTCCGGCGTCGCCTGTGCCTGCGCCGGCCGCGTCGGGCAGTCGGCCCTCGCTGCTGGCGCTCACCGAGGAGTTCCGCGCGCAGTCGGAGCGCCTGCAGGCCTTTGCCGAGTCGCAGTCGCAGAACGACCTGCTCGAGGATGCGCAGAAGAAGGACATCGACAAGATGAGCCGCCGCTTTGCTGCGCTCGTGAGTCTGGCCAGCGAGAGCCGGCATCGGGCGCGCCGCTGGGGACATGCGCACGTCGTCGTAGCTGCGACGCGTGTGCCATGCAACTGCCACTCCTCCTGACTGTCTGTCCCTGCTAGCTCGACCTCAAGAAGATGGACTCGTACGACAAGTACGACGAGAAAGAGGTCCGCTCCCTGGCGTCGCATCTCCAGGGCCGCTCGGCGCGCCTGACGGCCATCAACGCCGAGATCACCACGTCCCTCATGCTGGCATTCGAGCGGCTCGCGTGGGAGGGCGTCATTCCGGCACTGCTCGACCACGAGGTCGCATGTACAGGGACCTCGACTGTGGTTCGCATGTACGTTGTAGGCTAAACTTTCGGCAAGCGAAGCGAAGCTTATGGCGCCGCTTCGCACAGTCGCAAAATGATCACCTCGTGGGAGAGCGCAGCGACGGAGGCGGCGTATGGCCTCTGCGACACGTACGACAAGCGCACGAACGCGGGCGAAGAGGCAGACAAGGCAATGCGCGATCGTCAGTCGTATTGAGTCTCCCAGACCTTTGGCGCATTGTGGCTGACGCCTCATGCGGCACAGAATCGGACCGCTTCTACGAGCTGCAGGGCATGTACTGCGACGTGCTGTGTCGCCACACCGCCCAACTTAGTGACATGGCGATTGTGGGCGTGAGTTGCGGCGGTGACGGAGTGGGATGATCCTTGCTGAAGCACCGTGCGCAGTGTCTTGTGGTGCTCGACAAGGCGTCGAAGCGCTCGCTGCTCCGTGCTCGTCGGTCGATGACTCCGTGAGCAGGCAATGCCGCATTTGAGAACGAGGCGCTGCTGATGCTGTTCGCGCCGACGCAGCGAGGTGCTCGGACGCATTCTCTTCGCCCTCAAGAGTGCGTCTGTCCTTCCGACACAGCTTGCATCACACACTGACCAGTCCGTCGCGCCTTGCAGCGCAGCCGCAGATCTCCGACTGGGTACAAGTCATCCAGCGCCTCTCGCCTCCCAGCAGCGACACACCCAAGGCCCGCAAGCAGTATGCGCAGCGCTTCTTCTCGTGCCTGCAGCCTTACGATCGCGATGGTATGCTGCGTGTGTTTGCAGATGCATTTCTTGAGGCGGCCGAGGGCAGCTGGTGCTCGACAATCTCCGATATCCTCGCGAAATTGGGCCAGGCGGATCCGACGCGGTGAGACAGTGTGGGGGCAGCTGCCGCACCACGACAATGCTGACCCCTCCGCCTGGCAGACCGAATCGCTTCCGCTTCAGCCGTCTCATTCCCATCGGCCGTCGCAAGACCATACGCTGTCCAAAGATCAGGGGCGAGGACCATGATGCTCCGTATGACGCTTGGATGGGCGCAGATGGTCTGATGTGCGTGAGCACCGTGTGTGTCTGTGGGCGTTCCAGCTGATCACAACGCCGCAGCATTGCCCTCGAGACGGGCTCGACGGCGCAGCCGGGGATGACGACGCTCGGTGTGGCGCTGGACCTGGTATGTTCTCCCCTTGACTCCATAGACGAGCCTGTCTGACATGCTTGTCCTAGATCAAATGTGCGCGCATCGGCTGCGATGCGCTTCGTCCCTGGCTGACCGCGCTTTTCTAGCTGTCACTTCCTTCGGCAACAGCAACAAGCCAAGTCTGCTCGTCGAGACGAGCGTGCCCCTCATCAACGATGATGTGCCGTCTGAATCTATCTCGACGGGCGTCCGCATCTTCTTGCCTAGCGACGACCTTGACTCGGCAGTCTCGGCGTTTGAGCTGCGCGGCTTCAAGGTGCAAGCCGCCGAGGGCCAGCAGGGCAGCCAAAGTCTGCCGTCGGATGCTCTCGCGATGCCGCCGCCGCCGCAAGGCTCGAGCTCCAAGTCGAACAGCAGCAAGCGCAAGACGGCGAGTGTGCGCATTCAACAATTGCCCGAGGGCGTAGCGGCAAGCATCGCCGAGCAGTCCGGGCCCTTCATCGGGCCCGCGGCGCAGAAGGCCAAGGCGAGCGTGTCGCCGATGATCGACTCGGAGAAGTCCTACCAGCACGACGACGACGGACGCATTAGTAGCGCGGAGTTCGGCCTCAAGACGCCGATGCCCGGTCGGCAGACCACTGCGTCGATCACCGAGAGCGAAGAGGAAGAGTCGGAGGGCGAGAGAGTCCAGCCCGTCCCGCGGCGCGTGCGAGAGGTGGGAGAGACGGATATGAGGCGTCTAGCGTCGACGTCTGTGATTGAGGAGAGCAGTAAGAGCAAGGAGAGCGTGTGGGAGGATGCTTCGCTAGACCCGGCAGCGTCAGGACGCAACTACCCCAAGCCGAACGCTGCCAGCAACAGCCGTCGTCCCGATCCGCGAGACAACGAGGACGAGGCGCAGCGGCCTCAGCTGACCTCGGACGACCGCGAGGCATCTCAACCTGAACCGTCTGCCGACGAGCGCGAGAGCACTCAGCCTCCTGCAGGCTCAGCGAGCGGCCGCAAAGAGAGCGCGGCGGAAGTCAGCGCTGGCATTCAAGAAGCCACACAGCCTCCGACCGGCTCTGGCGAGGGCGAAGGACATGGCAGTGGGGCTAGCGCGGAGGAACACGAGGCCGTGCGGCCTCCTTCAGGCGTTGCAGGTGTCGGAGAGAGCGGAAAAGAAGGTGCGCATGACCAGATTGTCCTCTCAGCGCTGCGACTGACACGCAGCAGCAGTAGAGCAAGCACTGCCGCAGCTCGGCCGCATGATTGGCGCCACGCAGGCCTCGGCCGCCTCGCGTGAGCAGGCGAGCCGGCCAGTCGAGCCCTTGACTGCGCCTCCGGCCGAGACGCCGGGCTCTGAGGAGGCGCGTAGCGCTACGACGGACGACATGCCGCAAACTACACAGCCGGTCGTCGAGGTGTCGCCGCGATCGAAGACGGACAGCGCTTCTGAGACGCAAGAGAGGAAGAAGGCTGCTCTTGCTGCGCCGGCGCAAGAGAAGGAGAAGAGCGCTTCTCCCGCGCAGGCGAAGGAGAAGGCTGCGCTCGCTGTGCCGGCACAGGCAAAGGCGAAGAGGTCTGTCGCCGCTCCGGCGCAAGCGAAGGCAGCTCTCCTCGCCAGTCGCTTGGCATCATCGGAGAGCGATCTCAGCTCAGCAGATGATGCGGTAGCCGCGGCAGCGGAGGCGCCGTCAGGACGCGCGCCACGCGCTGCGCCGGCGGTTCGTGCCAAGGCCGTGCCTGCGGAGGCGACAGATCAGCCTACCGATGGTCTTCCGGCATCTCCGGTCGCCCGCTCGAAGACCAGGAAGCCACGCTCGCCCGAGCAAATTGCCGGCATACACGAGGAGGAAGCGCCTGCGGCCAGTTTCGAGATCCCGGTAAGTGCACATCGGACGCCGCCCCAGGGGAAAGGAGCTGAGGCCCCGCTCAGGCAAAGCACGCGGTCCCGACGCCCTACAAGTCGAAGAAGAAGGAGATGGAGGCCGCGAGAGCCAAAGAGTTGATGGAGGCGGCCATCGCCGCGAAGCAGGCCAAGTCGGGCCTCGGCTTGAAGCCGTCAACCGCGATTGCGGCGCCGGACGTCGCGCCTGGCCCGGAGGAAGAAGAACAGGAGGCGGAGGCGAGTGCAGAGGAGTCGGAGGAGTCGGCGCCAGCCGCGCCAGCGACAGCACAGCGACCTAAGCCTCGTCCTCGCTCTTCCGCCCCAGCGCTCGGTCAACAGAAGAAGCGCAAGGCCGACGCTCCTCCTGCCGAAGCGAAAGTGTCGCGCAAGCGCGCCAAGGCGAGTGTCGCGCGAGCCGCGACATCTTCTCCGGAGCAGGAGAACGATGAAGAAGACGTCGATGAGGACGCGTATGGCTTCGGCTCGGACGCGGCGCCGCCTGGTGGGCCCGTCAAGCAGACGGGACGCAAGTCGGCCGGCAGTACGGCGAAGAAGGCCGCACCGAAGAAGCAGGCTCCCAAGAAAGCGAGCCCGAAGAAGACGAGCCCGCAGAAGGCTAGCCCGAAGAAGCCGGCGAAGGCCACTGCCGTCGACAAGCCGGCGAAGGCTACCACCTTCGACAAGCCGACCAAGACCGCCGCTGTCGACAAGCCGGCCAAGAAGCCGGTGGAGAAGCCTGTCGCCCCCGTGAGCGCAGGGAAGAAGCAGGCGCCTCGTGCCACTTCTCCGGCGCGCGAGCAGCAGCAAGTCGCGCTCGACGAGGAGCAGGACTTCAGCGACGGGCCGCCGGCCATCGACTCGCGTCCAGCGTCCGACGCGGGCGACGTCAATGAGCAAGCTCCTGAGCGCATGCAGCGCAACGCCGATCGTCATGCTGCTCCTCGTCCGTCGCGCAGCACTGCTCGAGCTGAGCGCTCCGAGGCTGACGCGGAAGGCCCGCTCGACGAGGCTGCTCCCGCTCCTGCTGCTCCACTCGGCGTCAACAACGGCAATTTGCTTGGCGTACCGCGCAAGCTCGCCGGTCGCTCCAGCTCGGGATCCGAGAAGGCGAGCCGAGCATCCTGGATGAGCAAGCCGAATGCCGCCGCCTCGGCCAAGCGCGCTCGGGACCGCGAGGCGCTCGAAGCTCTTGCAAAGCAGCCCGTCAAAGAGCCTGTGCGCCCTGAGGCCGTCGAGGCCGTCGAGGAGCCGGTGCTCGACGGCCCGTCGAGCGACTACGGCCCGCCCGACATCATTCCCGACGGCATTAGCGCCACGTCCGCCGCCGCGCGCTCGCAGTCCGGCCTTGCGCTCTTGGACCAGTACATCAACATGGATCAAGTCGACGAGTCGGACCAGATGCAGCGAGACGACGATGACGGTCGCTTGCTGCAGCTGCCCGCCGCATCGGACGTGCCGGTGTCGCCGTCGGAGGCGAGGGCACAGCGTCGCTCGCAATCGCGCTCGCAGGCGAGGACAAGCCCGACGAGTCGGGCAGTTTCTGTCGGCGGCGCTGCGAACGAACGTACAGCGAGCACGCCGGAGCAGCAGGCAGAAGCTGAGGTTTCGCAGGCAGACACGCGCTCCCTCGTCGAGAAGGCCGTGTCAAGACACGCCGCACCAGCTCCCGAGCCTGCCCAGCCCGTGCACCAGCAGGATATGGACGAGGTGCCAGAGCCGCCCATGCGCGGCACGAGGGCCACTCGCGATGTCGAGATGGCGCCGCCCGAAGTGCCGAGTCGCGCGGTCGATGCCGGTCCCGTCAAGCCTCCGCCGTACGCTCCGCCCGCCGTCGAGCCCGTGCGCCAGCCCAGCCCTCCGCAGCAGTCGCTGGCGAGACAGGAGAGCATCACGATGTCGCTGGAGCGCACGACCGTGTCGGTGATCGGCAGCAGTTTCCCCGACTCGTACCACGCTGCAGTGGCGTCTGCGCTGGGACGCGCTCTTGGCAACGACGAAGCAGACGTGCGCCGAGTCGAAGCGCCTGCAGCGATGCAGCAGGCCTCGCTTCCAGCCCGCGAGTCGTCGCGCGATGCACCGCATCCGCTGCAGGCTCCGTTGCACGTGCGAAAGACGGTCGTTCCGGCACCTGCCAAGCTCCGCGGCCGCGATTCGGGCGTCGCGGGCATGTCTACTGTCATCGAAGAGGCGCCCGCGAAGGAGTCGCCGGTGAGACGCCAGGGCCGTTCGCTCCTGCAAGAGAGCGATACCGAAGAGCCTCGCGAGGTGCGCTCGAAGAAGCGCGCAAGTGTCACAGAGGTGAGCGCCCTTCTTGCTGCTGCTTCCTCCGATGCGAGCTGACTGTCACTCCAGGAGGCGCCTCTTCGCGAGGCAGCAAGTGAATCGCCGATCGCCCGCCAAGTCGAGGCGGCCCGCGAGCTGCCGCGCGAACGCGTGGAAGTCGCACGCAAGAAGCAGCGAGTCGAGCCAGCCGAGGAGCGTTCGGTCTCGATGGCGCCGGTCGAATCGCGCACGCCTCTGCGCGAAGAGCGCCCTCGTCCGCAGCCGAGCCCAGCTACCCGACTCCTTCCTGCCTCGCACCTGCGAGCATCGACGCCTCATGCCAGTAAAGGCACGACACTGCGTTCTGCGCATCGCGAGCCCTCGACGCAGGCTCGCTCACATGCGGTCCGACCGCTCGAGAGCAGAGCCGAGACATCCTCAGCCGAAGACGCGCTCTCGGTGCGCCAGCTGGCGGAGGCGGCTCGTGCGAAGCGAAAAGCTGCGCTGCAGCATCGTCAGACGAACCTCGAAACGACGGAGGCGGAGGCCAGAGTCGTGCAACAGCGTGCGGCAGAGATGCGCAGCGCCGCTGATCGCATCATGCAGGTGCGTAGTGCTGAGTGCTGGTCAATTGCGGCAATGCTCATCTTCGCGATGGCACACAGGCGTTTACGCGCGACGCAAGTGGTCAACTAGCTCGTCGGCTGAGTGCGGCAGAGCAGCAAGTGCACAAGCTCTGCAGCGACTTTGCGAGTGGCGTGTCGGAGATTTCTGCGCTGACGTGAGTGTTCGTGGCCATGATGCCCTGTGAGCGACGCAACTGACCTTCCCAATACTCTACGCAGCGCCCGCACAGCTGAGACGCTCCTCGTCGGCGTCGACGGCCTCGAGCGCGCCATTGATGCGCTCGAGAAGAACAAGGCGCGCTTTGAAGAGTCGAGCAGCGCCCTGGAGCGCATGTTGCGCCACACGCGAGAGGGACGTGCGGCGCATGAAGAGACGGGAGAGGCGTTTCCCGAGTCGTTGTTCGGCTAGGAAATCGCCTGCGCTGTCATGCCTCGTACTTTGACTCTGCCGTTCTCGCCGTTACGTCCTGACTCTGTCACCCAAGACCGAGCTGTGCCTCTCTCCTGTACGAACATCGCTGCGCAACCACATCCATGACTCGCCGTGAACGTATGCGCATTCAGATGCCCTTCTTGCTCGAGCGCTCCCGTCTTCGCGGGCCTCCCAATCCCTCCTCCATCACGATCGACGTGGCTCTGCTATAGCCCGCCAGTGAGGACATCGCATCCGCAATGCGCACGTCCTGCCTTGCCTTTTCGCTGCGGAAGCGCACGTCTGCTGCTCCGCTGCCGCTGCCGGCGGTAGAGGCCTTGTGGCTGCGAGAGTCCTGGGCACGTCGAAAGACGGAGGCCTCGCGCACCTGGTTCGTGACCTCCTCGACGGCCCTGCGCAGCGTCTCTTCGTCCTTGCGCTGCGCCGACTCCGCATCCGAGAATCTCGGCACCACAATCTTCGTGGCATCGCTCGGCGCCGGTGCCACACCCGTTGCTCTTGCAAGCTGCAGGCTGCTGTATGCGCCGGAGAGATCGGAGAGGATGGAGTGCCGCGTGTTGATGGCTTCGGAATAGAGCATGGGCGTGAGTTGCACGAGGGAGAGCGAGCCGAGGGCAGAGGCGACTTCGAGGATGGAGAGCGCCGAGAGAGGCGAGTGGAAGCGTTCGCGCAGCTCGCGCAGGAGAATGAGGAGCACGGGCGCGTAGAAGGCCGTGCGAAGGCCGTAGCGAGGTAGAGAGGTCGCGGGCGAGGTCGAGGACGAAGGATCATCTGCGCTTGGCGGCGAGGCGCTTGACTCTTCCTCCTCTGGAGAGCGCAGCACATTCTCCCTCGCCCATTCCCACACTTCAGCGACGCTCTCGCAGGCCGCGACCTGTGCCCTCGCCTCCTCCAGCGTCCTCTCCATCTCCTCGGCGCCCACCTGCTCCAGCATGATGCCCTCTCGCAGTGCACCAATGGCCGGCGCTCGCTTCTTCGCCTGCGCATCTTGCACAATGCCCTGTCGGCCTCGCCAGCCCGAGGGGACGAGATAGCCGCCCCGCGTATTGCCGTATTGAGGAGTCGCGACTGGTGCGCGCAATGCGTTGCGCTCGACGAAGGCATCGAGCTTCGACGTGGCCGAGTCGCGGCGCAGACTAGAGCCGAAGCCGGCGCTAGCCTGAGGATCCTCATCGAGCTCGCTTGCTCCAAACGATGCATCAGCGTGTGCGTCCGCCTCATCACCATTCCGACCCGGAATGTTCAAAATCTCGCGGAAGCTCTCGATTTCCGCAGGCGTGAGACTTGCGCCCGGCGCCGCCGCAGCCTTGCTGTTGTTGCGCCGTACGACTTCGGGCCGCACGGGACGTGCCGCCCACGCCGAGGCGCGCGGATAGGAGCCGGCGGGCTCGGAGAAGAGATTGGCGTAGAGGGCCTCGGCGTCCGAGGCGAGCGCTTCGCGCTGAGCGTCGGACTGGCGAGGAGACGAGCGAGAGGAAGAAGAGCGGGAGGAGGAGAGATAGGAAGAGGTAAAGAGATCTGCGGCGCTGGGCGCGGGCGCGCTGCTCTGCCCGCTCTGACTCGAGCTGGAGGGCGCAGCGCCGAAGAGCTGCGCTGCGCTGCGATTGCTCGAGCTGGAGCTGGAGCTGGAGGCGCTCGCTTCTTGCGCAGCGAAGAAGTCCTTCACTGTCCCGCTCCCGCTGCCGCTGCTTTCTGCTGCTACATCGCCATATGCAGCAGCAGCCTGCTGCCGCGCAGTGTCGGCTGCGTCGTCGAGCAGCACAGTAGGCTCGGCGGGCTGCCAATCTGATGAGGAGGCGCGAGTGCGTGGCGGGTGGGGTGTGAGGACGCGCGGACGGAGCGAGGCGCCGCTGCGTGCGACGAGCCGACGCAGCGGTGTGTGGAAGGAGGTGGACATGCTGCCCGGCTGGTGCTGCTGAGAAGAGGAGATGGGAGTGGGAAGCGAAGCGCGGCTGACGAGGCCAGAAGACCCTCAACGCGCACACTTTTGTGCTTACGTAATGCGCCCTTGGGCGTCGTGCTCCTCGCCGCGCCTCCACAAGCGTCGCTCCTCTCTCCCACATCCCCTCCCCTCAAGCAACGCACACCGCGGCGATCAGCATGGTGCGCTTCAAGGTAAGCTCTTTCCCTGCTCCGCCGCTACTCTCCGTGCTCACGTCGCCACGCACAGAATCGCTGGCTGCTCCTCTCCCTCACCGACTCCTCCTCCTCCGCCTCCGCCTCCGCATCCGCCCTCTCGCCCTCCTCCCTCGTGCGCGCCCTGCGCGCCTCGCTCGCGCTCAACTTCGGCGATGCAGGCGCCGGCGCACTCTCCGGCGGCGTGGCGTGCCGCTACGTGCAGCCGCGCACGGGCATCGCCATTGTGCGCTGCGCACGCGACGCGGCCACGCACGTCATGATCGCCGCGGCGCTGCTGGGCGAGGTGGAGGGGAGGCGGATGAGGTGCTGTGTGAGGTGGTGTGGCGGTGAGTGGCGACATGTGTGGCCTGGCTGGGCCCTGGTGATGCAGAAGAGAGAGAGATGGGCGGGCAAGGGCGCCAGTGATGTGCTCTGCTGGCGCAGCAGCGTCCTGCCTGCCTCCCAGGCGCCCACCTTCACGGGGCTCACGAGGCTGACACCCTTTTCCTTCGCTCGATGCATCGCAGGCACGGTGAAGAAAGTGCAGCTCAAAGCCATTGCCCTCTCGAGGGCGCGCTTGGTGGCGCTGCAGCGCGAAAAGAGGAGATTGGCGAGGTGCAGCTTGGCCGAGGGAGCGGCGGCGACGGCGATGGCGACGGCGACGACTGCAATGGGCCAAGAGACGACTGCGACGCCGCTGCTGCTGAAGTCATGCGCGGACGAAGATGATGGCAAGCTCGATAAGGCGACGCAGGAGGAGATGAGGAAGATAGAGAGGGAGATCCGGGAGGTGAGGACGTGAGTCTCTCACCTTTCCTTGCGGGATGGACGAGAGGTATCTGCATAGAGTGAGTGTACACGACAGTGCATTGCGACTGCGATGTCGAGCGTGGCTGATCACAGACGCTGTACAGATAGGACACCCTCGCCTTGCCTTGCTCAGGCAGCTCGAGCCCGAAAAAAAAAAATCGAGGGGCTTGGCGGCGCCAGGTCCAGAAAGCTCTTGCTACTGCCGCGCTCGCCGCACAGCTCGCAGGCTTGGACAAGTCCGGACCACGCTCGACAAGATCGTGCACGGGCTTGGCCTGTTCGCACACGGACGACGAAAGGGGCTCGCTGCTCAGCTTGTCTCGTTTGGCGGATCGGCGACAGCAAGCACCACGCCGGCGATAAGATGCAGCCCCCCTGCGTCACGACGAGCTCCGCGGCATTCTGAGCTCCCTGGCCTCTCGTCGAACGGCCAAAACATGCCATCCTTGTTCTGCACGCGCTCTCGAGGCACAAGTCTCGCGCAGGGAGCATTCTTCGACGAGAACCGCCCACGACGTAAGCTAGCGTCGCACCGCCCCTCTCTCACCCGTCTTGCGTCTGTGCAGTCGAGAACTGCTCTCTGTATATCCCATGCACTACCTCCGCCCTCTGTATTCTCCCAGCAACGCGTGACCGGCGCAGCGGATGGCGCCAGTGCCTCTGCTGCCACGCTGCCCATGATGCTACGATGCCACGGATGCACCGCGCAACCCTCTGGCCTCCCACGCGGCCCGCCTCGCCATGACTGAGTCTGTGTCCTGAGCAAAGCCGAGCTGTCCGAGTGCACTCGTCGCGCAATCGCGCGCGCGACGGAAAGAGCACGTCATCGAGTTCGTTCATTCCAACCCCATCGCTAGCGACCCATCCCCATCCCGCTTGGCTGTCATCCAATCTCCACGTCAGCACACGCCTTTACGCGCCGAACACAGGCCTGTCACTCACAGCATGCAAGACAGTCTAGTGGTGCTCGCCATGTCCCTCGCCGTGCCCATCGCCGTGGTGGTCGCCGTGTCCATGGCCGTCCCATGGGTGACGGAAGCCCTGTGGTTGGACATGCGCGTCAGCTTTGCGGCTTTGCGTTTCCTAAGGGTCGGCGCTCTTTGGCGTGCCCAAAGTGCCAGGTGCCAGGGTGTCGCGGCGCTCGAGCGGGGCAAGAAGGCGCCCCTCTGCGCAGTGACCCAAGATAGCGCAGAGTCGAGAGTCGCATTTGCACCCGAAGCAGGAGCACGCCGAGTGCAGTGGATGCTATGATCAACTTCCTTGTGCGCCTGCCAGCCCATGAGACTGTGCCGGACGCGACCGAGAGGCAGCCGGAGCAGCAGAGCAAACTGCCCAAGTGCTGCTTGGTGATCCTTGCGCCCAGCTCGCCGCTCTCTCATCTCCACTCCTCACGCCCCACGCCGCACCTCATCTCCCACTCCTCACGCCCCACGCCGCACCTCATCTCCCACTCCTCACGCCCCACGCCGCACCTCATCTCCCACTCCTCACGCCCCACGCCGCACCTCATCTCCCACTCCTCACGCCCCACGCCGCACCTCATCTCCCGCTACCCACGTCCACACGCCGCACACACACCGCTCCTCCACTCTATCCTGCGCTCCTCGCTGCCACTCACCAGCAGCACAGCACCATCCTGCTTGGCGCGGTAGAGGATCCAGAACCACATCGTGGCGCCGAGGAGCTTGGCGCCGTAGCGGTGCTTGATGGCGGGCGCGTGCGGCGCGAAGCCGGGCGTGGGACGGAACCAGCGCGAGGTGCTGCTGAAGCCGGTCTGCTGGCCGGCCATGGTGACGAGAGGAGGCGAGTGTGAGGTGGATAGGAGGCAAGGCAGGAGACGCGGCGGGGCGGAGACGACGGAGATGGCGCGCGCGGGCGCCGCTTACGTCAGCATCTCATGGCGCACGCCCCCCTGGCGCGGCGGGCGGCGGGCTCAGGTCACGCGGCTGCGCCACCTTCTCCTCCTCCTCCATCTCCCTCCTCGTTCTCCCTGCTGCATCTCTCCTTCCTGTGCGCGCCACCTTTTACAACACACACCACTGCACCCTGTCTCGCTCGTCTCCTCCCGCCGTTCGCCTTGCGCATCGCGGCCCGCGCATCCTCGCGCATCCCTGCGTCGCAGATGACCGACCTGCACCCGCGTCCGGGCGCCGCGCGGCCGGCGGCAGCAGCACGGCCGCCTCGGCCTCCGCCCGCGCCGCTCGTCATTGCCCGTCGCGCCGCGCCTGCGCCGTCCTCGTCTGCGCATCGCACCTCTGCGTCGTCGTCGTCCGCACGGCCGGCCGGCAGCAGCACGCAGGCGCGCAATGCGCTGCCCGAGGAGCGCAGACGCCGCATCGACGCCGAGGTGCGCGAGCGCGAGGAGCGCAGGCGCGACGAGGCGGCCAGGGCGGCGCGGGCGGCGCAGGCGTCCGCCCGCGCAGCCAGGCCGGCGTCACGGCCCAAGAGCAGCGCCTCGGCGGCCAGTGCGGGGGGTGCGGCCAAGGCCAAGGCGTCGCCGCGCAAGAAGCGCGCCTCGGCAAGCGACAGTCTGAGTCCGGCGCGCGCCGCAAGCTCCTCTTCGCGCAGCACCCCGACGCCGGCCAGCACGAGTGGCTATCGCAAGCTGGGCCGCACAGGCGTCGAGAGCGAATACAACGTGCCGCGCGCGCTTGCGGCGCCGGGCCTCGATGGCAAAGTGGATGTGGAGAGAGAGGAGGGGACTATTGAAAGCGTGGCGCTGGGAGAGGGGAAGAGGTATGGCGCTTGTGAGTCTGACCAAAGACGCGCTTCGAAGTGGGCGCGGCGCTGATGGCAGGGAGCAAACAGACTTCAAAGATCTCGGCCCAACCCCCACCGCCACACTCCTCTATCCCGCCGGCGCATCCGAAACGTACGTGCCTCTCCTTCCCTCGGAACCCTCACCTCTGCGGGTGCTCCCACTAACCCTTCGACTCAGCTTCACCCTCCTAGTCCCGCGCGACATCGACGAGTACGACCCCCTCGGGGATCTGCTTCGCGTAGTGCGCGCCGTCGTCTCTGCTTTCCTCCCGAGAGAGTACGCCGTCAAGCACTTTGGCAATCTCGAAGAGCTCGAGTTTGGAAGCGCGGCGGGCGCGATTCTCAGTGCGGCGGCGCAGACGTCGACGCCGATGGGCAACGGCAGTCAGACGCCGATCTCATCGACCTCTACCTCGACGCCGACGCCAAGCTCGCCGCGCGGCAGCGTGCCGCAGCTCAACGACAGTAGCCCCTCGAAAGACTCTCCCGCGCCTTCCGCTTCTCAAGACCGCAGCAGCGAGCAAGACTCCATCCTGCGCTCCTTCACCAAAGCGCGCAATCGGCGCGACGGGCCTCTCTTCCTGCGCACCCTCGAGCGCTACAACGTGGCCCTGTCCGCCGCGCGACGCGAAGGTGTAGTGGCTCAAGCGGCGCAAGCAATGGAGCAACGAGGATTGCCGGACTACGTTTGGGAAACGGTGGGCGAACAATGCTATTCGCGCACGGTGGGACCGTACGTGGAGGAGCTGGGCAAGTATCAGGCATTCAGTGACAATGTGTACGTTGCTCTCCTCTCTCTTTTCGCGCTCGCGCCGCTTGCGCTGCATGGGACCGGCGACTGACCTCACCGGCACACCGGCACACACAGCTACGGCGAACTGCTTCCTCGCTTCATGTCCGAAATCTCGCAGCTCACGTCGCTCGGACCTTCCTCCGTCTTCGTCGACCTCGGCTCCGGCGTCTCCAATCTCGTGCTGCAAGTGGCGCTGCAGACCGGCGCGCAGAGCTATGGCGTCGAAATGATGGGGCCTGCGTCTGCGCTGGGCGAGCGACAGGTCGAGGAGGCAAAGAGGAGATGGAAAATGTGGGGCGTGCTGGGCGGAGAGGCGCAGAGCTGGAAGGGCGACTTTACGGCTTGCGAGAGGACTCGAGAGGCGCTGAGCAAAGCCGACCTTGTGTTGGTCAACAAGTGCGTCCCCTCCCCCTTTGTTTTCCCCCTCTCACTTCCTACTTACCCCTCTCCTCTTAGCTACGCATTCACGGCGCCAACAAACGAGCGTCTCTCTCTGCTCTTTCTCGATCTCAAAGACGGCGCGCAGATCGTCAGTCTCAAGCCCTTCGTGCCGCCCGACTTTCGCCTCACGCAACGCACGCTCGACTCGCCCCTTGCGATTCTGAGCGTGGTGCAGCGCAGCTACGGCAGTGGATGCGTCAGTTGGGCGGATGGAGGCGGCAGGTATTACATCCACGTGAGTTCGCCGTCGGCCCATGCCTCTTTGACCCTTCTCAGCCAAAGGGACGCGCCGGACGCTGACACGCTGGACGGGCAGACGGTGGATCGGAGCATGGTATCGCGCTTCCTCGACTCGCAAGGCTCGACGAAGACGTTCGGCGCGAAACGCTGGCAGAAGCGCGCGCGCGTCGCTGACAGCGACGAGGAAGATGACGAGTGAAGCTCTTGCTCTCGCTCTCTTCCTGCTGCTCCTCTTTGCAGCAAAGACTGGCTCTGTTGGCTCTCGCGCTCTCCTCGCTCTGCCCAACCTGTTGCCATCCCTCGAGGCCGCCCAGCTAGAGCTCAGTCAGCTCGTGCAGCCCCCCCCCCCCCCGGGCCCCGATTTACTACCCGAATCTCCTGCTCTTCATACCCCTCTTTCCTCCGCGCCGCCTCGCGCCGCCATGAAAAGCGCCTCTCTCGCGCCTCCTCGACGTTCTCCGGACTTGCTTTATGCCCTCTTCCTTCCCGCCTCACTCGCGACTCCCCTGTAGCCCTCTCCGCGTCTCGCTCTATGTATTCGCCTCTCTCCATGGCCCTCAAATCCAAGTCGCTTCAACCGGACTGCTGCTCTGCGCCTGAGACGGTCAGACCGCCAGCATCGTGCAAGAGACCATAATTGCATTGAGAGGAGACAGATCGACAGTGTCGAGGACGCGGCTGCGCAAGAAGCAAAGAAGCGGGCTCAGTAGCGCTTCGGCGGGCCCTCGACGGAGGTGCGCCACTGTCGAGTTGGCGATAGTGTCAGCCTCACTGGCCCAAGAGACAAGAAAGAGGGAAGCAGGGAGAGCCAAGACGGGTAAGGACGCACCCATTCCTTGAGACAGCTGTAGCCTTCGTAGTCGAACGACTGTGGCGGGCGCGTGAGGCGTAAGCGGGGCAGCGGGGGCAGCGGGGAAAAAGGTGGAGCGCACCTTCTTGGGATCACAGTCGCAGCGGCCCGTGTCGTGGAAGACGGCCTTGTTGGCAGGACAATGATCCCATGGCACATGGTAGCTGCGGGGGGGAAGGGGGAAGGGTCAGTGAATGGCGCAGATGCTGCTACGTCAGAGCAGGTGTGTGCGCACTAGCCAATGTCGTTGAAGTGCTGTGATGGGAAGCTGCGCGTCAGACGTGCGCAGCAGAAGGCAGCAAGGGTCAGAACTGACGTGGATGCGAGAGCGGTCGAGGAAGAGCGTGGCGGCGATGGAATGCACGGGAGCATCGCCCCAGCGTTCGTAGAAGAACTGTAGCAGGTGGAGGAGGGGGGGGGGGGGGGGTCAGCGTCGCTTTCGCACAAGAGAGACAGCAACCGAGGCTTGGATGGGGACTTACGCCGCCAGACTTGTCGAGGTGGTTGAAGTAATCCTGGTATGCCTGAGAGCGCCAGAACCTATGGTCGTTGCTTGATCAGCCTCTTGCACTCCTCTTCTCGTGCCTCTTTGCAGTGCGTGGCGCGCAGAAGCCTCACCGCAAGTCGCCAATCTCAAAGTTGCTCCAGAAGTGGCACAAGTTGTAGCCGGGGTCCATGAAGCGTTCCGGCTCGTCTGTCATGAAGTGGATGCCGTTGTCCTTGGCCACGTACTGCGGATGCTTCTCGACAAAGTCTTTCGTCGTCTGCCAGAGTGTGGGGATCGTCTCGAGATACTCGTGCAGCGCCATGGTGAAGCCGTAGGTCTGAAGAAAGGATGTGTCAGCCAATGCGGGAAAGGGACGACCTCACAGGCCAGAAATAGCCAGCAGAGCGGACTCGAGAACCGAGGCACCGGTCGTGGCAGCGCATCACCGCACGTATCATCGAGCATTGCCCCATCTCTTGCCGTCCAACCGCGTATCGCCTCACGCTCCTCCTCCGCTTCTCTCTCTCGCCCCCCTCCATTGCAGAAACGCACCTTGTTGTTCATCTGCATAAAGACAAACGGATCATAGTCGATGTCGCAGTACAGCTTGATGCCCGGCTCGACGCGCCAGTAGTACTCGAGGTCGAGCGTGAGCGGGTGCTTGAAGAAGAAGCCCGACTGGAAGCGACACATGTGACGGTAGGACTCCGAGTCGCCGTAGATGATTTTCTGGCGTGCGTCATGAAAGAAGCAAAAAGGCGTCAGCCAAAAGAATCAGCGTTTGCCCCTTGCCTCGTTGCCCTTCCAGAACCTCGTTGCCTCCTGCCTATCCAATGCAAGCCCCTTGCCTTCTCGGCCCCCCATCCCGCTTGCTCTGCCCTTCCCCCATTCCGCTCTGCTGCCCGCTCACACATACCTTTTCGTGCATCACCCTCCTCGTCTCTGCCGCCTTGTCCTGATCGATCCACTCCGGATAGCCCCAGTGTTCCTTGCCCACCAGTCCAAAGCGCACTTCCGAGCGCGTCATGGCCTTGACGCCCTTCTTGAACTCCTCCGTGAATGGCTCGTTGTTCAGAAAGATCCACGGATAGCCGTACTTTCTGTTGAAGCGGAACTCGACTAGAAGGGGAGTGAGCAGGAATCAGCATGTGGGAATCAGACGCAGCGAAAGGCAAAGGGAGCGCAAGCACTGCATACGTCTCTCTTGCAGAAGAGCGAGGAAGGTCGCTCCTATGCGCCTCTCCTGCATCCCTCGCAATCACGCGCTGAGCTGCACGTCTTGCCATCCACTCGCCTGCCCCCTCTCTTAACCCTCCCTGTTGCAACACTCACCATCCTTCATGCTTTCCTTCATGCCATGCAGTTCGTTGTTGCGCACCAGCACAATGAAGCCTGCCTTTGCGCGCGGGCCCTGGTTGGCCATGCTGGGGACAAACTGCGGCGGGTACAGATTGCCATCTTCGCCCTTCTCGGCCCACTTTGTCAGCTCTTCAATCGAGCTCGGCCGGCCTGGTGCGTGCGTGTATGCATCTGCGACACCCTCGCTTCCAGGGATGAAGGATGAACCGGAGGCGGAGGCGGGAGCCTTCCAGGGCCGAGGCAAGGCTTGCCAGGAGGAGCGCATCGTCGTGCTGGGCGAGGGGTCGAGCGAGAGCCAGGAGAGCAGCGAGAGAAAGAGCAGCACGCCGGCAGCGAGCATGATGAGCCGCTGCGGACGACGCGCGATGAGATCGAGCAGCGCCATGATGCCGACGGGGAAGGGAGGTGACGGTGCGGAGGAGCGAGGCGAGAAGACGCGGCTCGAGAGCAGCTTTGGGCACGTCCAACACCGCCACCTGTATTGGCGAATAGAGCTCGGAGCTTAAGTTGAAGCTCCGCATTGACCTCAGAGGCGCGCCTTCCTATTCGCCGCGCCGGCCACCGCCGCGCGCAACACAGCCGCACGGCCTCGCCGCCCCGGGCCGTGCCACGTGCTGTGCTCACACACGGACAGTCCCGAGCTGCTGGGCTGTGGATGAGATGCTCGAGGCTCGACATGATACAGATGCGTGGATGTGTGGTGGTACAGATGCAGCCCAGGGCGGTGCCAAAGGGACGAGAGCGAGGCCAATGCGAGTTCCAGCTCATGCTGCCGGCGCGTCCCGCTCGGCGAGCTTCGCAGCGCGAGCTTCGCGCCAGCGTTGGCCGCGGTGGAAGACGAGCCACTGCATGGCAAGACGTCGGGCATCAGTAGAAGCTTAACGCATGTCGAGCAAGAAAGACAGGTGTACTCACAGCAAGCGGCGCAGCGCTCGCGCATACAGCTGCGACGAGCATGAACGTCCATCCAATGCCCAGACGCGCAATCACGGGCTGCACGGCTGCTGTGCCGCCTGCGCCGAGCAGACAGCGTACTAGACTGCTCAAAGCCGGGCCGTGTCAGCGATGAGGCAAGGGTGGTGGAAGAGGGGGCCGAGGGGTTAGAGGGGACGCACTTGTTCGCCGCAGTCACTGAAGCTCCGCGTCCGGGGAGCCAGTCGACGAGCAAGACTTGACACACGCTCATCGTTGCTCCAATCGCCATGGCCTGCCTCGCACGCACGTATGGTCAGCAGCTGCGCTCTTGGGGCAAGAAGGTGGGGGGTCAGGGCAACTCACGTTGATGAAGAGCAAGACACAAGGCACAGCCAGATGCACGCGTCGCTCTACGGTCCAGCCATATGCTATCAACGTTGCGACTGCCATCTGGAGATGGTCGAGGTGAGCAGTGCCGTCACGAATGTGGGAAAATAACTCGCACTTCACTCACCACGAGGAGAATCGGATAGCGTCTCAGTCTTGCCGCCTCGAGCGGCACTTCTTCCTTCGGCACCTCTGTGCCAGACGCTTGCCGCTGTGCCTCCTCTTGTGCTTCGCCATCTCTCGACTTCTCCAGCTTCTCCTTCTCCAGCTTCTCGCGCTCCACGCGCCTCTTGGCCGTTCGGTAGTCCTTGTCCAGCAGTCGTCCAAAGCAGACGCCCGTCAATACCGTGCCTACTCCCGGCGCAAGGAAGATGAGGCCCGCCTCGGAGGTGCTGAGGCCGTACTGCTCTACGAAGAGCGAGGAGATGGTCGAGGTGATGCACGTCCATCCCATGAAGGGCAGTGCCGTCGCAAAGAGCAGCAGCGCCACTTCCGGCATAAGTAGCAGACTTGCGGGGCCCAAAGGGCGCGACAGGCCGCGCAGGAAGTGCCGCCAGCTAGAGGCCGGGGGATTAGGATCGACGGGCCAGCCAGGACGAGGAGTGCCCTTGAGTTGAGAAGCAGTAGTGCCGCGCAGGAGCGCGACGCCAGCTTCGTGAAGGAGCGTGGGCGGAGGCAGACTGCCGTCGCCTACTAGACGATGGAGTGTCTCGGGCTGGAAGAGCAGCACCAAGACGAGTCCGAGGACGCCGACGATGAAGCAGAACCTGTTTTCGGCAGGCTCAGCATCCCCGCAACGCGCGCATGAGGAGCAAGGGACCACGAGGGACGTACCACATGACGCTTCGCCATCCGTATGCTTGCGTCAGCAGGCCGCCGACGATGGGGCCAACGCACTAGAGTGCCAAGGATCAGCACGTACGCTTGGGAACGCCGGCATCGCAACGCTCGCTACGCACAGGACCAAGCGCCGCACCAGCCTGGAAGATGCCCATGTATCCGCCGCGCGTGCGTGGCGTCGTGACATCGCCAATGGTGCCTGCGCCTGCAGTAGATGCCGGCACGGTCAGACAGTTGCAACGGGGGGCGGGGGGCGCGAGGGGCATTGCCCTCGGCGCAGACACCGCATCTCGACATTGCCACACGCACCGACACTGATCATGGAGGCTGAGCCTGCTGCCTGTACGAGCCTCAGCGCCAGCAAGCCCGCGTAGGAGTGAGGCAGGTTCGCAAGCCTGGCAAGCAGCTGATCAGCGACCCCTTCCGAGGTCGGACACAGTTTCGGGGCCACTCACCCGGCGTTGGCGCCGGCGTAGATGATCAGGCAGAGAACTGCGCACTGTGTCAGCGCACGAACGAAGAGCTTGGGCTGCAAGGCTCACTGTAGATCGGTCTCCGTCCCAAAATGTCTGTGTACGAGCCAAAGAAAAGTGGCGAGATTCCCTGTCCGATCCTGGTCACCGGGGGGGGGGGGGGGGCATGAGCACCTCGCTTCCCTCCGTGCTTGCGTACTCGGTCTAGGCCTCACATGGCAAGCGTGACGCTCAGCGTGGCCTTCTCAATCGAGACGCCCAGATCGCGAGACATGTCCGGCAGCGACGCGAGCGGCGCATTGTTCGTCAGCGGCGAGATGAAGCCGCAGATGGAGGCGATAAGCACGATGAGGCTGGGCCCAAGTCGCGAGTCTGCATCAGCCGCTGACACCTTTGAGCAAAGACATGAGCGCGATGGACGAACCGGATCTCATTGCGGCTGAAGGCGGTATGTCTCTCCTCCTTCTCGACCTCGGACGCAGGCGCGACGGCGACTGCAGCAGAGGCATGCGAGACATCCGAGGCGTCGTTGCTCTCGAGCGTGAGCGAGCCGGGCCGTGCCGCAGAGGCATCCCGACTGCTGTGCGAGGCGCTGCTGCTCGAGCGGTGCATCGCAGCAACGGCGCATGGCAAAGGTGGTGGTGGCGGCTCTGCCGCTGGCGTGGCCATGGCGGCGCGTCGTGCGTGAGGGAGCAGGTGGCGACACCGCACGACGGGCCCATGCACACTCAGAGAGCTATGTGACTCGCTCGCGACGGCGTGGGCGGGTGGATGGTGGTAGTGAGCATGACTGTACCTGCTGCTGGAGCTCAACGTCGGCTTTCTCCGGCCAACAGCAGCCTTCGCTCGGCCTAGTGACGTCTCGCTGGTGCCTGGCAGCGTATCGGCGGCGAGGAGCGGCGCGGGCGAAGGCGCAGCCGCGCGTGGGGCAGGCGCGGCAGCGGTACGGGCGGCGCTCCACCCGCGGCGCGCAGCCACGGCGAAATGGCCGTGCCGCTCACTTCACTTTAGCGCTCGCCGTGCCGAGCCGCCGGCTCGGCGCTTCGGACGACAGGGGCGCGGGATGCCCGACTCGCCCGACACGCTGGTGTGCCTGACTCCTCGCAGGCGTGCGAACACTCGTACTGCCGCCCTCCTTCTCTGCACGGGGCTCCTCGCTCCTCCACTCCAGCGGCAGCACGTGTGATAGGTATACATTGCTCTCAGCTCTTCCTCTCTACACCAGTCCCAGCGTCACCGAGCATCGGAATCTCGGCGCCGTCTCCGGCTTGTTCCGCGCCTGCACGCCGACCAGCTCGCCGTCGGGCAGATACATGCATCCCAGCAGGCTCGAGCTCTTCCAGCCCCAGCTCTGCGAGAGCGTAAAGGAGTCCGGGGCGCTGCTGAAGCGCGTCAGGAAGCTGCCGAGCGGCGAGGGACAGTGGATGGAAAAGTAGACGCGCAGACGCTCGCGCGTGTCGACGTAGGGCATGATGGGGCGCGACGTTGGCGAGAGGCCGCCGATGGTCAGGGACGCCTTGCTGGCAGGCTGCGACGTGCTGCTGCGCGTGTTGCGGGAAGGACCGGAGAAGGTGGCGCCGGCGGCAGGAGCACTGGCTGGGCCGTCGCTGTGGCTGGTGGGCAGGAAGCTGGCGCCGTCGGCCGTGGCTGCAACGTCGCCCGAGAGATCTGCCTCTTCCTCCTGCCCTTCCGCCTCGGGCGGCGCCGCCGCGCTCCAAGCCAGAATATGACCTCGACGCGAGAGTGTGCCCGTCGTGCCTGGCGGAGCACTGGGCATCGGCGGCTCCTCATTTGGGCTCTGTCGATGCAGATAGATGCCCAGCTGCAGGCCGCGCTGCTTCTTGACCGTCTGCACGTAGAGATTCCACAGGCTGCCGGCGTAGAAGAACGTGGGTGAGTAGAGGCGGTCGGCCGAGTGTTCGAGCGCATCGACGCCCCAGAACTCGACGGAGAGACGCATGGGCTCAAAGGCCGACCAGCGCGACTGTTCGAGTGGCGAGGTGGAGAGATCAGGCTGGATCTCCTCGGGCCCGTACGAGACGGCCGCAGCCTCGGACGTTATGCTCTCATCCTCGGGCTTGGCGGCCGCGGCAGCCTCGAGCTGTTCGCGCAGCGTGCGGCACTCAGCCGCCAGCACGGCGCCGGTGTGCGTCATGTTTGCAAAGCCGAAGAAGTGCTCGGGCGTGCGCGAGGCAACGATGGCGGTGTGCTCGAACGCCTCGCGATCCTTGGCTCCTGCCGAGTGCACCGCAATCACTCCCGGATCACGCGCCACGGCCATACCCAGCGCGCCGTCGACGGGCATGAGAGGGTCCGCGATGAAGTTGCGCTCGCGAGTTGTGGCCACCTCGACGAAGGCCGCGGCATGCGGAGGAGCCAAGGCCGTCAGGCTGTCGCCGAAGCGCACCGTGTCGTCGAGAGGCACGGGAAAGTAGCGCTTCGTAAAGAGACTGGCTCCACTGCCGAGGCCTCCCGCAAAGCCGCCCAGCTCGAGGGGAGGCGGCAGTTGAGGCTCGGAACTGAGTCCTCGCGCCGAGGCGGCGCTGCGGAAACTCATCGGCGTGCCGGCACGACTGGAGCGCGACGTCGGAGGCGGCGGCATGCGTGCTTGTGCAGTCTCAAACTCTGCCAACGTCGAGCTGAGCCCGAGCACTACTGCCACCTCGGTGTTGCGCGGCGCCGCACTGCGCTCGCTCTCCACCTCGGCGTCGTCCGAGTCTTCTCGACTTGCTTCTTGCAGACTACTCCCCTTGAGCACCTTGTCCTTGAGCTTCTCTTGCGCCCAAAGCGCGGCCTGGAGACCTTCCATCGTCGTGTATGGCTGCCCCGTGTGCGGCGAGTGGAGCGCCGAGATGCCACTCAGGTCGTCAAAGAGCATGTGCGTGTAGTAGATGCCCGACGCGAAGAGCTCGGCGTACTCTGCCTCATCGGCGGCTTCTTCCGCAGCTGCGTCCCACGCAGAGTCGCCGCTGGTCGATGCGGCACGGACGTGCTGCCGCATCGTCGGACTACGTGGTGCGCCTTGCTGGAGTGGTGTGCCCATCGTCGGACCTGAGTCGCCATCGCTCTCGTGCGCAAGCGAGTACTCCGACGTGCCGTCGCTCGGTTGCGCCTGACTACGGCGTAGATCGACGACACGGCGCGCCAGCTCCCAGCGCTCCAGCTCCGAGGCAACGTGCAGCGAGTCGGAGGCAATGATGCCGCGCACCCACGTCGCCGAGATGCCGCCCATGCTTGCATGCGACCAGATGGCCAACGGCGGCGCTGTGGCCCATGAAGTGCGCGCCTGCAATGCCGGCGACGCATAGGCGCCGCGCTCCTCGGCGTCGAAGACATCGGCGCCCCAGCGCATCAGCCAGCTGGCAGCTGCCTCGCCCAGCTTGACAGACATGGGACCGTGCTGGAAGCGCGGCTTGAGGCGCCGAGCCGCAGACGTGCCCGGGCCGGGTCCGGGGCTGGAGGTGTGGGCCGAGCGCGGAGCGGTTGGAGAGCGAGGAGTGACGGGCTCCGAGAGGACCATATCCTCCGACTCGTCGGCCGGCGTGTCGTCAGGGTCGTCGCAGGGAGCGCCCAGCTCCGTCGAGTCACGCAGCAACACTGGCCCGTCCAGCTCCTCGTCCGGCTCAAAGCCCGGCAGTGCATCGATGCCTTCGCCGAGCGCAAAGCGCAAGTACATGGACACGGTCCACGGGCCCAAGCTCGAGAGAATCAGCGCATTGGCGCGAGCGCTGACCGACATAATGCCGAGATACAGTGCAGTGCTGAGCAGGCTGAGCAAGAAGCGCGGCGTGGCAGCGTGGCAGTCGAGCGGCAGCGCCCACTCCTCGCAGTCGAGCGAGCGCGGCTGAGCCTTGCCGGACCAGCAGGGCGTCAGCGGGTGCTCTGCCGAGGGTCGTGCCCACGGCGGCAGCACGAGCCTCGGCTCGGCGCCGTAGAGCGAGGCGATGCAGTACTCGAACGCCGCGCGCCCTGAGGAAAGGGTGAGCGAGTTGCTGAACATGACGCTTTAGAGCGCACTTACCGATGTGTGGATCGTCAAACGTCAGCGGCAGTCTTGGCCCACCTGCGCCCGCCGCGCCCGAGCTGGCGCCGGGAGCGCGCGCACGCACCGCCTCATTCTCGGACCAGCCGCCCGTGAAGAGCTCGCGGAAGAAGGGCGCCTGCGCCAGAAGCAGGCGATGCAGCGGATACACACGCTCAAATGCGACGATCTCAATGTCGGGGCAGAAGGCGCCGCTGAGCGCCGCAGGCAGGAAGTGCGGCAGCACGGCGGCGGCGCCGCTGTGCCACGCAGCGCCCGGACAGGCATTCTCGGGCGCGGCTGCGGCGGCGCGACCGGCGGCGTGGCCGTCTGCGGACGTGCCGGCGGCCATGGCAGTGGTGGAGAGGCCGGCGCTCGTCATCGCAGGAAGGCCGGGCAGAGAGGGCGCAGAGGTGTGACCAGCGGAGCGGCGCGGCGCGGCGAGGCGAGGCGGGAACACGAGCGCCGCAGGGATGCAGGCCGCGCACACGAGGTGCCGCGAGCGACGGCAGAGAGCGTGTAGCGATGCGTGTGCTCTTTCAGGTCGATGCGACGAGAGGTGCGAAGGGAGGGAGGTGGTGGAGGGGAGGGAGCAGCGAGAGACGCGAAGCAAGGGGCAACTCTGGTGTCGGCGCAACAACAGCAGGGCGAGAGAGCAATACCACGTTTGTATTGCGCCCGGCGCGCGTTGTAGTCGAACGGTCGACAGTGTATTCGCCCGCCGGCAGCCAGTCGTCTTCCGGCCCGGCACGACGCACGGGCCACCCCACCTGCACTCTGGCTGCCTCGCCGAGCTTCTTCCTCGCTGCTTCCGACAATCACTACGCTTCACAAGCCGTCGACACGATGGCAGCGCCACTCAACCTGCGCGAGCTGAGCGTGTCAAGGGCGCAGCAGCTGCTCTTCTCGCGGCAGCTCAGCTGCGCACAGCTGGTGGAGCACTATCTCGCTCGCATTGCGCGCTTCGATCAGGCCGGCGCCGCGCTCAACGCCGTCATTCGGCTCATGCCCGCGGCCCTCGCCGAGGCCGCAGCACTCGATGAAGAGCTGCAGCGTGCTGCACACGACACGTCTGCGCTGCGGGCGCGCAGGCCGCTCTTTGGCATTCCCGTGCTGCTCAAGGATCAGGCCGAGACGGCCGGCGTCGAGACGAGCTTCGGCAGTGTCGATGCGGCCGCCTACGTGCCTGAGACAGACGCCACCTGTGTCGTGCGTCTTCGAGCAGCCGGCGCCATTATACTGGCCAAGACGACGATGCCGCCGTGGGCCTGCTCCTTCTTCTCCCTCGGCAACCTGACGGGCCCCACGCGCAATCCGTACGACGGCGCACGCGACTCGGGCGGCAGCTCGAGCGGCTCGGCCGCCGGCTGTGCGGCCGACTTTGCCGTGCTGGCCGTGGCGGAGGATACGGGGGGCAGCGTGAGGCTGCCGGCGGCTTGGTGTGGCCTCGTGGGCTTGCGTCCGACACCGGGCCTCATCTCAGGTGAGGAGCGTCGCGCCCCTCGAATGCTGCTGCTTCCTCTGATTCTGATCACTCGCCCCTCAGGTGCCGGATGCTCGCCGCTGCTGCCCGGACAGGACACGCTGGGGCGTGAGTTGTGCGGTGCGGAAGACCACGTCCATCCTCTTTTCGCCTGACCGTCCTTCTCTCAGCGATGGCACGCACCGTCCTAGATGCTGCACATCTCCTCGATGCACTCGTCGGCTTCGACCCCAAGGACGTGCTCAGCTCCACCAACGTGCTAGCTCCTCGTCCAGAGGGCGGCTACGCCTCTGCTCTCTCGAAGCACTCCCAGCTGCGCGGCCTGCGATTCGGCGTGCTCACGCAATGTTTCGGCGACGAGTCAGAAGCGGAGGGAAGCGCCTCGAACGCCACGGCTCGAGCCGCTCTCTCCAAGCTTCAAGACGCAGGCATCGAGCTGGTCGAAGTCAGCGTCGAGCAACTCTGGGAGCAAGTCGCCTTCACTTCCCTCTACGTGCAAGAAGGTCGCCAATCGCTCGAGCGTTTCTTCGCCTCTCGTCCCGCACTCGGGTTCACGGACGTAGCTTCGCTGCACGTCGATCCAGCGGTAGAGCTGCTCAAGCTACTGCAGACCAAAGCGCCGGCTCTGGCGTCTGAGGACAAGAAGTTCGGCGAGCGACTGCGCGCAAAAGAGCTGTTCCAGCGCCGCATGCTCTCGTTGTACGCGCAAGAGAAGCTGGATGCCTTCATCTACCCGAGCGCCAAGACGCCTGCTCCACTGCGCAGCGACATCGAGAGCGGCAGATATGCCTTTGATGGCATCCCCACCAACACCGTCATTGCAAGCCAGCTCTGCTGGCCCGCCATCACGCTCCCAGCGGGCCTGACAAGCTCAGACGGGCAGCTCGGCGGCCTGCCTGTCGGGCTGGAACTCATGACGCCGCCGTACTCGGATGCGAGACTGCTCAGCCTGGCGCACGGCGTGGAACAGGCCACACAGGCCCGTGTGCCGCCGCCGGGACTGGACTGAGCTTCGCGCTTGCGAGCACCTGGCAATGAGAAGCATGCGTTCCATTCCAGACCAGCAATCACTCGTTGGTGAACTTGGCCTGCGAGATGCGGGTAGGCGTCAGCTGCGGAAAGCCGACCGCTCGCGGTTCTTGCTCACCTTGCGCTTCTCAGCGAAGGCACCCATGCCTTCCTTCTGGTCCTTGGTCGCAAAGAGCGCCTGGAAGAGGCGGCGCTCAAAGCGCAGGCCTTCTGCCAGGGGCAGTTCGAACGCTGCGTACCCCATACATCAGCACGCCAGGCAGCGAGGATTGGCTGCTGTGCTGCAGTGCCAAAACTCACAAGCATTCACCGCCTCCTTTGCCGCCTGCACAGCCACCTGTCCCTTCTTTGCAATTGTCGCTCCCACCTTGATGGCCTCCTCCACCACGTCTCCCTCGCGCACGACGCGCGAAATGAGGCCGTGCCGCTCTGCATCGTCGGCGGTGACGTTCTTGCCGGTGAGGACAATCTCCATGGAGAGCGACTTGCCGAGGGCATGCGTCAGACGCTGTGAGCCGCCGGCGCCGGGAATCACGCCGAGGTTGATCTCGGGCTGCCCAAAGTTGGCGTTGGGAGCTGCTAGGATGATGTCGCACCTGCGGCAAGGGTGGTCAGAGAATGGCGCACGCGACAAGCCTAGGCTTCGGTGGGGAGCCAGCTCACATCATCGCCAGCTCACAGCCGCCGCCGAGCTGTAGGCACGCGCTGTCGTCAGCCATGGGTCCGGGCAGCGCATCTCATGCAAGCACCAGCAATCAAACTCACCGCATAGCCGCTCACAGCCGCAATGATGGGCTTGCGGATCTGCGAAATCTTCGTCCAATGGCCGAGGAAGTTGCCCTTGTACGCCTCTGCAAATTCCTTGTTGCGCATCTCCTTGATGTCGGCGCCGGCTGCACGTCCGTCTCGCTTCAGCCAAGCTGCGCATACCTGCTCATCTCTCTCCGCTCTGCACGCTGCGAAGACCACGAGTCGCACACTCACCGGCGAAGGCCTTCTCACTGCCCGTAATCACGATGGCGCCCACACTGGGGTCCTCGTCCGCCGCCGCCGTCGCCTCGTTGAGCTCGGTGAAGAGCTCCGAGTTGAGGGCATTGAGCGCCTTGGGGCGGTTGAGCGTGATGAGCGTCACGCCGTTGCCGGCCGCCGAGACGAGGATGTTCTTGTACGCGCCGGCGTCCGTCGTGGGAGGCGTGGCCGTCAGGCGGGGCAGCGTGGAGTGCAGCGCGCGCACGCGCAGAGGCGCGGCGGCGCTGGAGCGCAGGGGAGCACGCAGAGTGGCAGTGGCTGTGCGGAGCATCTTTGAGGGCTGGACGAGGGGTGGTGATGGTGCAGAAGCAAGCTCGCTGCTTGGCACGCCGATCGACAGCGCCCTCCCCCCGCACGTGGCTCGCTCGTGCACGGGCGTCCGGCTCTCACGCACCGGCTTCGGCCCGCCCGCCGCGGCCGGCCCGCCCGCTCGCCGCCACGCCAGAGCACCGACGAGCGTGCCGCGCACGAGAGCATTCGCAGCGCGCGGCACTCTACGCGACGCGAGTCTTGAGTCTAGTGTTGCTTGCAACGCGTGTCTGCTTCCTTCTCTCACCCACTCTCTCCATGCCTCCTCGTCCGCGCCTGCCCTCGCCGTCTCTCTCCTCCAAGCGTCTCAAGACCATGTCCTCCTCTTCTGCCACCGAGACGCTCCTCGTGCAGCTGGATGCTGCCTTTCCAGGCGCCAAGCTGCCCACGCGCGGCTCGGCCAGTGCGGCAGGCTACGATCTGTATGCTGCCGAGGCTGCAACGCTGCCGGCGCGCGGGAGAAAGGTGGTGGCGACCGGTGTGAGGCTGGCGGTGCCCGAGGGATGCTATGGGCGTGTGGCGCCGAGATCTGGCCTGGGTACGTTGTGTGCTCGCCTCGTCGGCCAGCGAGAAGCGCTCCGGGAGAGGCACGGACGCTGACACTCACGCGTTGCGACCGTACCAGCGAGCAAGCATGGCATTGATGTGGGCGCAGGAGTGATTGATGCCGACTATCGCGGCCTCCTCGGCGTGCTGCTGTTCAACCTGAGCGAGACGGACTTTGAGAGTGAGTGTCGGCGGACGCGGACATGTCATTGCTTGCGTGTTGCAAGCCGCGGCGGCAGAGGGAAAGGGCGAAGGGCTGACGCTGTGTACAAACCGTACAGTCAGCGCAGGCGACCGCATCGCTCAGCTGGTGCTCGAGCGCATCGCTACGCCCGAGGTGCAGCAAGTGCAGGTCAGTTCCTCTCTCCGTCCCAGTATTCTTTGGCGCAGGCAAGGATGCTGACGGCGTGGATGCGCAGAGTCTGGATGAGACGCTCCGCGGCGCATGTGGCTTTGGCTCGACGGGTGGCTTTGGCGCGGGAGCTGCGGCGGCTGAGAAGACGAAGGCCAAGGACTCGGAGGGCGTGCCTGTCTAATCGATCAGATAGAGCGCTTCGGCTGCGGAACGCTGTGTGTGTCCTCGGATGTGCGAGGAGGCGAGGCAACAGAGAGAGAGGGCGTCGAGAGCGCCAAGAGTAGGCGGGCCGTGCTACGTAGTCGTGTGGACTTGGCCCCTTGGCGATCACGAAAGCCTGGGGATCGGCTGGTATAGGCCGCTGCAGCCTGTCGAGCGCAGACGGGAGCTCTGGCCGCTTGATCCTCTCCCGAGGCCGCCTCTTCTTCCTTCACTTCTCTATGCGCCGTTGGTTGCCGTGCCTTGGTGCAGTTCATTCAGGTCAGCGGGCGCACATGCAGTGATCATTATGGCCTCTGGCTGCGTTTCAGCTTTTTGCGCTCGACAGGTGGACCCCGCAGCTTGTGCGCCTTCTGTCAATCATCGCCCGGTCACAGCACATGGGCGCACCGTAGTCGAGCGTGACACAGGCTGAGCAGCCCATAGAAGAGCACCGGGCCGCGCCAAGCGCCCTTGCCAGCGAGTGCCGGGGCTGCACTACCGAAATCTCCCTCTCTCGGCAACCCGACGATGCTCCCCTCTCGTGCTTGGGTCTTCAGCAACAGATCTACCTTCGTCCTATTTTGAGTGAAAAAGCGAAGGCTTCAGTACGATCGGAGCGGCGTGAGGAGCAGGTCTTGGTCGTAGGCGAGGGGCTCAGGGTCGCGGCTGAGGAGGCGAAGCGTGGCCGTGCGCGGCGGTTGTTGTATTTGGTACTTCATGCACCCAGCCAGCTTTGTATTGGCTGCTGCGCCACGGGTAATGTGGGACGCATGCGGGCGGCCGGGACAGGGAGCAGTGCGAGACTGGCGGCGTGCCCGCTGCGCCACCATCTACCGCCGTACCGCGCGCCTAATCGTGCATCGGCCGCTGGCGGGGAAGCGTGGCCAGCGCTGCTTCTCTCCACCATCGCCTCCGTCAGCCACTCTGCTCCACACACCTTTGCCTCTCTCGCTCTTCGCCATGGACGTGCGCGCACGGCACGACGGTGGCGATGCGGGTCCCAGCACGCTCGCCGCTCGCACGCGTGCGCTGTCCAGCAGCGGCAGTCTCGCCTCCTCCAGCAGCAGCGCTCCCTCGGCGCTCGACGACCCTGCGCCCTTTGCCGCCTCGGCGTCCGAGTACGCCGCGCCCGCGCACCACGCTGCCGCCAGCGAGATGTCGCTCTCCGACGAGGCGCGCGCCAAGGCCATGCACGAGCGCTGGAAGCTGGCGTGGGACGAGGCGCTGGCCGCCGGCGCCGCCGGCGAGCTGCCGCCGCGGCCGGCGCGCTGGTGGAGCACCGCCGCGGCCGCCGCCGATGCCGAGGGCAGGAAGACGGGCACCGAGAGACACGTCGTGGCGGACGAGGATGAGCCGCAGGTGCGAGGCTATGCGCTCGCCTTCCAGACACCGGCCCAGCGCGAGCAGGCGCGCAGGGTCGCGCAGGATCTCAGGCGCGAGCGCTTCTACCAGCGCCTGGCCGAGGGCGCCTCGGGCCTGCAGCGCAGCGACGATGCGGCGCGCTCGGTACACGTCGCTGGCCTCGTCGATCCAGACGCGCCGAATCCGCACTATCCCGGTCGGCTGCCGGACGGCCGCACGCCAGTCTATCATCGACCAGACGCAGACGACCCACTAGCGCTCATTCTGCCGCTCCTCATTCTCCTCTCGACGCTCATCTTCCTCCTTATCCTCTTCATCGTGCTCGTCGTTCTCGTGCGGCGACGTGCGCGCATCGCACTGTCTGATGGCGATGGGCCGCTCGACGTTGGGCGGGAGGAGGAGCTGGAGGGACATGGCGGCCTCAGAGGTGTCGAGGAGCGCTGGCTCGAGACGGTCTCCGATGCGGTGCGGCGAGGCTACGCGCGCGCAAAGGACTGGACGACGAGCTACCCGCCCGGCAGTCTCAGCACGGACATTACGCTCTCTCAGTTCCTCTCGATCCAAGAAAAGGGCGTCTCTGCATGGTCCTTCGATCCCGACTACGAGTCCAACCCTGGCGTCTTCGTCGAGGCGCGGACTGAGATTACATTCGTGGCCGACGGAGGCGGCATGAGTGCGCAGGAGGGAGGAGGGTGCTGTGTGCAGAGCAACCTGCCGCTGCCCAAGCTCAACGAGGTGTACTACTGGGAGGCCAAGATCTTCACCAAGCCGGAAGACACGACCGTGGCGCTGGGCCTCGCGACAAAGCCGTTCCCGAGCTTCCGCCTGCCTGGTGAGTGCACTGCTGCGAGTTGCCAGCCGAGGCTGCCCAGGGGCGAAAGCGACGAGTGCGGTCTTTTGTGCCTGCGCCGAGGCTGACGTCTGCCTTCTCCCTGCCCAGGCTGGAGCAAGTTCTCCGTCGGCTACTTTTCCAACGACGGCTTCAAGGCGCACAACTACCCCTTCACGGCGCAGTCCTACGGGCCGGCCTACGTGCAGGGCGACGTGATTGGCATTGGCTATCGGCCGCGCACCGGCACCGTCTTCTTTACGCGCAACGGCAAGAAGCACGACGATGCATTCGTGGGGCTCAACCGGCACAACCTGTTCCCGACTGTCGGAGCCAACGGCGCTGCGGAGGTGCACATCAACCTCGGACAGGCGGGCTTCGTATTCATCGAGGCAAACGTCAAGCGTTGGGGCCTGGCGCCCATGGTCGGCACGCTGGGCGCTCCGCCGGCGTACGGGCAGGAGCGTGGCAGCCTGCTCATCGAGGCGGGCCAGAGCAGTGCGAGGCAGGGCCAGCGCGGCGACGAGACGCCGCCGCCGCCGCTGACGCCGCAAGACGAGTCGCCGCCGATGCTCATCTCTCCCACGCGCGGCACCGGCAGCTCGTCGAGATCCTCGGCTACGCGACGCTCCCGTGCGCCTCGCGGTCTTCAGCTCGGAGATGATGGCGCACGCCAGCCAAGCACATCAGCACGGCATGGCGCGCATTCGCCGCCTCGTCGCAGCTCCGCCTCCTCAGCCGACGCGCCGCACAATCCACCCACGCCCAACGCCCTCGACATCAGCCTGCACCAGCTGCCTCCTCATCAACTCGCCGCCGGCGGCGCACACGAGACGGTGCCCGGCGCCAGTCCGCGGCGCAGTGCCGGCGTGCTGGCGAGCTACTTTCCCGCGCCGAGCGGCTCGCAGCGCTCGTCGACGCGCGAAGGCAGTCCGCCGCCATACTCGGTCGTCGGCAACCAGCAGATGTGGCCGAGCTCCGGCCTGCTCCCGGGCGGAGGCAGCCAGCGTCGCTCGAGCAGTCGCACGCAGGCACTCGCCAATGCCTTCTATGGCGCGCTGCAGGAGCGCGGGCTCCTCACGCCGCTCCTCTCGGCCGATCGTGCACCGCCGGTCGCGCCGAGCCCGGACGCGGTAGGCGACTATGAGCGTACGCATACGGATGCGAACACGGCGAGAAACACGGACGCCAATCGAGGCGGCGGTTGGCTGTCGGGATGGTGGGCTTGATGAAAGGAAGCACGACCTTGCCGTCGCTGCCCCCCGCTCCACGCTCGCCCACCCGGACTGCCCACTTCCCTCTCGCTCTTTCGACCTGCTCCTCTCAACCCACACACTCACCCGTCACCCTCATTCTGCATCCCTCCGGAGTCTCTTCCACCACGCTCTCTGTCTCTGTTCTCTCGTGTATTCTCCCGCCGGCCTCCCTTCAATCAGATATCGATCCACCTCTTGCCATGCGTGCCTGATGCCGCGCCAAGGCGATGGTCTAGCGTGACCGGGAGGCTAGCGCCCTTCTGGCCGGAGGCCTGGGTCGAGACGCGAGAACGTGCGACAGTCAGAGAGTAGCCCGCAGGCGGCGGAGGAAGGAAGGGCCGTCTCATCACCTGACGTCGAGGGGTGCAGCCGACGCTGTGGGGATCGACAGGCACCGCAAGCGGGCATCCGGGGCCTGCCGCCTGACTGAGCTCCAGCGTCAGGGTTCACCGGTGTATCGAGCTCATTCGGCCGACGAAGCCAGCAGCACATCTTCCAGGTCCTTCTGCGAGGAAGGATGATGCAAGCCGAGCGTGCGAAGCCGCACCGCACTCCGCTTCCGCGGAGGTTCCAGCTGTCTGCACCCTGATGCTGACGCTGCTGTGGCCTGTGCGAACCGAGGTCCGTGCCTGTGCCGTGTGCGCGCGTGCTTGAGGTGGATCGATGCTGCATCTGATGAGCGCCGGACGAGCCGGCGGCGGGCTGCGGACCCTCTCCTCCACGGCGGGCGGCGAGCTGTGCCATTTCCCCGCGCTTCGAGATGCCGCTCACGCGCGCGCGAGAGCGAGTCGAATGGCCTGATCCCACATATGCTGGCGTTGTGCCGACGCGCCGCCGATCATCCGAGCGTGCCTGGGGGCTGAGAGAGGTGCTGCTGCTGCGCCGAGCCGCGAGCTTCGGGGTGTCGCCGTCGGCATGCATGAGTTGCCGGCCCTCGCACGCGCGTCATGCATGCATGCGTCGAGAGGACGTGGAGAGGTGACATCGCGAGAGAACGCTCTGCTGCCGCCTCCGAGGCATCAGAGCGGCCGCTGAATCGGCGTTGCAACAGCAAGGCAAGAGGGAGAAGACTCGCCGCATGAAGTCGCATGCTGGCCCCATCTCCGAAGCACGTGTGCTGCCGTTGCTGCTCGCGGCCGCTGTGCAGCGCGGTGATGCCAAGCACGGCGGAGGGGCAGCGGCGGCATGCTCCTCCTCCTCACGCCGCATGAGCAGCCGCTCGCGCCATCAGCGGCACGCAACCGTCCGTCGCCGTCCGCCGGCCAGTCTATCAGATGGGCCCGTTGCGGCATCTCGACGTGCCTGGGCCCGCTTGCCTGCTTGCGCTGCTGATGCTGACGTGCTGTGACGCTTGTGCAGCGCAGCGTGCAGATGTCACCCCACGGAGAGAGCTGCGCCTGTCTGCGGCTGGGGTGCGCATGCTGGCGTGCCTCTGGCGCGCACACAGCGCAGCGCTCGGCGCGCGGCCGGCAGCACACCAGAAGCAGTCGACTCGTCGACGGACTCGGAGGCCGGTGCGGTCTCGCCAGCAGCCGAGCCCGCAGCAGGCAGTACATCTGATCTGCAGGGTGCAGCAACGCAGCGGCCCGAGGTCGGGCACTTGGCCGGCGGCTCGCGACGGACGACGAGGAACATGCAATTTAGTGCGCACTGCCATCGGCCAGCCCTGGGCCAACATCACCCCACAGCCGCCGCTCATCCGCCCGGGGGCCCGCCGCCGCTCGCTGCCGTGCGCTGCCGCTCCGCCGTGCCGCTGGGCTCAAACACCCTCTCGCCCCATCCGGCACGACACGCCAGCCAGCTGCGCCCTGCGTGCTCGTGCCGAGCCAGAGCTTCCTTCTCCGTCCGAAAGTGCTGCGCCGCATTGCCGCTCCGCCCGCAGCGAGAGGGCGAGACAGAAGGCCGCCAAGAGCACATCTGCTGATCCGTGCGTGCGCACAGCCCCTGTCTGGGTCGCCGATGGATGTGGAGCCAACTCCCCACCGCGGCTGGAGTGCTACCGCCGTGCGGAGATCTTTCCGCCATGCCTCGGCTTGCACCCTCGAGAAGTGCCCTGAGTGCTGCCGAGTGCGGGAGGGCCCAGCCGGAAGCAAGCACGCCAGAGCGGGTGCCGAGGCGGAGGCTCGGGTCCGGCGGCGCGCGGGTACATAAGGCCTCGCTCTCGCAGGTAGCTCTTCTCATCGCCACCCACCCTGCCCTGCTCTCCTCTCCTTTTACCCTCACTCCTCCCCTTCCATCACCATGATGCTCACTGCCAAGTTCCTCGCCGTGCTCGCCGCCATCTCGGCCGTCGCTGCCGCGCCCGTGGCCAACCAGGCTGTCGCCAAGCGCGCCGCCGAGGGCCAGGCCGACATTGACACGGTCATCCTCAACTACGCTCTTACACTTGAGGTGAGTCTACAGTCCAGGCTCGACAGCCTTCAGCGGCGCAGGGCTCGTCAAACACATCGGTGGTGCAGTGCAGCGCGAGCTCCGCTGACCACCCGCGCGTCCACAGCACCTCGAGAACGCGTTCTACAAGCAGCTGCCCTCGGCCGCCGCCTTCAAGAAGGCCGGCTACAAGTCGGCCGTGCACAAGCGCTTCCAGCAGATCAGCGCGCACGAGGCCTCGCACGTCAAGTTCCTCACCACCGCTCTCGGCGACAAGGCTGTCGCTGCCTGCGAGTACAACTTTGGCGACATCTCGAAGCCGGCTACGTTCGTCGCTACCAGCATTCTTCTCGAGGGTGTGGGTGTCTCTGCATACCTCGGCGCCGCGGCCAACATCACCAACCCCGTGCGTGCCGATTGACTGCAGAGCTAACCCTAACATCGTCGCTGAGTGGCGGAGGTGTTGGGGTTGGCCCTAACGCGTCTTTTTTTAACGACTGCCTCCTGACACTCCCTCTAGGCATACCTGACCGCCGCGGGATCTATTCTTACCACCGAGTCGCGCCACAGCACCTGGGTGCAGAACTACGCCGCGCAGAAGGACCCCTTCGGCGCCGCGTACGACGCGCCGCTCAACTTCAACCAGACGTACTCGCTCGCCGCGCCGCTGATCAAGAAGTGCCCCGACTCGAACGCCGCGCTGCCCGTCGTCGCCTTCCCGGCCGCGTCGATCAGCCCTGCCGCCCCCAAGATGGGCCAGCAGGTGACGATCACGTCGGAGAAGCTCAGCGAGGCCGGCTCGGTCGGCTTCATCACCGGCGGCGCCACGGCCATCGTGCCGATCAACAACGGCAAGGTGACGCTGCCCTCCGCCGTGCAGGGCGGCCGCACGTACGGTGTGCTGCTCAAGGGCACGCCCAGCGCCATCACCGACGACAGCACCGTCGCCGGCCCCTTCGCGTTCGACATCTTCTACACGCCCGACCAGGCTGCTGCCCTTGACAACTAAACGTTTGGCTCTGGCTCTGCTCGCCGCGCGTCCGTGTCATACCCACTCTCTCACTCTTCTAATGATGTCTACGCCACCATACACACACACGCCACGTAGACTCTCCCATCACCACTGACACGCTGCTGGCTGGAGGTGCATTGTTGCCGATGCCCTCGCCTCGCTCGCTCCTTTTCATGAGGCAGTGTGCCTTGCAATGCACATTCTGCCATCGTCTACACAATGTCTGAGCTTGAGCCTTGAGAAACGGTGTTCACACGAGCACGGCAGAGGTATGAGTGGCCGAGTTGCCGCGATGTCGAGATCGCGCACACACAGCCGCGCGCGTGCGTGCTGCTGACTTGCTGTCGATGGCCGAACACGAAGCACAGTGATTTGTGCCGGAGCAGCATCTGGAGGATACTCGAGCCAGACTGGCTTGTATGAGGAGCCAGCACGACCGAGAGACCAGAAGTGCCCTGCTGCTGCCGAGCACGAGAAGATGAGCATCACTGGCGAGGGCAGCGCGTCTCGCGGCACTCGGCGCAGCTGCGCGCCAGCCACAGCTCGGCGCGCCGCGCGGTCACGGCGCGCCTGGCAGACGCGTCTAAGCGCTGCGCCTCTGCCCTCCACACACCCAACCCCGGCCCTCCTCGCTCCTCTGCCGCACCCGCAGCGCCTCGCTCGCCCTCACCCTCGCGCCGGCTCATCCGTTTGCAGCACCGCGGCCCTGTTCCTGGCCGCGCAGAGGCAGCCGCATGCCGCCCAAGCAGAAAAAGGCGCCCGAGCTCATCAAGGGCCAGTCGTCGCTCGCCGGCTTCTTCTCCAACGGCCGTCTGGCTGCCGTCGAGCAGCCCGCCGCCGCTCGCGCTTCCACCTCGGCGTCGCCGGGAAAGTCGAGCAAGTCGACGGCCTCGCCCAAGAAGCCCAAGGCGCCGGCCGGCCCGGCACCGCCCGTCGAGCAGCTCACTGAGAAGGTGCGCGCCGTCGCGCCCTGCTCGCTCGCTGGTGTGCGCCCCCAGCTGACCCACGTGCGGCAGATCACCGTCGCCGGCTACAGACCCAGCGCCAGCGCCTCACCCTCGCCAAACAAGAAGACTGCTGCTGCTGCCACTGCTGCTGCGTCGTCGTCGTCTGCCGCTGCCAAGAAGTCCGCCCGCCCGCCGATCGACGAGTCGGCCTCGGACGAAGAGATGGCGCCTCCTGCTGCTGCCAAGGCGGCCAAGCCGAGCAAGTACTTTGCCGAGGCAGAGTCGGCCTCGGGCAAGTCTAGCGGAAAGAATGTGAGTCAGGACGGAGCAGCGCGGCCGAGCTGGCGGCTCATGTCGAGCGACAGGCGGCCGACGCCATCGACTTGGACGACTCGGAGGACGACATTCCCGTGGCACATGCCAAGCGTGCGGCGCCCAAGTCGAGCAGCAGCACGCCCAAGGCTGTACCGAAGCGCAAGGTACGTGGTGATGCTGAGCGCAGCGGAGCCGCTCTCTGATGCCCTCCTCTCGTCCACAGGCGGCGAGCGACTCGGAATCGTCCGACTTTGAGCCTGCCAAGCCGGTGAGCAAGGCACGCAAGTCGAGCGCATCCTCGACGCCGACTCAGGCGCGCGGCGGCAAGAGTGCGGCTGCGACGGCGTCCAAGTCCAAGGCCCAGCCGATTGAGCTCAGCGACGATGATGACGACGACGCGGGCCCATCCAAGCCCAAGTCCAAGCCCAGCGCCAGCAAGAAGGCAAAGATGGAGAAGGACGAAAACGGCGAGGAGAAGAAGGAGCCGCCGGCGTGAGTAGCCTGCCAGGACCTAGAGGCAACTCTGCTGACTAGCGTCCTCCGCCAGCTGGATCGCCGCTGCAAAGCGTCGCGCAGAGGGCCCGCAGGCGCCCGGCTCGAAGGAGATTCCGGTGGGCAAGCCGAACTGCCTGGCGGGCCTGGCCTTTGTCTTCACTGGCGAGCTCAGCAGTCTGAGCCGCGAGGACGCCACCACTCTGGCCAAGCGCTATGGCGCGTGAGTTGCAGCTGGACACAGCGCTGTCGCAAAGGCGCATCGCTGAGTACCCCTTCACACACGCAGCAAAGTGACGGGTGCGCCGTCGAGCAAGACGTCGTACGTGGTGCTGGGCGCCGAGCCGGGCCCGAGCAAGATCAGGGCGATCGAGAAGAACAACCTCAAGTCGCTGGACGAGGACGGCTTCCTGGCGCTGATCGCAGCGCGCGGCGAGAGCAAACCGGACCCGGATGTGCTCAAGAAGCAGGCGGCCGAGGTGGCCAAGTACAAGAAGGCTGCGGCCGAGATGCTGCCCAAGGAGACGAAGAATGCGCCCGCTGTGTGAGTCGCTTGTGCTGTCGCTCCCTCCTCTCACACGACTGACGTCCTCGCCTTAGCGACTACTCCAGCGCGCTGTGGACGGCCAAGTATGCGCCGCGCGCCCTCAAAGATCTTGTGGGCAACGGCACGGCAATCGCCAAGATGCAGGACTGGCTCGAGAACTGGTAAGCATCGACGGTCGGCACAGCGCACCTGCAGCGCTGACAAGCCCTGCGCAGGGACCGCTCGCTGGCGTGCGGCTTCAAGAAGCCCGGCAAGTATGCCGTTGGCACGCATCGCGCCTTGCTCGTCTCGGGCCCGCCGGGCATCGGCAAGACGTCTGCGGCGCATCTCGTTGCCAAGCTGGCGGGCTTCAATCCCATCGAGCTCAACGCCAGCGACACGCGCAGCAAGAAGCTCATCGAGTCGAGCCTCAAGGAGACGATCAACAACACCAGCCTCGATGGCTGGTACCACGGCGGAGTGCGTGTGGCTGCCGCTGCGCGCCCAGACGAGCGTGCTGACATGCGCCATCCTTCGCAGAAGTCTGGCATGGACTCGGACTCGATTCGCATCACCGACCGCACCTGCCTCATCATGGACGAGGTCGACGGCATGTCGGGCGGCGACCGCGGCGGCGTGGGCGCCATCAACGTGCTCATCCGCAAGACGAAGGTGAGAGGGGTGTGCTGCCAGTGCGCGTGTGGGAGAGCCTGCTGCTCATGCCCGCACTCCGCGCAGGTGCCCATCATCTGCATCTGCAACGATGCCAAGAGCCCAAAGATGAAGCCGCTCGAGTCGACGTGTGCGCAGCTCAAGTTTACTCGGTGAGCAGGTCGTCTGTGCGCTTCTCGACGCAGGAGCATTGCTGACCGGACACAGGCCCGACGCGCGCACCATCCGTGCACGCATGATGTCGATTGCCTTCCGGTAAGTGCCGCTGCGCCGGCCAGGGGCGGGCATCTGCTCACTCTCTCTCCCCGGCAGCGAGAAGATGAAGATCTCGACCGAGGCGATGGACCAGCTCGTCGAGGCGGCGCAGGCCGATATCCGTCTCGTCATCAACATGCTTTCGACGTGGAACCTGTCGAAGAAGACGATGGACTTTGACGAGGGCAAGGAGATGTGCGTGCGATGCGTGCATGCCTGCATGCAAGCGGGGTGACTGACCGGCCTTCTGGCAACTGCAGGGGCGCGGCGAACATGAAGCCGGGCATGCACACGCCCTTCAGTCTCTACAGCGCGCTCAGTGCGCCCGGCATGTTCTCGGCGACGAACAGCAAGACGCTCAACGAAAAGTCCGAGTACTACTTCAACGACCACTCGATCATGCCGCTCATGGTGCAGGTGAGCCGGCCGTCGGCGCGCCCGCCTGTGGTGCCTGCCTGTTTCCTTGCTGACGTGGTCTGTGCGGCAGACCAACTACATCCACCAGCGTCCCGTCATTGCGGGCCGCTACAGCGGCCGCGAGGCAGAGTGGAAGACCATGGACCTCCTCACCAAGGCGGCCGTCTCGATCTCGGACGGCGACATGATCGACTCGATGATTCACGGGTGCGTCGCGCGTGTCGCTCGCTGCCCACTCGAGGCTTGCCCTGGCTGATCACACCTTGTTGTGCAGACCGCAGCAGCAGTGGTCGCTAATGCCGCTGCACGCCATCGCCTCGTGCGTGCGGCCCATGTCGCATGTGTTTGGGCAGAGCAACGCGGGCAACGGCTACGGCCCCGGCTTCCCCACGTAAGTCTGCGGACGTGGGCGTGTCGTCCGCTCGCTAGGATGGCTCACGCGCCTTTGCACAGCTGGCTCGGCATGAACTCGAAGCAGCAGCGCCTGTCGCGCGCCGCCGTCGAGCTGCAGGCTCGCATGCGTCTCGCGGCGTCGGGCTCGCGCTTCGAGGTGCGCGAGCAGTACCTGCCGTACTTTGTCTCGCGCCTCACGGCGCCGCTCGTCGAGAATGGCCAGGTACGTCGGTCGGGCGCTGGTCTCTCTGGTCGCTCTCTCCCGTGTTGCTGACGTTGTGCTCCCGTCGCGGCGCAGAGCGGCATTCCCGACGTCATCTCCTTCATGGACGACTACTACCTCGGCCTCGAGGACCGCGACAACATCCTCGAGCTCGGCGTCGGCGGCAATTCCATGGACGTGGTGCTGAAGAAGATTCCCTCTGCGGTGAAGGTGAGTGCTTTGCTTGCTCTGACGCACACTTCCCTTGTGTGTCCTTGCTGTGCTCACACGCGCCCGCGCAGTCGAGCTTCACGCGGCAGTACAACGCCTCGGATCACCCGATTGCCTTCTACAAGGGCGACGCCTCGGCCGGCAAGATCAAGAAGCTCAAGGGCGAGCCGGCGCCCGACGTGCTGGAGCTGGAGGGCGCAGAGGAGGAGGTGGGCGACGCCAGCGATGCAGAGAGCGTCTCGGACGGCGACCTCGACCTCAAGAAGGACAAGATGGTTAAGGCCAAGAAGAAGCCGGCCGCCAAGGGCAAGGGCAAGGCCAAGGCCAAAGCGTAGAGCCTGCGTGTGCGCCATCTGGCGCAGACTCATCCCATTCACGACCGATGCCTCTCGAGCTCTGACACATTCCACGCGAGACCTACTACACCCGTCACACACGCCACACGCGCACTCTCTGAGCCACATTCACGATGCGCCACGAGCGCAATTGAACGCGCTTGCATTACCCACGACGGGAGCGGCGAGTGAAGAGAGACTAGGTGACGCGGTGTGTGTGTGTGAGTGAGAGAGGTACAAGTACAAGCTATGGATGCAGTCGGTGATGTGTCGCGAGGGGGGTGGTCAGGCCGATGAAGAGACGCTCGTGGTAAGGCGAGAGAGAGAGAGAGAGAGGGGCAGTGAGGCGAGCGGGCGGAGGGCACGCCTCTAGCCATACCACGCGCCACTGCGAGGCGCCGCGGCGGCCTGGCGCGAGGGAATGATGGGCTTGCGGATGTTGTAGAGCTCGATGAGCTCCTGTTTGCGCGGTGGTGGGGAGTGGTAGGCAGTGCGTGAGATGCGGGACTCGAGGCTCAAGAGAGAGAGAGAGAGAGAAAGACAGAAGCTGGTGGAAAAGGCACACTCTGACTCACCTTCCAAACCGTCTGGTCCAGCTCCAAGACGAGCTGCCGACGCGTCACGCCCTGTGCATAATCATCGTCGTTTGGCGCCTCCACGCTCGCTGTGTGCCGGATCCTCTCGTGTCAGTTCTGCACGCGCAGCAAAGGCTCTACGTCCCCCCCCCCCCTTTCCCCTTCTTGCGCGCGCGTCGTGTAACTCACTCAGCATCGGCTCGCCCTCGTCGTTGTCCTCGAGCGACACGATGCCGTCGCGCACGAGAAAGCTGACGTAGAAGAGATTCTCGACGGTGTTGCTGAAGCTCGTCGGATCAATGACGAAGCGAAAGAGATTGAGGCCCTCGGGCCCGCCCTCGACTTCGAGCAGCGTGGCGACGTCGCGCACCAGACGCGTCGTTTCGTTTTCCGAACGCTGGATGTCCTCTTCTTGCAGCTGTGTCGAGGAGCGTCAGGGAACGGAAGGGGGCAATGGGCAAGGGGAGAAGATGCTCACTTGCTGAGGCGCAATGGCGGGACCTTCCTTCTCGATACGAGCTCGCTTCGTCGTCTTGCGCTTGTTGGCCTGTACGTCGAGCGGCCCAAGTCTGCTCTCGAGAGGTTGCGTCAGCGGGGCGGGCGGAGCAAGGCAGGCAGAACGGGCATGCCTGTGTTTGAAATCGTTGCGTGGCTAGCGAAGCATACTGACAGGCAGTCCATCACCGGCGCTCTCTTTGTGCATCTGCCCGCCGCGCGTCCCAGCCGATCCCACTGCCACGCCTCGACATCCTCCTCCTCCACCTCGTCCGCCTCATGGCCCGCGCCGCCCGGCTGCACGAGCTTGCCGCCGATGAAGCCGGCGATGCGCGCGAGGTACTCGTCGATGTCAAAGGCGCCCGACGCCACCTTCATGTTCTTGGCCAGCTGCGCGGCCGTCTCGGAGGTGTTGAGAAGCAGCCGGGCATCCAGCACGGCTTCGCCGGGCGCCTTGACTGTGGACGCAGGAAGAGGCCCTCAGCAAATGGCGCCAACGATGAGCGTTGGAGAGAGAGCAACACTCACCACTCTCGTACAGCCGGTCACTGCGCACAATCATGTCCTGCAGATCGCCCACCTTGTGCTCGCCCATGTTGGCGCGTGCATCTGTCGGCGCGCCAGGCGTCAGCCTTCTCTCTCTCTCTCGCCGCAGTAGCAGTCACGGTGCGCAGCAGCGGCCATGTCTCTCTCCTGCACTGACCTTCACTGTTGCCAATCAGTCTGCGGTACTCCTTGCGCACCTCGCGCTTCTCGCTCTGCGCCTGGTTGGGCTCGTAGCGAAAGGCGGGCGCGGGCGCAGCGGCGGCGGCGGCCACGACGGCGGGGATGGCGGAGGAGGAGGCGGCGGCCGCCTCGGGCGAGTCGGCGGCGCGACGACGCGAGGAGGGCGGCATGCTGGGCGAGGAGGTGTGTGGAGAAGGGGAGGGAGAGTCGGCGGTGCTTGTGGTGTCGAAGCAAGGCGCGAAGCACTTAACGCGTCGCTGTCGAGCAACACCACGCGCGCGCCAGCCAGGCGCGACGCTTGCTGCCGATCCACCACCACGCCCCGCCGAGCCGCGCCGCACCGCGCTGCCCGCACACGCCGCACCGCAAGCATGGCGCTGCCCAACCTGCGGCGCATCTTCAGGTGAGCGCGCGAGCGCCAGAGGCAGCACACTGCATGCAACGAGGGCGCAGCACGCCGGCCCCCTCTCTCTCTCCGCATCCGCCGCCTCGCGCACCCAGCCGCATGCTCACCCCAATCCACCCAGTTCCGCACGCTCCGCCGCGCAAGAACGCGCCGTGTCACGGCAGGCCTTCTTCCGCTTCGTCGCCTTTGCCACGTCGTGCATCTGCATTGCCCTCCTCTCCAGCCCGCGCCGCCGCGCCGCGTTGCTGGGCGCGGGCTCGGGCGGCAGCTAGGGAGGTTCGCATGGGCGTGCGCGGGTGCGGAGCAGCTGTGGGGGGAGCAAGATAAGGAGGGAAGCCATGGAGAGGCGAGAGATGCTTCTCTCTCCTGCGGCGAAAAGGAGGAGCCAATGTGAGATATACGCCTTGATCCGAGGCAATGGCGACCCAGCGCGAGCAGGGCAATCTCGACAGGTCGACGGCCAGCGACAGCCGTGCCACAGCTGGCGTTGCAGAAGCCGTGCGCGAGCACAGCGGCCGCAGCGCCCGCACGTCGTCGAGCGCACGGGGCGCGCGCGCAAGTGCGGCACGCAACGACAACAACAGGGCATGAGGCTCGTGCACTTCGCAGGCGTTGCCAGCCAGGGCGCCAACTCCATCCGATCGTGCCAGCACGCGAAGCTGGCCTTCTCGAGCTGTTTTCACACGCGCGGGGCAGAATAGGGGGCATCAATGGGAGTGGCTTATGGTACTGTGGGGAGACAGAGCGAGGAAGGGGAAGGGAAAACGGGGGGGCAAGAATGGGCTGGAGATGGGAATGGAGTCCCCCCCACGGCAAAGGAGGCAGATGTTGCGCTAGGCAAAGTACAGGTCGACGAACATGGTCGCTATGCCGAGGATGATCCTGCGGGAGTAGTGCGCAAGGTACAAAGCGGGCAGTTCGTCGTCAGCGTCAGCCAAATTCTGCCTCTTTCATGCTCTCTCTCTCTCTCCTTGGCTGTGTGTTCCATACGCACTCGAGTAGAATGAGGCCAATGACGACAATCTCGAGCCACTCGCTGTGCGAGCTCGTGACTTGGTCCTTGAGCAGCTGCAGCATGTCCTGCAGCACCTCGACGCGCGCATTGAGCAGGTCGATGCGCTGCGGAATCTCGAGGTAGCTGCGCGCGGCAGAGTAGAGCGGCTCTGTGTTGTTTGTGGCAACGACGCGCGCGGTGGAGAGGGTTCAGTAGGGGAGGGCGAGGGGAGGAAAGAGAGGAGAGAGAGAGGGAGAGGCAACGCACCGAGATCAGGTTGCGCCCAGAAGATCTCGGGCGAATCGACGATGGAGCCGACGAGGTGGATGTTCATGCGCAGAATGAAGAGCTGTGGGCGATGGGGTGGGGGGAGCGGGGGCGAAGCGGGTAGGCGGAAAGAAATGGGCGGAGGAGTGTTGGAGAGGGGGAGGGGGGGAAGGGTGGCGAGAGGTCAGCGCTTGCGTTTCCTAGCGTCCTCGGGCGGATGGCGGGCGAGTGAAAGAGCTCGAGAGAGAGAGCGCCCATACGCACATGGCCGATCTGCTTCATGATCTCCGCCGGCGGCATGCCAATCTTGCCGCTCTCTGCAATGCTTTGCGGAATGTCCTGTTTGCATCGCCGCCCACAAGGCGTCAGCTTTGTACTCGCAAAGACAAGCGTGCCCCAACGGCGTAGCGGCCCCACGGTGGAGAGGAGGGGGAGAGGGGGGGGGGGGGGCAAAACGCACCTTTGTCGCGTCGATGGTATTGTCAATGACGCCCTCGAAGAAGCTGATCTTTGTGCTTTGTGCGAGGGCGTGCGAGAGGGAGAGCTTGGTCATGTAGCTGGATCCTCTTCGCAGCGTAATGACATCGTTGTAGATGCTGTTTCGTGTGTGCCGCCCTTGCTCGGTCAGCAACAATGTGCGCGCGGGGCCAGCAAGAAAGGAGAAGGAGGGGGAGAGCCAGAGAGGAGGGGGGAAGGGGAGGAAGGGGGAAGGGGCAACGAAACAACAAACGCACCGAGAATAGTCGGCGAGATACCAGTTGAGATCTTCAGACTCGATGTCTTCGGGCGCCAGACGCTCCACTTCAAAGCGCCGCAGTTCGCGCAAGAGGCGCTTCTCCTGCGCCAGCGTCATGCCCCAGATGACGACGGCTGCAAAGACGAGGATGCCGCGCGCCGGGGGGGCAGGAATGGATCAGGCAAACTGAAGGAAAGGGAGCAGCCCACTCTTTCTTGAGTAGCGCCGTGACAGCAAAACAAACTCACTGCCGTACTCCATGAAAAACACCTCTGGCGTGGCGCCCGCCACGCTGAAGCGATTGCGCCGGCGTTCCCGCCTCTCGCCGCGCTCGCGCTCTTGTTGCAGTCTTGCCGCCGCCGCCGCCGCCGTCGCCGTCTGCGCCTGCGCGTCTTTCCTTGCCTTCGCGTCGTGCTGCGCATCTTCTGCCTCTGCGCGACCGCCGCGAGCCTCGGCCTCGGACTCGGACTCGACGAGCGTCGTACTGCTGCCGCCGTTGGTCTCGCCACCACTGCCGCTGACGGCGGCGGCGGCGGTGGCGGCGTGATTTGCCGCGCCTTCTTCCTCTTCCTCGCCCTCATTCGCCAGCTCTGGAATGCCCAACAGATCTCCCGTCCTTGCATATTGCTGCTGCTGCTGCTGCTGCTGCTGCTGCTGCTGCTGCTGCTGCTGCTGCTGCTGCTGCTGGCCTCCCTGCGCTGCTCCTGCCGCGTTGTTCGTCGCGTTGTTCCTCGGCGGCGGCGGGCCGCTGCCCACACTTCTCGCGGGCGCCACGCCATGTGCCTCGTCCCACTCGTCGTACGTGTACGTCGTGTACACACACTCGTCGAACGTCATGGGGTTGGTGCGGTGCGAGTCGCGCCTGGCCGCCAGCCAGCGCGTCAGGTCGCGCATGCGGTAGGAGCTGGGCCGCCAGTAATCAAAGAGGCAGGGCGTCAGCCTCGCTCCCGTTTGGCGGGGGCGCGAGCGGGGGCATGGAAAGCTTTGGGCTACGTCTCGTGCAAGAGGCCTCCCGAGCGCATGGAATGGCCGCATGCCCAACTCTTCTCTCCTTCCCCCCC